GGGTAACTATAAATATGAAAGAAATACGCGTGGAAATCCGAATGATCCGACGGGTCTATGACGGCAACAGATCCACAAGGAACAAATAAGAAAAAAGCAATATCAAAGAAATATTAACGTTGTTAAGGAAATAAAGAACCATGGCGATCGCCTCAACCGCTGAACCAAATACGTCACTCGTAACATCGTTCGACTCGTGTTGACAAGGGCTCTCCAACGATACCAAATTCGTCCGGATCGGTGGAGAATTGATGGAGATACAGAGGAAGCGGCGGAATATGCGGGTGACAGTTGCCCAATTTGGAAACTGATGGTTGTCCGTGGTCGGGAATGGCTTGAAAAAATCGGAAAAAATATGGGAAACGTGGAAGGGGTATCTGGAACAGTGGTAGATGTGTTTTGAAAGTGGAATGCTTGACATGGGTGGTAGAATCGCGATAATCGGCTTGTTTGCATGGTACCGGCTGTGCCCGCCTACACCATCGCGGGGTGAGCGTCCCCGACCACTTAGTCTGAAGTGGGAATATGAGTTATCATTAAAAGGGGAGACTACACTACTTGCCTGAAGTGGGAATATGAGAAGAAGGCTACTTCTTCGGTTCCCACTCCAGCCATTATTATATACATGCGGGGTCGGTCATGTGGGGGGCGCCACGTCACCCCCTGCACACAGCCACGGCTCTCCGGGTGTCTCCGTGGGAAATCCCGAGAGGGCTCGCTGTGGGTGCAGGGCAAGTGTGGCGGCGGTGGCAGCGATGTAGGGATGGTAAGATACAGGAGGGGAAATAGGCATGCACGCCGGTGATACATTGAGCAGTGGGAAAGGTGGTCCATGTGAGAGAGAGAGAAAGAAAGAAAGGAAGAAAGGAGGAAAGGAGAAAGGAAGAGGGAGAAGCGGTGCGGAGCGGGGGAGCAGAGTGGGGGAGCGGAGTGGGGGTCGGGCAGGGCATGCCCTGACACAAAGCACAAGACAGCATACATTGCAGATCCGGTGGTTGACCAAGAACAGAACTTCAACATTTTCTTCAATGAGGCAGTTACCGTCCTGGCCGCCCTGGAATGGGCCGCTTCCATGACACCTCCTCCCAAACGTCTCGCAATCCACACCGATTCCACTACTGCCTTTTCAATATTCAACACCTTGCATGCTGAAGGAGAGAACGAAGGAAGGTCAGTTGGGAGGTTCAAACAAGACCACCACCAAGCTGTTCCCTGGTTCTTTAGTTAGGATGGGGAAGTGTACTAGTATTATTTGTTGTAAATATAGTACCAATCCGAGTGTTTTGGCTAATCCTATTTTTATGGGTTAGTCTAAAGTTTCTGGGAATTGACTTACAGATAAACTGAGCCCTGCGGAGCTGTTCCTTTATTGAAATTTCTTAATTTGTCTAGGTGTAATTCTGTGTAGCGTTGTTTAATTTGGAATTTAACTTGAATTAAATCTTCTACTTGGTGAAGTTTCAAAGATTCTACTCAGTTAATGGATTTGGATTGTGTCTGGAGTGTCCCTTGAGTTTGTTTTATTTTTGTCTTATTTTATTGCTTGTTTTAACAGTAGCAAAATAACTGTTTTGTGTTTACACTTTGAAATCTGGAATGTTAACCAGCTCTCCTGTTGAAATATCTACTTAATATTTCTCTCCTTAATTGCTGCCTTTTACTACAGTGGCAATCTTAACTGTATATCACTTTTTTGCACTGGAGTGACAACCAGAAATGCTTGAGAAAAATAATACTCTATTTTCTTACTTCTCTGAGGGGGGCGAAAAGTCACAGAAAGGGTCTCCCTTTTATACTCCTTGGGTCGCCTTCCTTTTTCACACTCTACCTCGTATTTACAGGATTTATTTACAGTGTATTTTTCTCAAACTGAATAAAAAAATGAAATTTTCACGCTATTAGTTCTACTGCGCTTTGCTGTGCTGAACTGCGGCTCTACTGCGGTCAGACTACGCCTAGAATCCTTATTGTCCTTCCTCGCCTAAGCTATTTTAATGGTTAATTAGAACTTGACTGCGCTGCATTTGTTGCAGTTTCCTATTTCAAATTCCTCATATTTACCATTAAATTTGCTATGACTCGGTGATTATGAATTCAAACTTCGCATTACTATGTGTGCGGCTGTGCTGAGACCTTCAGCTGATTTATTCCATTTTTATTCAGTGACATTTAGTTAAAATGAGACTTGAAATGGTAAATGAGTGAATTATTCAGGTTTAAAACCGAAAGAAAAAGTTGCTAGTAGTCAAGAATTACTCAAACGAATGTATTATAGCTCTCCACTTCATTAGAATATCGTTCCCTAAAATTCCCACCATGGTCCATCGTAGTTTAGTGGATTTCGTGGATTTCGTTCATCTTCCTTGATTCCCCTTTGTATTATCACATCCTAATCCTCCATATGCGTTGTTCATTGTTATAGTAGGTCGTCCTCGAAGATATCATATTTTTATGTATTTTATTTAGGGCTCTGGACCTCTTGAAGCTGTCTTCCCGCACATTTTCAGGTTTCTAACTTCATGTCCTGGTATCTCATTCATTTCTGGATGGTTTCTCACGTTCTTGGTATTATAAATTTTCATTTATTCCCACCTTTCCAATGGTACTAAAGTTGTGTTCTATTTCCTGGTATTCGTCGAGTTAGCAAAAGTTCACGCGCACATTCAGTAATCACGTGCGTCGTTCCCATAGTTGTTCGTATGTGGGCACTGTTTCTGTTTAATTGTTCGGGATTTATGGTATGCGCAGGTGTTTATATCCTTCATATGGGCTTCTGTGATTTATTTCAGATTTTTCCCTCATGATCTAAGGTTGTTTTGCACTTTCCGTGCTTTGTTTTGACTGGGCTCTTCCTTATTTGGACGGAAATTGGTCTTCACAATCTGCCAAAGTGCGGATCTCAGTTCTGATGGCTGGTTCCCTTCGCATTGCCACCCTCATGTGTCATTAAACATGATGCGGATTTCTATATTCCCGTCATGGGTATAACTTCACAACAGCTGGACCGTTTGGGCTGAAAATTTGCATAACTATAGTTCCCTATTTTTCATAATTTCCGTGTAAATTTCGTTGTATGTTTTAATTATGGATACTTCGTAAACATTGTCTTTTCCCTGAGCTCGGACTTTTGATGTCGCTATTCCCATTATTGGATATCTCACTAATGCATGATCCTTTTATTATGAAAATTTGGGTGGATTAAGATTAGATCCCTTCCTTTCTAATGGGCTATCAAGCTCGTCTCGGTCATTACTGGTTAGTCTTCGCGCTTGCTTTTTAAACGTTGTCCTCATTTTGCAGGAGTTTTAGTCATATCTCCGTCGTTTGTGGGTAGTTTTCCCTGTAATTACTTTCATTGGGTCCGTTTGGGGGACGTCTACATTTCCTATTATAAACACGACTTTGAATTTTGCATTAGTTCCTGAGGAATCCTTATTCCGTGGTACTTCCATCCTTGGCTACGTGTGCGGACATGGGAAAGTAGTTTCCATGGAGGTTCTCTGATTGTTTTTATAGTCAAATATTGGTCGATTGTCCTAATTCTTTGTTTAATATTTGCTATAAATTCCCCCAAGAATTCCGTCTTGTTGATGCTAAGCTTGAAGTATTTTTGCTAATTTTCTTTCTTTCAATTTATCACATATAGTCATAATAATTCGTAAAAATTCGTAAAAATTCAGGTCCTTCTATTTTCTCATATCTACTTGTCATATGGGGTTTTGTGATTTATCTGGCATATTTCCATAATGGGTTTCCATAGTGTGACCATTATTTCTCCTACAGCGCACTGGACATTTATAATCCAATTATCATGGCTTCAGTGAAAATTCGTTTGGAATCAAAAATCGACTTGCATGTTTTCCACATTGAAGGAAAAAAGAACATTATTGCCGATGCCCTATCAAGGCGGGCTTTCACCGCCGCACGCTCTTACATGCCTGAACTCTCAATTAGGCACTTCACGCTGAAAGAGGGCTCGCGGCTCTCTATGCTGACTAAGCTCGTGGGGGCCAAACTCCCTAAACTCCTACTTTCTTGACTATACTCTGCTTATCTCGATCCTTAACTCCGTGGTGAGTTCTCCGGGTTTCCGCAAGGTCCGGGCTCAACAAATCCACTACCCACTGTTGCAGGCTAGATTGTTGCCCTTATTCCTACTGTTGGAATCCACTCACTCACACCCACTCTAGCGCGTCCTAGCACCTTAGAGAAAATGGGGGAGGGGAGAACTTCTATTCCAAAATCCGGTATGTACAGGATTATAAGAAATAATTATTTTTAGAAATAATAGATGGGGAATATTGGTACCATATGGCACCTGGATACCTTATTAGGCGAAATAATAGAAAAGGGTAACAGTATCAATAAAAGAATATCAATCAATAACTGAAATGATGGTGAAATATGAAAATAAGAGAAAATAAGCGATATCTCAATGGATTTATGGAATTAAGAGCCTAAATTGGAAATGTAGCCGGAGATAACTCTCACGCAGCCGATGAGCATTTTTACCAATTTATTAGACGCCGTGGGAACGAGTGAGGCTGGAATTCTGGGTTGCCGCCTGAGATTCCCACGCCCGCACATGCCCGTGACCTGCTGTGCCTAACTTGTCCAACACAGAACTCCATCAATTCTCCACCGATTAGGACGTTCTTGGTATCGATGGGATCGTAGGAATTAGTACTATTTTTAGATACCAAATCCGTGTCGAGTCGTTGTATGAATGGGGGGTGGTTTTCTAATCGTGGAAACGGGTATCCGAGCTGGCGCTGCGCGTGGGCGATTATCCCGCCTACAACGCCCCTGCTGAACATGTCAGGGGCGACGAAGGTATGATCTCTGAACAAAGCTCCTCAACCAAGCAGCCCACCCATGAAAAATGGTCGATGGAGCGTCTAATGGCGGAGTGGGCGCGGGCTTTGGGAGCTTCCCTGGAATGGAGCACCCACAAAACTTACATTTCTGCCTTTATGTCCTATGCCACTTTCTGCGAGACTCATGGTTTCCCATTGAAACCATCTGAAAACACTCTTAGCTTCTACATTGTTTACATGTGCCATTACATCCAACCATCTTCCGTCAAAAGCTACTTGTCAGGGATTTGCGCGGAGCTTGAAGGCGCCTGGCCTGACATTCGCTCAATCAGGAACTCCCCCTTCATATCACGCTGCCTTAGTGGCTGCATGAAGCTGCACAACACCCCAACCACCTGCAAGAGACCTCTAATGGAGGATGATCTTATTCTGATCCAAAACAGCCTGCCACAATCTCCTGCCCATGATGACAAGCTTTTCATTGCGATGGTTTTGACTGGCTGGCATTGCTTGATGAGACTGGGTGAACTTGTGGACCCAGACTCTACTGCACTGCGCAACTTCCAAAAGACCATACTGTACCCACGCGACCAACTACCGGTGCATCCCAAGCGTGACACAAAATTTCTGCCAGGTGATGAACCGGGAGCTCATTTTGATGCGTGACAACCCGACCGGCAGGCGCGTGACCTTGACCGTGGGAGCATGATCCAAAAGGAAACCAACATGCTGATGGTCACGTTTGGTAGCCAGAATAAATGTGATTAATTTGAAAATGAGTTTCCCTTTAAAATTTCTTTGCACCTAAGTTTTGCTCTTGCGCAACATATCTGCTCTTATACAGATGAGCCCATCCTGTACAGCGGTATCCCAAATGCACTTATCGGATCCTACTTTCCCAGACACACCCTGTCCGTCGCTGGGTTTCTCCGGTTCAAACTCCCGTCATCCAAACAAATTTATCTGCATCTCCCAGTAATTCCGGCACCCTTGATGATATCACCACGCTCCCTTCCTCTAGCCTCAGCTTGGATCTTGGCCGTGGAATGCGAGCGAGGCGAACACGCAATTTGGAGGAGATGAAGATTTTTCACTTCTAATATAAATATGACTAAAAAGGGCATTTGAAATATAGTTGCATAGCCACTGAAGCCGCCACCAAGGAATTTGCGTGACATGGGCTGTTCAACCGCACCCCCAGCGTGACGCATGACATGACCGTCATTTCGGCTGGACCGGGAGGCCAGCGTGACGCGTGACCGGTAGTTGGTCGCGTGGGTACAGTATGCCATCGCTCAGTTCGTTTTAACAAAACACCTTGCCCACACATTTCGTTTATCCTGCCAATGCACAAAGCTGACCATCTGTTTGAAGGTTCTACAATTGTACTAGAAGGTCGGAATAATCAACTGGACCCTCTGTCCACATTCACGCAGTACTTGATATCGCGTGACCATGACTTTCCCCACCTTCCTGAACTCTGGCTCACAGCAAAGGGGACCGTTCCAACATGCTCCTGGTTCTTGAAACAACTTTATGCGGTTTTTCCAAATGACAACATCAGCAGACATTCCCTACGTTCAGGCGGCGCCACTGCACTTGCGCTGGCAGGAATGCCACTGCCTCGAATCCAATCTATCGGACGATGGTCATCAGAAACCTTTCTCATCTATATTCGCCAAAACCCTATCCTCATCCAGGGAACACTCTTGGGGAGATCGGCATTTGATGCCAGCTCTAATTAAGAAATCTCAATGAGCACATGCGTCTACATCAGTCTCTTCACCACCACCATCCACCCTCTCCTGCCACCTGAATAGGATTAGATTGATACAGATCACGCGTGTCTCACACCACTTGGTTGCTGCCAATACACTCTGGGCCTCCTGGGCCATTGTCAGAGACGGGATTATTGTCGGAGTCGGAATACTGTCAGAGATCTGGGATGCTGTCAGAGACTGGGAATATTGTTGGAGTCTGGCAGACTGTCAGAAGACAGATAGACGATGGATTGGGTTCTGTCTGAGTTGAGGTCGGAGGTGATGCAGAGGTCTGTTGGAGCGCGCGCGCGGATATGCGGGCGGAAATATGCGGCGCGTCCGGAAGTGCTGTTCAAGGTTAGCAGAGTGGGATCGCGGCCTCAGCGACTCAGGTGGAGCGCTGTGCCCTGAGCTTGACGTTTGGGGGAGATCCCGTATTTACGGATTGACACTCACAGCGGACTTCAAACAAGACTTGCGGGCGGAGCGGACCTATAGAAGGAGCACGGACTCCGCAAGCACAGACTCAGAGGGGGGAAGCCCCCTTTGCAGAAGGAGAGACTCAGAACAGACAGGGGGGTACTCTGGTTGATTTCAGACTGGGGTCCCCGAAAGTATTTACAAGGTATATAAATAGGCAAGAGGGAATATAGAAAGGCCGGTCAGTCCGGCGCAGTCCAGCACGGAGATAAGCGGGGATTGTCAAACTAAATAAGGACAAGAGCCCGGGAACTGGAAACGAGGAACAGATCAATAAACAATAAGTGGCAAGGGTTATTGATGAATAACTGAATGAGATCAATAACCTAGTGCCAATAAAGAGGGGATCAAATGCCGATATTGGCAGGGAAGCAAACAATAAATGGCACTCGGCAAGGAATGAATGATAAGCTGCCAAGTGACAAATGGCCAGAGGAAAAGCGGAGGTCAGTGCGCGGCACCGATACAAGTCCGCAAATAAGCGGGGTCGGTGCGGTGCCGACACAAGTCCGCAAACAGAGGTTGATCTGCCAGCACTGTCACACAAGGACAGCATGAAGGCCAACAGAGGTACAGAGGGGAGTGGGAGTGTTGACCTGACCAGAGGTGTCAAGGGCAACCAGAAGTGGCCAGAAGGTGCAGAGATGGGCAGAGGGTGTGGAGTGGGCAGAGGGTGCAGAATGCACGGAAGTGGGGCGTGGCTGTGACCACATAGCGGGAAGCGATGAGTGTGGTTCGGATGGAGACGAGGCAGGCATGACTGAATGCCGGGAGCGCCAAGGGCTCAGGAACTGGAGGTAAGGTCGGAATACCGCAGGGTCTAGGTTCTGATTACTGGCCAAGTCTCACGCAGTAAGGCAGGGGACCAGACATGGGGTTGGGGGCTGGTTAGGATGGGTTTCAGGTCAGTGGATTCGCCTATCGGCATTGGTTCGCCGCTGACGGAGCCCCGGGATTCGTCGGTCGTGACAGCCATCTCCCACTATGACCTCAGTCAACCCTGATTAGTTTGGACTAACCTGTGCCAGGCCACGGATATATTCATTCATTTGAATTCATTTCCTTTTCCCTCAGTTCTTCATGCATATTAGCTGAGACTGAGGTTAGTTACATTCCTTTATTACTGTTTCCTTTACTATTGTCACTTACAATATGTACATTACCTTCAGCTTCCCGCTTATAGGTAATATATCAGTTCTTCACGCATATTAGCTGAGACTGAGCTTCCCGCTTATAGTCCAGCTCCGAGATCACAAGTGTCGCTCATCAACAAGAAGAAGAAAAGGGGAGGAGAAGCGGGGAGTGGTAGTGGGGGAGTGGGGTAGGGCAGAGTGGTGCAAGATGCGGCACAGGGTCAGGTGGGGTATGCCCTGACAGTTTTCCTCGAATTCTTCAAGGATATATCCTCTTTCCATCTGGGTTTGGGCTCTTCAGCCTTCTTTCCTGATGGGAGAGCTCTACCTCAGCCCGTAGTTGCCATGGTGGTTGTTCGGGTATAATATCCCGATTTGTAGGCTGAAGACATCTTCAGCCCGTTGATTATCTCATCTACATGAGATATTGCTTTTAACATCTCCTTGTTTGAGGAGAAGTCCGCTCTGATTCTGTCATGAGTGATCATTTCCCTCTTCTCCATACTCCGGAGCACTCAGGAGCATAACAATATTTTGCTGATGATAGGCATCCATCTCCGACGGAATTGCCTGAAAATTAGAATATGTACAAGTTGAACTTGACTGTTTGCAGTCACAAATTTTTCATGTAAATCCAATGTGTGGAAAGGTCAAACTTGTTGCCGTTGCATTGAGGGTAAATGTGCATTGAGTAAATTACTGTATACTGAACCGAAATTGTTCAGAATCCAAAACACGTTATTCCAGCGTGCGGCTAAATATGTATTCTGCTACTCAATCGATTTCCCGGAAATCCATGATTGTTCCCAAACTAGAACCCGGCCTCCCTTCTCATCATGCTTGCATTCTCGGCTTCCTGGATGTCGCTTTCACCGGTTGTCAGAAAGAGTTTGGTCGAAGGGTCTGTCTTCGATCGTTTAATTGTCATGCACGATTGGAGATCCATGTGTTGCACAAATAATTTAAGAATGGATGGTACAGTTGTGTCAGGACAGGGCTTTATAACAGCGTAGGCCAAGCTCAAGTAGTTGAAGTTCTTCATCCCCTCCATCAATGACCGCCTTGTCCACCTCGGCAATCACAAGTGAACATCGTGCCTTCTGAATATCTGAGAGCACAGGGTGAGAAACGACTACATCATGAATCTGTAGGGAAAATCAGACTGATCGCTCTTGAGAGTAGACAAGCGAGTGCGCGCACCTGAATGAGCATCTGGGAGACGCTATACCCTTGCCGTATGATACCACGAACGGCATTCCTCACATCGTCGTATCCAGCAGCTTTCTTCGCTTGCAGGTTATCAATATCCATAGCATCAGGATTAACGCCTCCAGGTAAGTGAGACTCCACCCCCAATGCTACTAAGAATGCGGAGATGATAGCATCTGGAATGACACCAGCAATTTCCTGAATGTCCCGAGGAGTGATTGGGTTGGAAGGTTCTGCGGTGGGTGAAAGGCGGGCGGCAGACTGGAGATAGGTTATGGCTCGGCGAAGATCACCATCAGATACTTTAATGAGGGTGTCGAAAGTTTCGGGTGACATGTTCACATTCTCGGCTTGAGCGATGTGGTATAATCGTGAGCGGGTTGACGAAACGTCAAGTGGAGTGAAGCGGAATTTTGAACAACGGGAAGCGAGTGGCTCTATTATTCTGTGAGAGAGGAATCCCATCAGGCTTGGGAGGATGAACATCGGAGGGTGAAGGATAGTAACCTTGTTACATAGTTGCAGACGAGACAGAAACGAGTGATTTTCGAATACGTCTCCATGATTCGTCGCAATGCACCTTGTGCATCTTGTGTCATCGAGTCGGCTTCGTCTAAAATTATAATCTTGTATGGTGGGCATGGATACTGACCATCCACCGGCGCTTTGCGCGGCGTCTGTCTGGCGAAGTTCTTGACCTTTTCACGAACTATTGAGATACCTCGTTCATCCGAGGCATTGAGTTCCAGCACTCTGGATCGGAAGATGTCTGGACTATGTTGGGTCGCGTATGAGTCTTGTCGGCTATGAAGGGCTCGAAAGAACTCACCCAAATAATTGGCGGGCAAGGGCCAAGATTGCGGAGGTTTTGCCCGTTCCGGGTGGGCCATAGAACAACATGTGAGGGAGCTACGATGCGAAAGATTGGCTCGATCATCCCAGTCCCAGATGTGTCTGCTCACATTGGTCGATGTTAATGCATTTCGCAAGACTGCCACAGTATGTTCTTGGGCGGAGATATCATTAATAGTTTCGGGGCGACTATAACTCGCTTCAGAAAGGGTGATTAGGGGCTAGAACGTCACGTACTATTTCTCTACCCATGGCTGAGAGGTTGCTTCAACCGCGGTCTTTGAAACGCGTTTAGAAGGCTGCTTTCCGAAGAAACTGTCCATTGCAAGAATTGGCTGATTTTGCTTCCGCAAACGCGTTTCCTCATTCCGCGTTGCTCTTTGCGACTTGTTCGGAACGCGTGTTTTCATAACGCGTCATACATGTCCTCGGAGACCTTTACTGATATCCAGACACCCTCCCCCTCGAAATTCGAAATAGGTTCGTGATCCTTGAGCTATTGACGCGTCGAGACATTTCCACAATTCACGATGAAACGTGTGACTCGCCACAATAGGGAAAGGTCTGAGCATGTCAGTGTCGACAGCTTCTGGTGTCTCCATTAAAGATGGGAAGGCTATCTTTAAGCAAAAACCAATCGATTGGTCAGCTGGCATTGAATCTATGAAAGGTGTGCTTGAATGTGGAAGATGTTTGCGCACGCTGACGAACACTTGATAGCATTGATTGCCTTCCACGAGTTTCTTTCTGGTCAAAACTCCTCCTTATCATTGTTTCCCGAAGAGCATCTCCCCCTCATAGCTAAGCACGTTCACGAGAGGTGCGCACATGGTGACAGAGCCACCCTCGATTTCCATAATCACTGAACATAGACTCCCGTCTTTTCTAGCGACAAATCTATCGGCGTCCTTCTTAGGAGCCTTCGAAAGACTCTATTCCCTCACTCTCAGTCTGCCAGCGAAGAGGCTAGCCAGGGCGACAAAATCAGCAACTCGGTGCTTCAGCAGGCCGTGCTCGATGTGGCGGTTCGGGTTAACTACGGCATAGACAGTGCCTCCGCTCCGTTTTGTATCTGGAGGTGGGAAGCGAAAGATTTGAATCACGTCCAAGGCGCAGTAAGCAACAAAGATGCTGCGGCTGTTCGCAAGGCCCAACGGATTCAGGTATGTTCCATGCTTGCCACCAATGTGTAGCGCACCTGAATTCTTTTTCCAGGCCAAGCAGGAGTTATACTACCTGTTCAATTCTCTTCCGGAACAGGGTCGGACCCCGTTCATGAGCGGTAAGAAAGAGCAGCCGGAGGGTGGCCTGGCTACGGCACAAATCAAGGACCCGAGCGACGAAAGCAAGGTAACGCGCACCCCCCGGTCAGTCCAAGGAGATAGCGCCTAACAGTTTGGATCTAGCCGGAAAATCCGACGCACTCAAGCGGAGACACCAAAATGCCCAAAGTTCAGAAGACGGGGAGCAAAATGAATGAAGTAAGCCCATATTTCATTTACTCAATTCCACTCACCAGCATCAAGAAATCTGCGGTCATCATGGCATCCTTCTTCAATAAACCGGTCAAACGGCGCGACCAACCAGGTTTGCGCGTCTTTTCGTCACTCCCATCCTTTATAATTAATCTGTATTTTGGGTGTAGCCACTGCCACGGATCCCAAAACAGATTTCGACAAATATTTCCTACCGTTTTCTGTTCGCAAGAACGTTATCCTGGCACCAACGAACCAGTTCCACACAAAACCCCCGAAGGGAGCAGTGACGAGAGTAGACTCTGAAATAATCATTCTTGACGGCGATCCGAGCAAAACTGATGGCTGTTCCACTCTCCCCGATATTTATCTACCCCTGGCATACGCAATGGACATCAATGGGGACATTGCGCCGAGGAGTGAGTTGACTGCTTTGCGAAGCCCGTTCCCACTGCAACGATCAACTCCCATTAGACCTTATTTCGCAATTCGTTCGAAAAGTGCCTCCATCTCGGCGCGTGGGATCATCTTTCTATGAACCCCCTTCGTTGGGCTTCACCGATGGAGGTACATCCAGTCAATCCTCAATAACTCTTGGATCCCAGAAACTTAAATCCCGAGCGAATTTATCAGTCCGGGATATTATGGCGAACTTGAGTGAAGCCGAGGTGAACGGAGATGAAGTCGAGACCCGGCGGCTCCTCGATTTACTCAAGGACAGGCGCAAACTACCGGCTAAATTACTCCAATTTCATGATAATGCACGGCCACCCTACTACGGTACGGTTATGCCAAATCTATTACCTCGTCGTTATTGAACCGTGTGTTTGCTAGGGACTTGGACTAAATCCTCTACCCATGTGGGTCCACGAACCCCATTCGCCAAAGATCTTGTTGTCTTCGATTATTCGTATGATAGCGGTGATGAATGGGAAGAGGAAGAAGTCGAAGGCGCCGAAGAACTGATGTCTGAGAGCGGCTCCGAAGGGGAAGGCGAAGACGAGTTTGAAGAGGATGATTGGCTTGTTGGCGACGACGAGATCGAAGTGGCGAGTGGGATTTCTCGCTCAGTGTCTCCCTTTGCAAATCCCGCTGTAAATGAGAAGAGGAAGCGTAAGGCAGAGTCCAACATCAAAGCTGTTTCAAGGAAGCGAAGACAAATTGTCGGTCCCTTGATACCGTTCTCGAAGGGTCCTTTTTACGAGGAGGTCATTGGTACACGACAATATGAACCTTTTAATGACCATAATATATCTCTTCTTAATGGTGAGCCTGGACAAATACTTCTAGTCACGAATCTTATCTTTCTTGGATCCTAAAGACTCTTATCTTGGACTTGACCCTTTTGCTTTTGTTTCCGCCTGCGTCGAGGATTACAATAAGTTTGTGACGCAATCTGAAGACGCTCCAAGCGATACCGGGCCCAATTTTGCCATTCCCACCATACCACTCCATGTTCTGGCTTCGCAAGCAAATGGATCCGTGGTCAACGAAACTGACTCAGCACCCGCCAAGGTGGGGACATCAAGGAGGACTGGCCTTACTTTCTCGCTCCCATCAGAACATTACCCCGCTTTCCTGCGTGCGATTGACGGAAGCGACCGACCCAAACCCGTTCTTATTGACGAATTGTTCAAACAGTTCAAAGATTTACCGGGAGTCCCATTATTACGTAAAAATGCTATCGAAACTAAGATTGGGGAGATTGCAGTGAAGGAAAAGAAGATCTGGAAGGTCAAATCTGATGTTTGGGTGAGTTCTAGGTGCATGGCAGAATCGCACAGCCAACCCTTATGCAGTTTGTCAAGACGCATGCTGGACTAAATCCACCATGACACGCCTACAGTCTCTTGCTCTAATTTATCGCATTGCTGAATCGGTGCCTAATTGATGAATCAGACTACATCCAATCCAATATAGAGCTGGTTTATCTGCTCGGATTTAGCCTCTGCAGGGGGGTCCCAGTCGCTGGGATTTGGTCATTGCTTGAGCCACTTCCAAACATACCGCCGACAACGTTCTGTACCGCTTCGCCAACCCCTCGCGGCGTGGGTGTGTGCCGAACACCAAACAATCTCACGTTCCTTCCGTTCCACACCCCTAAAACATTCGATCCCCGGACGTAAACTTCCCCCCATATCAGAGAGCTTAACCATACCATGGACGCGTCCGACCACTGTTCAACCAAGAAAAAGTGAGGTGAATAGACTGATTCGACCAAGGATAAGCCCATACCTGGAAACGGCGGGGGTTCAGAGAAGGGGCAGGGGGTAGTATGCCCTCCAGCGTAACAGATTTGAGATAGTCTAATACCCTTCGACTCGAAGCGTGCCTAGACCCAGAGCCAGCGATTTCAGTTATCCGTGGAAGGAGCTCGGAGATGGTGAGGAGGATTGGATCCAGAGGCAGTCTTTAACAGGGGATCAGACAACAAAACTCGCGTTTCTTGGGTCCTGGATGCTTACCCTTGTTGCCAGGATGTGACCTACAGGGAAGAGAGGAATCAGACAGAGTGCGAGATTGAACAATCGAACACACCCATTCCTGCGTTGGCACAAAACCATTTTTCCCAATACCTGCCGCAGCTATCCTCTCCAGCTCAGGATCTAGTAGATCAATCGAGATAGATCGTTCTCGCATCTTTCCCCTCGTTTTCTCAGACATCGCGGTCAAATCTCTCGCTTCGCTTGAACTCCGTCGCGGCAACGAATCGCGGGAATCGGAGGTCGGAACTTGTGTTATAGTTTCACCTGACCCACGCCCTGTAACGGATGTCACTTCACCCATCCCTTCGTTGCTCAGGAGTAGTGAGTCCTTTGTGTCTTCCGCCGCGTTCGTATCTGAGTTGGCAGCGGCGTTCTTCTGCTTTCTGGCAGACTGCCGAGCCCGTTCTTCCTTGAGTTCTTGGACGCGGCGGATTTCTCGTAGACCTTTGACCAAAGTGAATGTACCCATCTCTTCAAAGATCTTGTGAGAGCGCAATATTGCATATACCACATTAGGGTTCGACGCTAATTGATGGAACAATATCCCGTTGAGTGCTTCCAACCTGAAGGGATATGTCAAGGGAGAAACTGGGATCCATGTGCAGTGGACCATACATGAAGAAGACAAGCCGGGGATGACTATCATCAGCCAAAAGGAACATCGGATTTGAGAATGCAGTAAAGAGATGGATCAATTTCGTCGCAGATATCACCGTCAGGTTTTGAAAATATGGGGCGACATTAGAGATGGCGATAATTAGGGCGGGATATAGAGAATTAAGAGACCCAGAAGTTGTAGCGACGATTGAGTAAATGGACTAATGGCGTGGGTGAGAAATGTACTCCAATCTTGGCGAAGGCGAGCATACGGTAATGAAGAAGTCTCCTGCGGAACCTAAGGCCTGCCATTTTGACGGAATGGGTATTCGGGCAGGCATAACATCTTGTAATCTCATGGCGAACCGCATCTCCGCAGATAATGATTGAACGACATATGACAAGGCGCGACATAACCCGTGATGCTCTGGTTGGTCAGCTACAAGACAACCGCAGGGAAGAGGGGCGTACGAGGTTTATCTTTGTTCTCGAGGCAGAAGCAAAGGAGGTATGCGATCAGATCCAATAATTTCTCCGATTCAAGCAGGTGCGCACGAAATTTCTTCAAGCAGTAACTTCACCTTGAGTTGTCTAAACAGCAACGTTGGAGTATAAAGTACCTTATTGAGCTCAATCATCTTCCACAGAAAAATGACTGATGGATTTGTAAGTACTCCAGAACTATACGGTCCCAAGACAGACGATCACGTACATGTTTCTAGAATGTAAGGTACAGGCCGCGTGGATCCTGGCAGGAGATTGCTGGCACTTGACAGGTCAGTTTCCAGGGTCAGCAACACCCCATTAAGGACGAAATCGAAATCAGTTGGACGGTGCTGATTCAGATAGTTAAAGGTCACAAATTAAAGTATAAAATGGTCGTGACGGACCAACTTTGCCAAAAAGTACCTGAATGCATTGGACTGAGTTGTAGGCGTCCCCCTTTCCCCAGGGGCATTGGCCCCCCCTGAGTCGGCCGCATCACCAACCTGGTAGTCCAGCAGGACACACAAGACGTCTAAACACAATCCGACAAGACCAGCTCTGCCCTCATCAGCCTTTTTCGCCATAATGAGGTGATTGTAAGGCATCTTATCCACCATTCCGGTCCAACCCGCACTGGCCTCACCGTTCATAGAGGTATTGAGAAGAGAGCATAAAATCGAAAGAACAAGACGGCGAGGAGTCTTGTGGACAAAATGAGAGGCGTATCTATTCGGAAGAGTGAGGACGGTTGCAGGAGCATGATACATTGTCTTGGAGAGGAGAATAAGAAGGAAGCGGAGGACTTCTGATTTGTTGGATTCTAGTTGACCGCTGGACCCAACGGCCGTTGTGGACCCTATGCCTTTATCCCTGCATCGGCCAAATTATCGACAAACGCTTATGACGATGCTATGGAGAGGATTGCTTAAACATACCAAATCACATAGTTAATCTTGTGATGGTCAACCTGTATCGAAGTTGGTAGTGTAAATCCACAACAGAACATCAAATCAATCGTGCTTGAAAAAAGCCGTTCGGCTAGACATGGTTGGAGTTGTTTCTTGGGCTGAATGCTTTGAGGATCCTCCGGTAGGGTGGGCTGTGAAGACCGCTCGCCTTCGTCCTCATCATCGATAACAAACTGGGGCTCGCTCGAGCGACTGGAAACGTCCACATCACTCGAGGACAAGCCCGGAACAGGTTTCTGCATCCAAAATAACTCCTCTTCGAATGCCTCCTCGTAATCAAATACGACAGGTATGATGCGACCCAGAACGCGTAGACAATTAAGCACTTCCTTTGTAGGGTCCCTCTCCTTTTGAGCCCATGGAGAGATTGGGCTTAGGTTAGTGATCCCAGAAGCGAGGGTTGCTGGGGGAGAGGGGAAGGTATGGTCGGAAATAAGGTTGAAGAGACGATGAGTGATAACATTGATAAGTGTCTTTACATTCTCAGGCGCTTCGACGAGAGCTCGACGGACTTCGAATATCAAAACCGAAGATAAATGGTGAGAAATGCATCTACACAAGTTAAGCGCACTACTTACTGTCCTGGGATGTTATGAGTGTATAAACGTCAGTGGCACTATCAAATAGTTGGACATACTGGATGCAGGACCGCAAAGCAGCATCAAAAATGGACAGGGATCAATCCTGTTTGCCACACCCAGAAAACTTCAATATACCTACCTGTGACCAGTAGGCATCGTCCGTCTCTGCAATATTTCTCACCTCTGCCAACTTTGTTATCCCCCCAGGCTGGGTGCGGAAAGCGAGTTTAGGATCGTTGCCAATCAAGCCAAAGGATGAAGACAGCTTCGGAAAGGGGAACATCTTTTTTCAAAAAGGACTCCGGTCGACAACCGAAACTCACTCGACGACAATCGCCAACCCTTGCCGCCAAAGCGAGAACTGAATTGGTAATTTTGCGATGATGCAGACTGCGAAGTCACGTTTTCCGTGTTCACCGATGACCATCATCACCACCCTTCACGTTCATCAACCATGCAGTTCCTCTCGACACGGAGGAGAGTCGGGAACTCACCCTTGCGGCATCGGGGTGGCAATAAACGCAATGGGATTCAACAAGTACAAAGCGATGAACATGTAGAAAGAGATCATCAACAAGACGAACTAAACAATTCCCTGAAAAGTCACTGTAGTTCCAATGTGGCAAAAGCTGATGTCACAGGAGGCACGACGATGGAATGATGAAACGTAATGGAGAAAGACAAAAAGATTTTCCAGCGAAAGCCGCAGAGCAGACGGAATGTTCAGGCACCGTGTATCTTGATGATCTTCTTCTCGATGCCTTCAACAACAAGGAACTCGGCTATCTTCACACGCTGGTCCCCCTGAAGCTGAATAACCTGACCGAGTTCTTCGTCTTCGACAAGGGTCCCGTTGCAGGCAAATTCCTGTACAGGGAGGGGAGATCAACATATGCACGGCGAGGCGCACAAAATCCTCACCTTCTTGAAAGCTTTCAACAGTTTTTTGGAGTCGTATACTAAGAATATCAGGAAAGACGTCCATGAGACCATGTATTATGTAAACTACGGGTGAGCTGTCATACTTTTAGGCAGTCCTTGCAACGTGGTCAGTGTCTTACGACCATTACGTTGCTGCAAACGAATATGTATGTAATTCTTGCTAGATTCAACGTCGCCAATAGGGTCGCCCTCGTCTGCGAAGGGGTCTACAGCATAGAATCAAACAAAATCAGGAACGCCGTTGATGAACAACTTGCTCCGACGGCCGATCACAGGAACCGTCGACAAGGAAGAGGTCAGGTCTACGCACCGTACTTCTCAAGGTTCTGAACGCTCATACGATGGGGAAACGAGGTACTTCGGTCCTGAGTGGAGAGAGTACTGTTGGAAGAAGGGAAGAGGAGTGAAGAGCGCGGAGTCACTTGGTATGACCTGGCAAACTCCGGCCTGCTTTATTCGGACTCGCTACTCAAGAAACCGATCAGGAACTCAGCAAAGGTCTCCTCCATCGCTTCTTCTGCTATAAGCTCTTGAGTTGCATTTGGGACTGTGGCAATTCCTGATGGCTCCCACAAAAGGAAATCATGGGGAAGGGGGGAAGAAGGGGCCACGAAAGGCACCTCAATTTACCCATCTCCCCCCACAAAAGGGTACGAGTTGGTCTGACTAGACGGGCACTTTTATGAAACGGAATTTAACTAGCCATGAAGCTACAGAAGCAGTGGGCAGAACAACAGAAGATAAAATATGCATATCGTGCCGAATTGCGTAAAGCTGGGCGCCAAAACCTACTACTCCAAGATCATGAGGCACCCTCAAACAAAGAGAAAATCGCAAAAGACAACCATGATAGTGCAGATGTTGCTGTCCCATCTACCTCACAGAATCCGGACAGAAAAGACGCCTCGTTCTCCCGCTCACAACACCGCCCCAGCACTTCTAAAGAGTCTGCGTCATCAAACCAAACCCCTTCCTTGCAACCCTCTCAGCCTGCTTCATCGGAAAAAGCTAGAGCGAGGGCACGTAAACTCGCTAAGATAGCCTACTCACCAGAGAGTCTACATAATTTCAAAAGTGACCCACTTCACAAGAAGTCTGATTCTGGTGTAGTAATGGGGAAAGGTGGTAGAGGGGTCAAAGGCCAACCCAATATGCGGAAGAGAATGCAGGCCCTTCTCGCCCAAATCGAGCTCAAAACGTGAAACCACCCAAGTCAGAGGCACGGAGTCGAGCATGGAAATCCCACTAAACAAGCTTGGATCCGGCAAGACCAGGATCATCGCGGTTCATTTTCAACTGGAATATTTTCCACTCTTCCAATCCGTGTTTTCCATTATCTTCTTATGATACACTGTACATACCAGACACTCCGTCATCGATTGCATTCATCAGATGCCCTTCACGATAATTTTCTTCCCATGATTTTCGTTCCTGCCGAGCATTTCTAAGCCTCGCTGTATACCACCTCCGTCCAGTCCTCCTGGGATGACGTAAGTACTATTGAAGAAGTATTTGAAGCGCTTGTCATCGCCATGATATTGCAGCCAGTCTTGAATCAGTTCCCTTGCACGGCGTCCAAACTCCCAATGCTCAGGGTTGGTCTTCTGGAAGATGATGAGGGGCATCAGGATGGGAAGCAGCCAGACCTGAGTGGGGACGTACGCTGATTACAATTGCGCCTTGGATGCCCGCACGTCTAATTGCAGCGCCATGGAATGGCAGGAGATCCTGCCCCTCAGGAGTGACAGTAGCAATCTGCCGCCAGCGGTCAGTCCTCGGTGGCCTACAGTAAAACTTCGGTCCAAGAACTCACCGTTCCCCCTACATTGACAATTTCAATCAACTTACTGATGGTGTTAGGCGTCGAGATAGCATCATAGGCGTGCAAGACTTTGGCGTCACCCAAATAAGCTCGGATATTCTTTACAACATGTTCGTCTTTGTAATCGAACACTTCTTTCGCACCCAAAGCCTTGGCGCTGTCGAAGTAATGCGAGGCAGCAGTGGCGAGCACGTTCGTATAGCCTGCAATGCGAAGGATTTGGAGGGCGTGTTTTCCCACTCCAGAGCCTGCACCCCAAACAAGAATAGGGGCATCAGAATCAGGCTGCAGATTTTCCAGGGGAGCTGGGTTCGAAGGATGGGGAAGGGCGGGGAAGCGAAGGTTGAGATGCTCGGGAAGACAGAGTCCCACGATCGCAGTGTAGTAGTTGATTGAGATAGATGCCGCCGCATCGTGGCCGACTATTTGGGGTATCTATATCAAGGATCGACATTAAGTTAGTGTATTTTCCGCATTATTTTCAAAACAATCTACCTTGAAAGCGATATTAGCATCGCTGCTTGAAATCTCTTGAAATGCAGCAGCTGGTTGTCTGAGTAGTACAGTCAGGAGTTATTCGCAACTAATCATTCGCTGAGATTCACCCGTCAATGAAATGCACAGCAGCAGTTGCTACCCTGTCCCCTTCCTGGAGATGAGTCACCTCTTCTCCGACCTCTGTGACAACGCCAGATAGATCTAAGCCACCGATCCAGGGGTACTCAGAAACCCGATAATTATCGTATATTTGTTTATAGTCCAACGGCTAGGTTCGATTGCTGGACGTTATCACAGGATTAAGCATACAAAGGTAAGGGACAAGTACGTTTAGGCCGACTGCTTTGATGCGAATCTGAACTTGAAGAGCCGCGGGAGAAGCTGTCGTTACTTCTTTCACGTTGAGGGGTCCTTTTGCTTCCTCTTGAGAGAGGGCACGATGGGTTGGCATCTCAGATGTGGAGTCTCAGGGCTAACCCGGAATTCGCCCGTGTCCGTGACACCAGGCTTCACGGTTCGTTGCGCTTGCGAAGGACATCTACCAGCCCACTATACCACCTTGTTACAAAATAAAGGTTAATTAAAAGGGAGAGCATTTTACAATGGGTGTTGTGTATGTGGCGTGATTCACTGAATGAAAACGCCCAGCGAATGGAATGCATGGCGACATGCGGGCCAGAGAAAAACTTGGGGTCACGCTCAATGTCCACCCTACGGGACCACCGACGTCGAGATGAACGGCCTTCATTCAACGCAACACCTAAGGTGTCCGCGAAGATGACAGAAAAAGAACCGAAAATGGAGCTGCTTTGGTGCGGTGCAAGTTGAGGGCAACGGAAGACGCTGGGCCATGCCAAAAAAAAAGAATTCGCATAGGGAGCCCACTGCGGATTTTGTGCCGTTCTGCCCGACAAAGCGGAACCGCGACGAGCCCGCGTCAATCAGGATTCATTCCCACGGTTGATGATTAAGCGCTGCAAAAACTGCGTTCTGCTACGGCTTTTCGTTCCAGCCTTCATCCTCCCCATTCACTACCGCTGATTTAGTTGCAATCCCAAAATTTTTACTGCTTATGCTCAGCCATGGTTGCTTTTCTCACCAATTTATTTGTTCACCAAGATCATGTATCTTTATGTTCGGCCCACACCGTTCGCCTGCGCAGAACGCCATGCCTACGTTGACCTTGATTGGCCTGTCTACTATCCAGAACCAGTCTGATTAATCCACTCCATTGGGACTTTGTTCTAGCTCGTCGTACAGCCACAACTCAACGTCACATCCCCTCAATCTAGCAGACACCAAAACTGGTCGGACGATGTCGGCAGCCCAAGCATGGGCAAAAATCGGGCTGACTACAGCTGGACGTAAGTTATAAACAGCTTGTGCTGATCCCCTCCTAACTGCTCCCAAGTCACTGGTGTTGGTTAGTCAGACTGCTACGAAACCATCGGAGAAAACTAAACATGAGCTTCCATGGTGGCGTAGGATGGCTAATTATGAAGGGTGAGTCGTCCCTGTCCAGTTTTCGTATCCGGGGCTATTCATCATCGGAGCAGCTACAACCCCAGACGAGAAAAAATTGTACGACGTAAGGATTTTTTCAACTTCACCCAGGAGTCTACAGAAAGCGCTAACTATTTCCAGAGCCTGTCACCAGACCTAAAGAAGCAGGTCGACGAACTGCGTACTCAGAGACAGACTCAGAAAACAAATGATGCGGCTTTAGTGGGTCGATACTCACTCATTCTCTCAAGAAATCATAGTTACCCTGTTGCTCTTGATAGCTTGGAAATCCTGACGAGGCGAAACCCGTTTGGTCAAAAAACTCGACTCCACGTTAACTGGATTCTCGCCTAGCCGTGTTGACCTATCCAAACCATCTCCCATCCTGATCAGTGTTTAGATGCCGCATAGTTGCGTACGTTGCACAATGCTGGTATCGTATATCTGTAGCCTTCGCAGTGTACAAAGTGAGGCTTCAGATGTAGCTTCTGTGACAGAAGACATCATTCCATTGTCTGCTTCAAGTAGTGACTAATGAGGTCCCTTGCCACGATTCAAACCCCTGGGTTGGAGATACTCCAACGTAATTCATACAAAAAACCAAAGGGTTGTTATTGACTGAGTCTGAATGAGTCTGAATGAGTGTAAGTATGGCGAGTAAAGCTACAAGAAAGATGGAGAATGAAGAGCACAAGAACTACAATCTACAAGGGAGCGAATCAATTTGATCCTTAACGATAGCTAGCTTATGTTGTGAACGAGACGACAAAAAAGTAAATGGACACTGCGAGCATCTGATCGCTGCTCTCCGACAGCATCCCGCAAGGAACTCGGGTGAAAACAGCTCCTCGGTAATAGGCTTCTTCTGCAACAGATGTCTGCTACCCTTAACTACCTCCAACCACCACTCCGCCACTCCATCTTCACAATACTCCCCGCCGCATGTAAGACCCTCTGCCGACACCTCGGCGACGAGCTTAATGGCTTCCCCGGCGCGACGTTCGTGGAATTTAAGGATCCTCTTGACTTGATCAGGGGTACAGTACGCGAGATCATAGCCAAGATCCGTCTTGGATAAGTCTGCGCGTAAGATTTCACGCGAAATGGAGGGGATTTCCGATTTGAGGTTGAAACGACAGGCTATGCCGTATGCGCGAAGGGGGTATTCTCTGACGAGATCTCGAAGAGCTGTCGAGCAAAGGTAATGGATGGCCTGAGCTACAGCGTATCGCTGGCACAAGTCGAGGAGGTCGCTGAGGCGCTCTGATGACTCCACACGGGGCTTCTTGACCCGTGGATAGATGAGCCGTAATAAAGAATCGATGGCCCCAGACGTCTCGTCGAGCGAGAGAATGGCACGCTTGACCCCGAGGTCTTCGCGTAGGAACCCATAATGAACCGTCTGAAGCTGCAAAACAGGGGAAGCCGTGAAGATGGTTTGGGAGTCAACGTAAAACTCGATCATTTCGTTGCCTTGGCCCCAGATAATGAGATCGCTGCGATTTTTTGGCGCAAAATACTTTTTCGTTATGGTCGGCTTTATCGTATCACAGGACCTTAACACATCGTTTGAGCACGAGATTGGCACAGTGGTCGAAGTCGTGACAGACGGGGTTAATGAAAATGTCGTAGAAGGATTGACATGCAGTGGAGGGCGATGGGAATATGGATAAGTTGATAGTACTTGGGCTGGTTGAGAGTTCTCGTCGGCCTTCACGCGCTTTTTGAACTCTCGGTCGGCATCGTCAGACGACCCAGCAGAATCGTGGTTTGTGCGTCGACGCTTCCTGAAGCCAATCCCATTACTAGCTTTCTTGGTAGGAGTGGGCGGTAGTGGCATTGTAGAGGCACTGGGGCGCCGAGGCAGAATGAGAGTGAAGAAGTGGTCAACAGTCAAGGAGAGCATCACGCCAACCGAAGGCTGCACCGGGCAAAATGAGTGAGGGATGTGGGGAAGATCCACAAATGAGGGCAGTCCTGGCCAGGTGAATCTTGCAGCACCAGAGAGAGTGCATTTATAGTCGAATCACTGGCGATTTTCTGCCACTGAGTTAGAGCCGAGTCTCGCCACTCGTGAATTGACAAAGGGCACAAAGGAAAAGCGTCAGGAGAGAAACAGCTCCATAAACAGAGATAGGAGACGCATTTGAATTTCACCCAAGAGGGTTTCGGGGAGACAGCCCGGGCTGTGTATCAAGATAGCGATCTGAAAGCAATAGGAGCAGAAAAAGGCTTCCAGTGTAGCCAGATTCCAGGAGTGGCAGCCAGAACAGGAGCAGTTGATTCCGTGTTTTCTCACGCCCCAGCAACTACTGTGTAGTGATTTGTTGTCCCTCAGGAGTTGCCCCATTAACAAGGCATCATTTGATCCACATGCGACAGCCAGTTAGCACTCGGCATGCGCCCAACAATTATCCTGGGATTGTGGGATGAGGGGAATGCACACAGTTTGTTGAAGGCTGGAAGTCAGGGAGTATCCTCGCGTTATGTATTTGTCAGTATTGTGCCACGTACTTATCTGGAGACTTATTTAGCGCCAGCTCAACCCCTCTGGCTTGTGCTCACATGCGAGGCCGTCATGATGAACGGAATCCACCTGAAATGTGCCGATCCGCGAACTCGATATTGCTATTGATTAATGATCTGTGACCTGAGGAACTCCGCGGTGACCACGTAAAGGTCACAGTAAGTCCTACTGGTCCTGCTCATTTGTAATTTAAGGGCAGTCCAAGTGAAGAACGAATACGCATTATATCCGAACTCAGACGTCCATTGTTGAAGAAAGCGAACTACTCTATCATTGGCTGACCATTATGTAGCAGATTTGGCTCCGTCGCCCCGCGATCTATGTAAGTAACACTCGCCAAATACTCGGGCAGCCTCCGAAGCGCTCCGGGAAAGTTCTAGCATCGGCCAATTGCTCTCCCACGGGGTCATATTGCCTCCCAGTCAGGCCCAAGCCCGCAGTCGTAAATCCCCAGTTCTCATCCGACGGTTCATATACTTTATTTGTGTCGAGCCTGATGCAGTCAAGTCAGTTGCCCTTGTAATTCCGAGCCTCCTGACTTGCAGAGATAGCAGAATAGTACTGCAGATAGCCGGAACGGCTTTCGAACAAGAGAGATTTGGATTCGGAGTCGGTTCAAAGAGAATGGCAGAGGCCCACGGGGGGAACAGCCAGCCGCGGAGAGAAAAAGGATCGAAACATTCCCCCAAGGGTTCATTTATCGTCATGCAGCGCCGCACGGCGAGGTGAAGCTCGTCTCATGCACTGACAGTCTGACCGATCGGACCAACACCAGCACTGTAGCTCGGACTTACGATCCCATGCGCCATTAGCGCCTGCTCGCTATGATCACTGATGTGTCAGACGCAAGAGCGCTACTGTCGAACGAGGATTCGATTTCAAGCGGAGCGCTTAGAGAAATGAGCAAAAAGGGAAAGTCGAAGGTCTACGTTCCAGAATGAAAGCACTGTATTCCCCATTTAATGCAGAGCTGAAAAGAGGCGAAGAGTTCCTCAACTTTCTGTTTGATTATCCCGATACGCACACGCTCTGAACGATGTCTTTGGCATCTCGAACGACAGCAAAGGACCTCCTTACTCCTATCCACACGAAACCACCATCTCGAACAGGGCTTGATATGCAGATTTCAAAGTTGGGACAAAGAGGATGGCAAGAGGGAAATGTTATGAGCAGTTTAGGCGAAAGTATTCCCACGGTGAACTTGAACGCCTGGATCGTTCATTGTGGCCATTGGGGAAATGGGTGACGATCGAGCAATCGACCGAGCATTCGGGCCATCCTATAGTGTACGTTCGCTTAAGCATCATATTATGAGGTCCGGATGGGTGGTACTCTGGATACCAACGACCACGAACCGCATAGATTCATGGAACCTGATGTGAACGAATGAACGAACAAACAGACCGACGATGGTGTGGAGGCATTCCCAAAGCGAAGATATTTATGCCAGATGGATCAATACTCTACTAAGTACATGACAGAAGATCGTGTCGAGTTGGATGCAATCATTCAGTGGATTAGGGTTTTGAAAGTGGGAGGGGAATTGGTGTGATACAGTACACTAGAGACTTTGGGTGTGAATCCAGCTGCCAGCTATCCTCCAAGCGATGGCCAATGCGCTCACCATGTGTGGGAACAAGAATGTCGTTGCATTGTCTGAAGTGGGTTTCTGTAAGTCCAATTCGTTCACATAGCTCGACCCAAGGGAGGTACCTGGTTGTCAATGGTATTTCCATACAGGCACAGCTACAGCACTTGTGGCGCATTTCACTCATCATCGGGAAACTCGTCAGGGAACTGACGACGCTCAACAATCTCACGGAGCTTGAAAGCGCTCAAAGGAAGGAGCAGAGCAACAATAGAAGGTAGTATGAGGGCGACTGGATTGGCTTCCATGTTGTTTTTGTTTTCACCGTCGTTGCGTCCGTTCGATGCAAGCTTGCTGTGCAATGGAAAGGCACCTCTTCCTCAGTGTGGGTTCATTTCTGAATACCCCATTCCCCAACAAATTCTCGGACCATTCAATTCATGACTTACATTCAACGGAGTTGACCGATAAGTATTTCTCAAGTGAAGTCAATTTGACATCAGCATTTGTCAGTGTCACAGCTTAATGAGTCTCATTTACGTAATCTTATCGGAATCACACTTCCGCGAATGGATCCGAGCACCTCACATTCACATCTGTCTCTTGGTTCGCTCCCCTCCGATTAAGTAACGATGATCATTAATATGGTCAGTCTCTATCTGTTGTCCACTGCAGATAGAGATTTCTGTAGCCATATCAATGTGGCTTGGATGCTACGGGTGGCCGATCATCATTGATGGAGGATGGGAGTGAAAGGAAGCGAGCGATCCAAAAGATAGATGTCTACATGGGATGTTTCATTCGATTCGTGATTGATAAAAGAAACCTATCCGCAGTTGGTGTCGAAGTTCTAGAATCTTTGAGTAGTCAAGTGGTTCACACCAGCCTTGTAAGGAACCGATCTCAACACCAAAGGATGTTTCGCATCCATCCAGAGCTCATTAAAATACTTATACACGAGCCCATTCGATCGATAACGGGTAACCCGAACGACCCGGTGCACGAAGACAAATAGGGAGGGTAAAGATTTGCGTACCAACCTGGAGCATACTTGCTTTAGGATCGGGGGACAGACACACCACCGTCAGCATACGTGATTTCCCAACCCTATTTGGCATAACTTGGTTTGTTGGGGTTGCCCTCCTCCCGGTCGATTTGGTCAGGATGCCCGATGAAAGAGTGATGCGCACTTCCAATACAAGGCACATGGTATGCGGCAGCAAGCTCTGACAACTAATCAGAGTGAATCCTGTAAACAGAGATATGTAAGTATGGAATGAGGCCGATGCTGAACAAGTGTACCTATGAGGATCGGCTTCCGCGCGTTGCATCGTTAGGGGACTCGTGTGAGCCCGATCATTACATGTTGTCTTAGTAAGTAACCAAGTAAAATCTTATCTCACCTCAGTTCACGATAGTAGAATTGGGGAAAAGAGTGAAAAATCCTGGCGGCGAGTTGAGGTTTCCCAGAGAGTGGCGAACGAAAGCAGGGGATAAGGCCAGTTGGGCCGGATCTTGTAATTACTGCGCTAGTCTCGGCACCGCATGCGTTACCGCTCTGGGTTTTCGCGCAACCTATGGGTCAAGGCCGTACGCTGGATGTGATGCGGATGTACGCACTGAATTTTATTTGTTGAGGAGGTTTTGCTTCGTGTTTGTTTCGTTATGAGTTTTGTTTGCTCTGTGGGTTGCTCACCCCTATCAGCAAAGATACCAAGAGTTATTGAGAACAACGGCGCTATGGTCCCCAATGAAGATCTCCACAATTGCGCGCTCGAACAGCAGCATGGGAATCGCACAGCTTCGGGTATCCCTAATTTCCTTGCAGCTGCACATGAGATTATGCTAACCTCATCCTTGCTGAGGGGAATTGCACAAGGAAAGAGGTTTGGTAGCACGGTACCGGAGAATGGACAGGAAGTTTTAGGGTGAAGTTCTTCGAACGAACAATTAAATTTCCGTTCCTATCCTCTCCGTTGAAATTGACGATTGGTTTAGTATGCTGCTCATTCAAAACAACAAGGAGTCCGTAGCTAATGTACGCCAGGTTCTCACGCCTACTGCCAGCAATAATGATTATGTAAGTGGCGGTGAGAGGGGCAATCCTAATTTAGACTAATGAATTGATCAATCCCCGATCAATTCATTGGGATCAGAAGTTCCTCGTGATTCTTCAGAAAAGGTAAAACCTCTGTACCTTGCCCAGGTGAAACTCTCCAACAACCCGCGCACCTACAAGTGTGGTTACGCCAAGCTTTGGGCCATCCGACACAATATCGCTCAGGACCGAATCTTCGGCAACGGATGTCTGACAGAGGCTGGTAACCTGCCCAGCGAACTTGACTAAACTTGAGGACAGGTTAGGTCTATGACTTCGTAATAAGGACAGGTTAAGCCTGAGATTGCTGCTCATGTGAGCCACTATTCATTTACTTAGCTGTACTATAGCGGAGCTGCCCGAATTTGATTGTCATACTATGAGGTTGGTTCGACAACACTACATATAGAAAGCAGAATAGGACGTACACTTCGGCTCGCTCGTACGGCCGAACCATTCCCAATGATGCCTCGGGATGAGAAGATGGAAGACGTACAATATTCTTCTGCAGCGACCCCGCCATCTTCCTCCTCCGCCTCACCGAATAAAACACGACCCAGACTGAATCTGCGCAACTATCAGATGGAAGCAGTCCTTCATAGACTGAAGGAAGATCATAGCTTATGGGACTTGGTCCTCAAGAAAGCCGAGGGGGCCAATGCGGACCATAGTCCTATGTGGGACGCACTCCTTCAATTGGTTATGTGGGATATTGCTCGCTTTCTGGAGGAGGCGGGTGTGTATGTCGGTGAATTGGAGTTTGTCACGGGAAACCTCAGCGATGTGGGCGCAGGAAATGTATAGATTTGATCACAGACGCTCTCAAACAGAGCAAATGGATCCCCTTAATCGAGTTTGGTGTGTACCAACCAGCATTCGAGGCACCGGTCTTCATTGACCGATCGTACACACAGTGGGAACGAAGCTGCGCCGCGCTGGGGAAGACAATTATGATGAGTGCGCTCATTCTCATTCAACATCGACTTCATTTCATACTTACGCATGACTGTTTACAGGCTTGATCTCCAAGAAGGTAAGTCTGAGAATTGAAATCTTTTCCGGGGCGCTGATTCGTTGTCAGATCTTGCTGACGCATATCGTACACCCTTTATTGGTGGTGCACCTCACGCTTTCATTGGGCATCTCGACCAAATCGACCGGGAGGCGGACTCCTTCCACAGTCCACGTTATGCAAAATTCCTCTCAGTAGTCCAAAGCTCTGGAGCCGGAAAATCACGCATGCTAACAGAGGTGAGTTTATCTCCTCATCTCGAAAGGAATCGCGATTACAATTGCTCTAGGTTGGCAGACAACTCTTTACCCTCCCTATATGTCTTCGTAGACCGGGTAGACCGGGTTACCCGTTATCGGATGCACTTGTCTCTGACTATTTCCGCGAGCTCAATTCTCAGTGCCACGGCTTAAATGATTCGAGCACACTTTCGGGCGCGGCTAGTTTCCTTACAGCTGCATATGAGACTATGCTAGCTTCGCTTCGAAAAATCCTCGACGAGGAGAATTGCACAGGAGCAGAGATTCTCAGTCGTTGGCACCAGAGAATGGAGGGAGATGACATAGGAAATTTTCGGGTGGAGTTCTTCAACGTCGTGATGAATCGAACCAAAGAGGTAAATCTCTGTTTTTCTCCTTTCTGCTGCAATTGATGAATGTCGGTTCAGCTGCGAGCATATTATGACGAAAATCCGGGAAATAGGGTCGAGGGGGAGAGCCCGGTCAAGCTGGCCAGGAGCTATTATGAGAAAGATGCAAAAAACGCCGCCGACAACCTCATGGGATTCATCAAGACCCTTACCTCTGGTGATCCACTATGCGTGATATACTTCGACGAAGCTCACGAGTTGGGGACATGCTTCTGGATCATGTCGCTTTTATTGCAAAACCAACCCAAATTCGTAAGAATGTGGTACATCTTTCTGGAGACGGAATCAAGCGTGAAACATTTTCCACCTCGTCCAAAAGATGTGACTTCCCTAAGACTCATAGCGGAACTACGTCGATTTGACCTCCCCTACTTTGCTCTTGGGTTTGATCAGTATGCCATCGAGCAGGCCAAAGCCCCGACACTCGTCAAGATGGGTGATTTGGAAACGATAAAACATATCAGTCAATATGGGCGGCCTTTGTATGTCCTTTCCTCCAAATCATAGGCTCAACTAACCACTCGCCCCTGGCCAGGTGGCGCACAATGTTTCCCAAGCTGGGTGACGGACTGGTGAAACTTGCGGCTTACAAGCTCACCGCCGGTAAAGGATTCTTTGCTATGAATTTGCATCATGTTCTTTCCGTTCTTGCACAGCGGCTCTGCCTTAATCTTGTTCTAGCGAGTGCCTGGGCCTCTGAGTTAGCCGTCCAGGGCGTCTCCCGTCACATGAGACTTCTCACAGGCTTCAAGTTCTCGGCCGACAATGCAATCTTTTGCACCCATTCGCCATCGGAACCGATTCTGGCTATGGGCGCTGCACGAATATTGTACCATCCTCGCGCGCCCAAAGGGCGGCTACCTTCAGTACTGCAGACGTTGAGCAAGAGTTTCTGCTCTGAAGGCTTGATCGAAAGGGGCCGTCGGGGTGAACTTGCTGCCCGCTTCCTTCTCCTCATCGCGCGCGACTATGCGGCTCCAATTGACAACGAGGGACACCGAAACCTGCTGAAACCAGTTCGCCTGCTGGATGTCCTCCGAATGCTTTTCGGCGACAATGACTGGTGTGATCAGAGCTTCAAAACGGCTTTCAGTGATGCCTTTGTCAATTTCACACACTGGAGCGTCACAAAGGACTTCTTACTTAAGACGCCTTCTCGGTAGTTATTCCTTGCATGCTCGTTCACATGTTTTACTAACCGAGAGCTCCTCAGGAAATTACTTTCCAACCTCTGGGCTCGGGGGGTCATATTGCAGTGCTGCTTCAATCAAACATCCACCGATTTTTTGTGCCCGGTTTATTTTGGCTCTGTGGAACCTGACGCTATCTTTGATTGCGACCAGCTGTCGGGGCTCGTCGTTCAAGTCAAGAATCAAAAGAAAGGGGATGCTGGCACCCAAAAAAAACTGCGACTTGCCGGAATCATTTGTAACCCACGTCCTTATCTCACCCTGTTGATGGAGCTTGGTACTGAGTCCCAGCACGAAGGGGGCGGGCTAGTCAAGCAGTACCCCCCGGAACATTCCCAACCCCCTGAATATGAACGATCAAAGGGAGAGTACCAACATGCTTCACACGATTTATCCCGGCAATATCCAGAGGATGACGAACACTTGGAAGTGCTGGAGGCAGATGTTCAAGCCAAAGAGCCAGAAAAGGGCTCATATAACTGCTACACGGTCTCTGCCCGAGGCGCAAGCTCTAAGACCTACAACATACTAAAGGAGGCGGGAATTGAGCAGGAATTTGGGACCTTATTCAGCAGCGTTGCACCTCGGGAATCGCCTAGTGAGGATGAGATTGCTCCAATGTGGCCTTCGAATCACTTCGGGCATGACGTCTCACAGAACCACTGGATGGCCGATTATCCGCTTCAGTGAAAGAGGATTTCCTGTCTAGAGTCCGTCTGTTGAAACTTCTCTGAATGTAAATTAACACGAGAATCCAAATGTACATTTAGGTGATAGAAAGACTTTTGCTTTGAAGACGATCATCAGCTCAATGACGCATTGTTATCTCGAAGAAGTGCAATCATGCAAGTCGTGGTATCTACCAAGTTGGGATCAATGGTTATCGGGACAGAGTCAGACGCCACAACAGGATATCGGTCGGTCGGTCGGTCGTTCGTTCGTTCCCCAGCAAGTGAAACATTTTGTTGAACAAACAGTGTGAAAAGCTCCTTACTTGCCGAATATTCTCCAGGCTTGGGTAACCGTGACATCGAGAGATAAAGTTACGCTATTTGAAAACAGATAACAGTCCATTCGCACATCGCCGTCATCAATTCAGCTCGGCCATGCGTACCGAAGCCTCAATCTTTCGAGCGTAACCGTTCTTCAGCTCGCTCGCGCTCATCGTTGAGCGCGGAAACTTTATCCTCATTCGTTGCGTTGTATGCGACAAGTGTTTGATTGAACCTGTCGATAATTGAGTAACTATACGCCGCCCTAGGTCAGAAGGAAAAAGGAAACGATTTACGGATTCTCTGGTGCTTTCTGGAATTTCTTGAAGAGGAGTTCTCTATATTGAGTGGATCGTAAACCAGGATGCTGCATTGAGCAATATTAAGGAAACCTCGGGAACTGCAAGTTGATAAATGACTCGCCTCCTGCTTTATTTCGGGAAGTTCCCGCTTCAGGTACGTCTCGAATGCGGCCTAAACCCCCTCAGTGGATCAGAAGGGCGACAGGATAGGGAACCACGCACTTTGAAACGTCGCTACGGAACGAGGGGGAATGTAAGCGGGAGAACTGTGAAAGGTGAATCGACACTCCATACTTCCGGATGAGCCTCGAGCTTGGCCGCCTGCTGCCCAAGAGATGCTTTATCTGTCTTGGCTGTCACAAGCGTCATCATCTCAAGAGCTTCGTCCAACCCTGTTGCAGTATAACTCTCGATTGCTTCGCCCTCTCCTGAATCATCTTTCTCCTTGGATTCACCCTTTTCAGAGGAGGCCTCCAGTGAGTCAGAAACGGAACCAATACCACCCCCTACTGCAATCGCGCCTGGACCAGCGGGTCTAGAAGGCGTGGCGGACTTCTTGCCCGTTGATCCCGCACCCTTCGTGGCCTTTGGTGTGGGTTTCTTTGTCGGTATCGATGCCTCTTCCTCGGCCTAAAGAAAGGATATTTGTTCACATAGGGAAATATGTAATAAAATAGGAGAGATGACATGACGCACTATCAATCGAGCGTTCTCAGCTTTACGTGCAGCATCGGCTGCTTTCTTCGCGTCCTTCTCCTCTCTCGACTTGTTTGCCCGTTTCGTGCCTTTGGACCAATCTTCGGCTTCCTTCTTCTCCTGTTAGAAACCCAACAAGCACATGAGCTCCCTTTATCTCCCGTACACACTCTGCGTCTCGAACAGTGCCAAGCTCACTTTCTCGGCGGCAGCAGCAGCCTTTTTCTTTTCCTCGTTTTCCGCCTTTCTAGCATTCCCTTGTTCTTTCTTAGAGTTGGCACCTTTAGGTGGCATTCTTATTTGATCACTTTCACCAACAAGTATTGTCGTTCGTTATCAAAGATTAAAGCTGAGAAAGTGCCGGAAGGATCAGGTGGGTGGTTGTGGCGATGCTAATCGGCGATTCAATTCAAATCTATCATTTCTCCATTGCCTCAAGGCATCGGTATGGCACCTGAGAAGTGACTTGCCTTTTCATTCGCACCCAACAAATTCCCCCTTTTGCTATCCCACTACTGGGAATACTGTAACCCCCTCCACTACCTCAGCCTTTCTCCCCTATTAGTTCTAATCACCGTAACACCCTATAATCGTTAATCGATCATGAGTATCTCCAAATGGGCTGTCGGTTCCGCCTATGGTCCCGTTCTTACGTCGACGGAGCTATACCTCCTCCAAGCAGCGGATGGATGTAAAGGGCTAGAACTCAACCCCATCCTCAACCATTCGTTGAAGAGTTTCCATTTGGTGTTCAACCTTGCGAATGGTGAGGTTTTTTTTTCCGAAAGATTCCTAGCATATATCCCTCCCCCTTGGTTGAGGCGACCAACGTGTCGCTGGGGGACGATGGGAAATGACAAGTGGTGGCTCCGGTGCCCGTCTACTGCGGGGCTGGGCAGCCTAACCATTCCTTGTCCTCTCACGATCTCTCCACTTCCCTCCTAATGCTGCGAAACTTACCGATCCCCCTCCCGCCTTCTCTCTCCCAACACACTCCTTTAACAGGCATGACAGGAGGGTATGACAACGCCGATCCGGATAAGGATCTCGCTTTTACGCAGGGAGATCAGCCTGCTACGATCCCCCGGGTCTCCGAACTTTACGTCATCGCCAAAATTTCTCCTTGGGTGGCGACCGTTACAGCCAGTCAGCCAAAACGTGGTGTAACGTTAGGAGATGTGATCAACTGCGTTTGGTCGACGTCAGTTTTATTTATCTTATTATTTTTATCATTTTCTTCCGGAATTCCCCATTCCTGCTCCTCATTACTCCCCAATCCGTATCATTTTAATGGCCGGGTCCCTTTCTGACTCTGCCTTCCAACTAGATACGGGGAAAATACTATCACCGAAGCCGAGTGGTCTTCCCTTGGTGTCCGTGAACAGGAACGTGTCAAGCGAGCATCCGTGAATAACCAAATAAATTCCAATCCCAGCATGGGCTGGAACGGCGGATACCCTTTCAGCCCTTCCACAATGGATGCGAAAAATTTCAGACGCTCAGATTGGCTTCGAGACAAGATGTGCGTTTTTTCACTTTTTCCCGGTTTCTCCCCGATTGTAGGCGGAACTGATAGATTGATCTATTTTGTAGTTTCTTTGACGGGATAGAGATTGATGATGAGTACGCCGTTAAGCGACTTGGTTTTAAAGCACCCAATGTCTTCGTTATGTCCTTCTGCGGATAAACGCTGTCCACCCGAGTCCGTTGCCATCGCCTTAGTATGCTCCCCTGTTTCTGCCGTCCCCTGACGCCCGATAATGACACATATATGACTTCATGATCCTCTACCCCTACCGTATGTCTTTGTACCTATCTGGAATACCGCTTGGTTTTATGGAACAAACACAATGACAACTGTTTTTTCCCGAGAATGAAGCATTCTCCTTCTGGTTTACTAGTGGTCCGCCTCTTCGCCATGTCTTTGATATGAGATACCACTCGGTATATTGCATTGATCCCGACCAATGGGTGTGCGCACATTAAGAATTTAAGAATTAACCAGAAAGCAACGACCAATTCTGTTACCGAGGATTAGGGAAAAAGAGGTTTCTCTATCAATGGGTACTCCTCGCTACGCGCGGGTTAATTACGAGTTTCTCGAGCTCTGGGATCCCAGCCTCTGTTTCTGAGGATTGCTTGGCAAGCATGAGTCCGACTCCTTAACGGGATTAGTTGTTCACATCTCTGAGCAGTTCGCAGGATGTATGCTGTGCATTATGGATTAGATACTGCGATGACTGCCTACTTCAGCCGGAGTTACGTGGGCTATGCAGCGCGGCATACAAATGCACACAAAGGCGCTCAGCGAATGAACTACATGCGGCCGGCATACAAATACCTCGTAAATTTGTTTCAAGATTCATGCTGCTAATAGTTAGCCTCGTCCCCGGCCCCTGGTGGCGGTGTTGACAACAAACACGTACACCAACACAACCACAACACATCAATTCAATACTCCTGTGGTCACACCCACCAGAGAGTCTGGCACCGAGACTAGCTAAGGGATTTATTGGGAATCCTGGTTATGTTCGATAATTTGGCGGGACCAAGCGTGTTTACGCGCCATTGATTCATTCTGTGGTGTAGCGGAGTTGGCCGAATTCATTTGTTCATTTGTCCATGGACGAAGACTCTATCTAATGTTACGATGTCATAAAGGCTGGAGTTCTGCCTAGACGAAGACCGCAACGCATACCTCTGGTAATCCCATCAATCACTAGCATCCCCGATTTATGCACCCTCAGTCTTGTTTCTCGTTCCATTTCTCCGCTCACTTATTCAAATCCTTCAGCGTCGATATTCGTCCAGCAGAGCGATAAGTTGGCAATTCCCCAAAGTTCGACGCTGAAGCGTGGATGGCTACTAGCTCATCAGATCCAGTGGGTTACTCACTGGACAAGTCCTGACACTCACCATTTAGCTGGTACCAATGGCCTGCAGCTCAGGTTGATGCCAAGTCTTTGCGCCTGCTTCGGAGTTGATAAATAGAGTGCCAAATCTCAAGTTTAGCGGTATCCTCCCGCCCACGGACATTTCTGGCGACTAGGACGATTCATTCTCAAAGCAGTGGACCTGGATCCAATCATCAATCTATCGGGACAAATCCGCTCCATTGTTTGCGTGTAGTATCTGGCGCACCCGGATACATGTTTGACTGTTCTTCTGTGGTGCTGGGAGACGGAGCTAAGGCGTTGACTTTGCTGAGGCTCTCGCTTCTAAACGGCTTTTTGGAATTGTTCATTGACGGCCGACGCGGAGTGTTTGAAACTCCCGCTCCCCCCCATCTCTCCATATCCGAGTGATGGTTTCCTTTTCAAGCTTCACCATCCCAGATTAAAGTAGCTCGAGTTTCATTCCCGCCATAGGCTCGATATGCGACCTTTTCTTAGAAACAATCCAGGAATCACTCGGTTTGTCTGCAGCGGAAGCACCGCAGAATCCTTGTCGGCTTGTGCATCCGCGGAGTCGGTGGTGTTCATGGACCAGGCAAGTGAAGTGCCATGCGTAGGTGCCCGCGCAATCTTGCCAATCTTGATAGGCTTTTCCATCTCCAATTGGGCATTCTGGACGGTCCTGTGCTGCGCGGTGGCTTCTCGGAGTGTCTGCACGCATTGCCGTCGTTTGAGTCCCTTTCCTGCTCCGGGAACTCTTTGTCAACGATTGCGACAATAGTTAGTGCACTACGCCAGGACGGAAGCCCAACGATATTAGCAACCCCATCTACTCACAGATGTAGCTGACATATTCCATCCCGATTGCAGGGATATTCGTGCAGTTTCCCGTTGCTGAAGTCGTTGGACCGCCTTTTCGCTTCATTTCGCTCCCACCGTCTCCAGTGGTGAAGCATTCAGGCAGTTGATGGGTGTCCAGGGACGAATTTATCACGGCTACCATGTCCGACTCCGTGGAGTTGCCACGACTCCATGAGTGGGCAAACACCGTCCGGTCCTTAATCGGTGAGCGAGTTCGTCAATTCCTGAACCGTGCGCCGAGTACGCCGAAGATCCAAAGGGCTAGATTACATAGGTCCGCCTTATGGTCTCGATTTAGAAGTGATTGTTGAGCAATACCTGGATAGGTCGTGCTTCGTAGAGGTTTGACCGCGAGTCAAGGGGAGAGGTGCACGACGGCGATGGGGGACTAACCGCGCAAGTGCCGTATGATGGCCAGGGGATGGCCCCGTGGAAGTCCGGTCCATTCCGTCTCTTCTAGGAACTTGATACTTGCTACTCTCCACTTGCCTTTATGGCTACGCGGTGTTGTCTCCTATCAGTATGAATTCCCCCAAAAGCCTTAGTAGCACCTACACAATGGAGGAATATCTTTCGATATGCTTGCCAACTCCGTGGTTAATCCCTCAAATGCATATTGGGTTCGATGGCAATGGTAACACAGTGACCTTGTGGACCCTCATCCATGATCCTAAACCGCGGCTTGCCAAAACATAATTGGCCGAGCTTGCGAGGCTTTTGTTTCCAGATCTTTTTACTATGGGAATCCGCATGGCACCCGTGAGAAGTGGGAAATGATCAGCAAATCTGCGTCTCCATGCACACGGATTCAAATGTGCTACTTGTTTTGCAGATTGGGGACAGTCAGTAAATTTGTATGAAAATAACAATAATTAGGCGCTGCAAGCTCGGCCATCCAGTTTGAGGGGAACCCTCATAAAAAAGTAGCCTGATAATCAGTTTAGCTGCAAGCATCTGCGCAAATTTGCATCCACGAAGATCTTGGCTCTTTCGTAGTTGCGGTCTTCACAACCGTTCCCCTAGTTGCTTCGTACGTGTGGTTATTGTATTGCTGCATCATACCGTGACCCTGGCTCGGGTGTGGGCTGTCGCGTCCCGAGAGGTTTCACTTATCCGGTCGGAATAAGGACACTGCGTTTCTTGTTCGGTCTTGGACGTCGGGTGCGCCAAGTCCACTTTGATGCGGTACTGAGAAATACTGCACCAAGGGACGGGAGTAATGACATTACCTCTTACTCTCCAGGGTCAGGGATGTACTGCCGGGGACAGGTGGACGACACAAAGGTTTGGTGGGCCCCGGGTTGGCAGGACTTCAGCCCGCACTCCTTCGGCCAGCCTTTTCTGGGCTCACAGGGCTACCATTCGCGTCACCACCATGACGCTTTGCCGCCCTCCCTTCAGATGTTAAGGACCTAATCAGTTTAAACAGAGGCACCACATGAAGGTTTAGGTCCATGCCAGGCATTCGCTGCAACAGCAAATCCCCCTTCGACTCACATCCATCGTCGAGGCCCTTAAGATACATGAAAAAATGACAGCCTAGGCCTCGTCCCAAGGTAGGGATGGAGCTGGAGCTAGCCATCCGCACATTTGGCACTCCGGAAAGGATCGATCCACATGCAAAATTTATCAATTACGAATCAGAGCCCGATGGCGCCGAGATCAGATACAGCACTTACCTACTCTCTGACGCTCCCCTCCTAGTAGCGCAAAAGCGCTAGGGGGCAGAACCGCCCATGATGACCTGTTCCACTACTGGGGAAAGCTTTTCACCCGTGTTGCGGTACCGAACCCGAGCGGCATGGCCCTTCCATAGCCGAGTATCCAAGAGACAGATTTTGACGCAACTCTGATATCAAAGCCATGGTGACTGCCTCTCCATAAAAATTTCATGCGGTTCTGAAGAATTCGCTCTCTCTCATATTCCTGTTTAATCAGTCCCGGCATGCCTAGAAATCACGAATTAACTTTCGCAGTCCAGAGTGTATGGCATCGCTGTCATACTTATTCACCCGCCTCACCTTTCCCCGCCGCCCCAAACTGAACTTCCGGCCGGGTCGAGGGATCACTTTGTGGTTCCCCAGCCGGACTTTCCGCGTCCTCGGGAATTAACTCATGGCGTACCGATCCTAGGCCCAGGAACGGCCATAATGTTTTATACGCACTGTTCCCGGGGATTAACAATCGGCGCTGTGAGTAATCGGTAACGTACTTACAGACATGCATGACATGTCGGAGCGAGTGGGGGGGATGTACATCAGAAAATCCTTCATCATCACACACACACCCAAGAAAACCTCCTGCATGCAGAGCAGTATCTTCATACTTAGAAAACCGCAAATCAACCTCTGTCGTTTGCAATATTGCTAGCACGTTTATTGTACTCACTTTCGTCCCGTGGGCGTCTCTCTCTCGCCGTCCCAGATTCCTAAATCGAAGATGCAGTTTCCCGGCGTCCACAAGTGAAGTTTTGTACTTTAGGGAACGTGGATTTCCTCTCGTACGGGACAACGAATCAGAGAAAAGTCCCACAGGATCACCTCCTCGCTGTCATTCTTTTAACCCCAAAACAGCCCAGTCTTTGAAGACGAACGTTTGTGACGGGAAAGCCAAAGGAATCAGCTTGTTTGCTAGAGTGATCCATCATCTTGCCGTATCGTATTCAAGCACAGGAGGTGAAGTGGGGTCTCATTACAGCTCACCTTCCCACGCTAATGTGGAATGAAGGTCCCGTCAATAAGTAATCGGGCCCTGAATCTGTCATGAAGTGTCGTCTCACCTGCGTTACTGCATCGCGCTCAAGCGCAAGAGCTTGCTAGAACCGAATCATCCAAGAGACGAATGCGGGGCCTCGTTGATCGTTACTATTGCTCGCCTTCCCATGCTAATGTGGAATCGAGATCCCACTAGCAAAGCAATCAAGGGGTTGTCCAAAAAGCCGGGAATGCGTCTCCTGCGGGCATTGGTTATCGAGTCGGGTAATGGGAGAATATGGGCAGAACGATTGCGTTCCTTGTCCTATGATATACCAGACCAATATCGAGTAACGCAGACCCATCTACATGTTGTTTTGTACTCACACGTCGAAGTGTCACATTCAATCGACATTAACTTGCTGGTTGCAGTGAGTTATATGGGCCTAATTTCCATGGTTCACTGCGACTCATCCATCTGGGAGGTGAATATAGATGATATCCTTCCTAATCAGCTTTCCATGCTGATGCGAAATGGACCCATTCTGTTCGCCTCGGTCTTACATTGTTTAATACTAAAACACGAACCAATGTCCGTCATCTGCGATGCTGCTCACATATCTGTCATATTCACATTCTCTCATGATAATCATGGCTCACCTCTCGCCGACCCGAATTTCCAAGTCGAGGATGGAGTTTGCTGGCGTCCGGAATTGGACCTTTTGTGCTTAGGAAATGAAATCGACAACCAAGTGTTGTCCTCACATCGATCTTCGTGCAGGACTTAACAATACCGAATCAGAGAAGAGTCTAAAGAGATGGGGCACCCATCCAACAGAGTCCTCATATTTTTCGGTATCCCTTTTCTTCTTGTAATGCCAGAACCCCAGATCCATGGACCAACGTTCGTGATGTATCAGATAATATCATCGTCGCCCAGAGAGGAGGCAAGAAGAACCAATTTTGTCAAGTCCTGAGGTCTGACTCGGATAGCACTCGTGCAAGACCGGAAACGCGAGTCGGGAGGCCAAGAGACATAGACCCTCCTGCACCCCTTGATTTCAACGTCTGATGCCACCGCTCCAGGTCATCCCGGATGCTTATTATAGCACATATAAATTTCCACCTATGCTCTTAAGATACCCAAGGGCCTCTTTCCTGGCGGGCCCAATCTCCAAGCGTGGCGTGAAGTCTTCCAGCATTGATAACACTACTTTCTGGGCCCCAGAAGGGCAGGCACTACAGCGGCCTGAGCGCAGCCCTTGGACCCATTCTCGAAATTTATGGATCCGGAATCAAAGAAGTGTCCAGTTAAATTGAACACCTGGTTAAGCGATACCTAGTTGCTCGCCCATTTCTTGCTTGTGGTGCCGAAAAGGCTAGTCCGTAGCTCCAACTTTCGCAGTTTGACGAGCAAACCCAAAAACTAACATCCCACCATTGCTTCACATGTGATGGGGCTTCCCCTCATCTCCCCCGTTTCTTCCCATCAGTCCATGCAGACGGGGAAATCCGAAAGTAGTCGGCCTGCCGGGAACCTCGATGATCATCTTCGGCGTTCGTGATTGGTTGCAATGACTGTTTCATACATTGTGGTGTTGGGCGCGGCGTCCGCCCCCTTCCCCTCAAAAACGTACTAGCAAGAAGCAGAGATAAACCTCAATGAGGAGCGTGTTTGTCTTCTTTCTACGATGCCAGTAGGCTCTAGAACCAACTTTGAAACTCTATTGAGTGGCGTAGGTCGATGTTTCAATGTGTTGTCCTGGCACGTTGATGTGTCTCAGTTCGACTGGCCTATTTTCCACTGCACATATACATGGCTAGTGTCTTATGCAGCGACATCCACTCGCTTTGATCCGAGTGGCATAAATGGCTGAGGAACTCGTTCGCCCCGATTCACTAGGGAAACATCCGTCCTCAACATGCCCGATCATTTCTGCTCCGCAGTGAGTTGGATAAGAGATATCCCGCTGGCAGCGCAGAACCTTGAGAATCGATCTAGAACGACAGCAATGGCATGAGTCCAGCCGCACCTTTCTGTAACGGAGTTTGCCGGGGCGAATCATATTCGCTTACGAGTTGGTGACCTGTTCGCCTCATTATGTGACTTCAAATGTTCGCTTCCCGACCTGGACCAGACGCGGTACCAAGATGTTCATCGGATAGGGACAATGTGAGTGCTGTATTTGCAGCTTCGCTAACACAGGCTGCCGAACCGCAGTCATCTTGAGTCGGGGGAAGAGTGAGGGCTTAGTAGAGGCTGGGATCCTTCCCAGTGAGGGCTATGCGGGGTAAAGCTGTGAATTCAAACGAGTCCTACTGGAAGCTTCCATTCAAGCTGCATAAATAGGAGCGCGCCTAAATGCACCGGAAGTGATTACATAACACCGAGCCTGCGATTAGGTGGAGGTGCCGATGATGGAGAAGCAACCGCAGCTTTTAGTGAAGCAGGCTCCATCTCCGCAGTTACATTAATGGGTAAAAGATTACGATCGTTTGGTACGTACACGTTGTCACGTACAGCCCTGAGAAATAGAGCGAAACCCCTTACGGGAACCACGGAAATGATGATTGAGGCTCAAGCGCACGCTTCCCATCCAGCAGGCGCGAGATTGAAGTTGGTCTCTGCCACAGGCTGATTAATACTTTTGGCACGATTGCATAGCCGGCACTGCCACAGGCGTCAATCATCCGCAGATCGGCTTGTTTATAAAAGGCGCGAGCTAAAGGTGCTAATGCCCTCCTCTCCACTCGACTCCCTCTAGAAAGACCCTTGGTAGAGGAAATGCCTGGGTATTCATTCCATCCCAATCGTCTCCACCCAGATTATCGCGTTCATCCATGCCTAAGCGTCAGCATGAACCCACCAACACTCTCATCATCACATCGCTGCCTCAACCTTTTTTCCATCCTTCTGTGCTCGATCCGCTCCGGGACTACTTTGAGACCTATGGTCCCTTGCACTCTTGGGCCCCCATAAAAGGTTTCGGACGAGTCATTGCAGTCTTCCACAATACGGATGATGCCGAGCGATTAAGGCACGATTGCGACGGACTTCGGGTTGGGGATGGGGAATCGTGAGTGTGCACAATACTTTTCGATTTAACTATGCTCAATGCACACCCTTTTCGCCACATCACAGAACGCTAAAGACTCTCAGAATATATCGCGGCGATTTTACACCCACCTCTCCAACAAGACCAGAATTCTTCCATCTCCAAGTTCCATCTAATCCTCGGAATCAGCTTATCTCCCCTCCTGGATCGCCTCCGATTGGTTGGGAACAAATCGTGGAAGAACCTCCGAACACCGCGACACTGGCAGCGGACCTAATCGCTGCTCTAAATAGACTTCAACTGAGCCACGGAAACGGTACCCGACGCACCGCAGATGGGAAAGAGGTCCTCCTAGGGCTAGGGCCAGATGATGCGGCTGGATATACCATTCTTCTCGATGACACACATGCGCCAACCTCCCCTTCCTTCGAAATCGAAATCGATGAGGATATGGCAGAGCCACTGTCCTCCGCACACGAGGACTTTGACCGTGTGGAGTCAGGAAGAGGAAGGCAGAGATTCAATGAAAGCCAAGCTGTTGGGCGGATATCGCAGGTCAAGGCGACTGCTGCCAGTATGGGACTAGCTATGCCATCCTTGGGCTTCGTGCCCACCAAAATGCCACCCAGATCCACCCACATTTAGACTCCCGGAAGATAAATGGACTTTATATTTTCGTTCTTCGACCACAAAGTCAAGTTATCCACATCACATCCCATTCCATCTCTCATCAGCCCCCCACAAGACGCTCACCCTCAGTTAAACTTTTCTTATGTGTTTGTAACTATATCAGTCCTCCACATTATTATGAGATTCGTGCACCGAACTGATACAAGCCGATCCCAGAGCGTCCGGAAGCCTCGCAGATTGGGTTGCTATATAACGGAGGATCATCAGTGGAATAGCGTTTCGATCCTTACCCGACCACCCTTCCTTTCCCGTTCCCCCAAAATCCCTCCCCAAAGAGAATACCAAAACTCTCTCCATTGTGACTACGCCTTATGCTCTCCGCGAGGGTGCGACTCACATCAAGGATGACGAATCCACCCTCTTCGTCACTGCCATCTATACTTTGGCCGCTGCTCCCGATATAGGGTGACAGAATAGGGTCTACATCATCCACGAACGGCGGAGTTTTGTCGGAACTCTGCGGTTGAGAATTAAGCGTCGGTGTCCCTTGATTTCCAGTGAATGAGGCGGCAGCAGCAGCAAGAGCTGCTTGTTGATTTGCACGCTGAGGGATAGTATTGGTCACAACGAGCCTATTGACTTTCGGAAGAGACATCAATGCAGGTATATGTGTTTCAGCGAACAGACCTGGGGCAGAGACAAGGGGAAATGAGTCAGCATGACTAAGAAAACGATCAACCAAGCAGGGTTTACCGTGACTGACTAAAATGACGATCTTCTCAGCGCCCGCTTCGCTGAGAAGGTTCGTGGCCAACGCAAGCGTAACCCCTGTATCAATCATGTCGTCGACGAGGATACATGTCTTTCCCTTGACATTCCCGACAAGCAACTCCATACTCTCCTCATCACCTTCTTCACTTGTGCTGCCATTCAGGCTAATCGTTTTTATAGCACCGGGGTAGTATTCCGACATTTGCAATGCCGGCATATCGGGCGAACTGTGATGGCTGTGGCCATTCGACCCGCTTCGAGAAGGGGGTACTGAATAGATGACGTGCGCGTAGCCATTCGAAGTATTGGAGATGCGGCCTCGGGCATTGTGCGGTACGCGCTTCCGATGGATAAGAGCAAAATCGAGTCCCAGTTTATCCGCCATGCTCGTAACACTGTAGGATCAATAAATGATGAGTTGCGACCAAGATGGGCAGCAGGTGAACTGACCGTTTGGCACCGCCAGCATCGGGGCTGACAATGACGGCGTCTTGCCATGCTGGGATGGACGATTTGACGTACTTAATCATGAGAGGCTCGCTATAAAGGTTATCAACGGGAATGTCGAAGAAACCCTGTATTTGACCGGCATGCAAGTCCATTGTAATCAAATGGTCGCATCCTGCAGTGACAAGCATGTTTGCGACAAGCTTCGCAGTAATGGGGCCCGAGACTTGTCCTTCTTGTCTTGGCGCGCATACGGATAACAAGGAACGACGGCGGTGATGCGTCGAGCAGATGCGGTACGACAAGCAGAAATGAGAATGAGGAGCTCCATGAGATTTTCGTTTACATCGTGACAGCCTGACTGGATGATGAAAACGTCTTCGTCTCTGATGGATTGGCCAATTTTGACGTTGATTTCGCCATTGGAGAAACGTTTTACTTCACACGGCGATAAGGCGACACCGAGGCTAACAGCCGTCACAGAGACGGGTCAATAGGTATTCACCAATGTACAAGGAGATGACTGTGCTCACTGCTCCGCCACCAACTTGGCGAGTTCCATATGGCTGTTGCCTGGGCAGCCTGAATAAGCTCAAGTCTCGCACACGAAGCCTGTGCACTTGCCAGCCAACAGCTTGATCGAATTCCCATTGTGCATCGTAACTATAGAATGGGAATAGAAGCAAGAACACTGGTGTTTGGGTGCTACCGTAAGTTGCCGTGTGGGCGAAGGTTAAGTTTGCGAAGTGGTCGCAAATTTTGGGCCAAATGTCTCTCCAAGAAAGGAAATACAGTAATATTGCGGGGTGACCGCAAAAATCACGTGGACTGGATAGTCATAACCGTAGCACTAGGACGAACACTCAACGAAGGCAACTCTAGCATGCCGGCTCTAAGGGTCGGAATTTTGCACCCAGACTTGGGAATAGGCGTGTTATATGACATACAGGCTAAGACGGCGTGGCTAATAGTGCCGAAATAGGTGGTGCTGAGCGTTTAATCGTAGATGCTGCCATTGGTCTACAGAAGCTCGGCCACTACGTCGAGATCTTCACCTCGCATCACGATGCTGGCCATTGCTTCGAAGAGACCAAAGATGGTAAGAGTGGGTTGTTCGCCTTCCTGAGACTTAGAGTTGATTCCCTCTTTCTACTCAGGCTCACTATCTGTCCATCACATCCCCTCGCCTTTTCCTCGGGCTCTCTTCGGACGGTTCCATATAGTCTTTGCGATCCTTTCGCAGCTTCATCTCACCATCATGCTTCTTCTTGCGGCTCGCAATCGGTCAATCCCGGTGTGTGACGTCTACATGGTTGACCAGCTCTCCGCATGTCTCCCTCTTCTTCGTTGGGGCCTTGGCCGACGCGTCGTTTTCTACTGCCATTTTCCCGATAAATTACTTGCTGGAGGCAAGGTTGCCCCACCCAATGGTGTCCGTCAGGAGTCATTTATTAGGAGGTTATATCGGTTGCCTGCGGACTGGCTCGAGGAGAAAACTACCAGTGAGCTGAAGGCTTATGCTAGTTTTATGCCACTCAACGCGTATACATCTTACAGAGCAAGCTGACGCAATACTTGCCAACTCGAAATTCACAGTTAGGGTGTTCAAGAACGCTTTCCCGACAATTGCAACCGTTCCTCAAGTAGTTTATCCCGGGATCAACGTTAGCGCATACGAGGGCGCGGGTTTCGATGCATCAGAACTAGGGGGAATCGAAGGGTGAGCGCGATGCCTCACGTCAGGCTCTGGGGAATACATTGATATGGCTCGGATAGAATCCTAAATTATCCGGCGTTGTTATCATTGAATCGGTTTGAGGGGAAAAAGAATCTTGGATTAGCTATACGGGCTTATGCGAAATTCAAAGCGTCACTCTCTGAAGGTGAAGGGGGGTCCTTGAAAGAGAGCCTACGGTTGATTCTAGGAGGTTTGTTCTCCAAGACATCTCTTGTTGGTAATGCTGATGAGATCTATAGGTGGTTATGACCCTCGATTGAAGGATAATGTGGACACGCTGTCAGCACTACGAGACCTCTGCGCTTCGCTGAACATCACGTACCATGTCTATCCGCCATTATCGATCCCCGACAACTCTGAGGTACATGTTCCTCCATTCCCAGACCTCGTTCCCGGAGTAACGTTCCTCCTCAACTTCACAACTCCCCAACGCTCCGCATTCTTGAATTCTAAAAACACGTTGGCCTTGCTATACACGCCAGAGCACGAGCATTTCGGTATCGGTCCTGTTGAAGCGATGGTCACACGTGTCCCCGTACTGGCGTGCGAAAGCGGTGGGCCAACGGAGAGCATTGTGGGCATACCAAGAACCGCATACGACTGCCCATCTGAAAGCGAGAATAACGTGACAACCACTTCCTCGAATGCAGAGCACCCAACAGGCTACCTCCTTCCCTCAACACCTGAAGCATTCGCAAAAGCCCTTCGACATCTCCTCTTCACTATGCCGCCTTCCACGCCCCTGTCGAACTCAACTGCTGCTCTGACCCGTGCATCACTGCTGGAGGCGCGCATGCACGAGCTGTCACACTCTTCAGTATGGATGCCATGGCTCATTCACTATCTTCTGTTCTTGAGAGCACCACCGCAATTTCGGGAAAGATCAGCCTCATCAAAAATACACCAGACGCGGACGTGGTTGGGTATGGGCTATGGATAATACGAGGTTTGTGTGCGCTTGCTTTTGTATCAGTATATATGGGTTGGCTGTAGCATGCCTGGGACCCCTCAATTATAGTTTGGTGACGAAAAACACGCTTGGTGTGCGATTTCCGCAATGCAACAATATGGAATTGGATGGCCAATCCGGATATGTATGTACGGCACAAAGAGCGAGAAATTAAGGCTACAGTGGTCTATGCGGAGATGGATGCATAATGATACAGTGTTTTGTGACGTCGTAGCTTCAAGCCAAGGAGGAACTCTTGCAATGACGCGAACGTTGCGAAATGGTGTAGATGAGGATCCACAAAGCAAGGGTACAAGAGGAAAGAAGGTGTATGTTTGGCAAGCGAACGCAACGGCAGGCCTCATACGTGATTCATCACTGACAGCTTGGGCGCCTATCTAAGACAGTCCCAACCCGATTCACGACGACAAATGGCACCTCGCTAGTGGCAGTGACCATCCTGCTCGGATCCTCCACAGCAAAGGCTTTGACTTTTACTCCGAAAGCCCTCGCCTCTCCCGGCCCCGGGAAGAGCTTGGATGTTGTGGGAAGAGAAATGTTGAACGTTACACAGGTGAGCTGTGAGTCAACGGTGATTCGGCCCGAGGGTGCCAACGTGATGAAGGATTGAGGGTTACGTGGTGCTGAACCCTCTGTCTGCCAGTCGATTGGTTGGGAGGCAATGGATGGCGCGATCAGAGCAAGAGTTATCGAAAAATCCTGAAAAGGGCAAGAAAAAAGAAATTCCCTCAGTCAACTGAGCAAAGAATATGAATGAGGCAATAATGGCGGACCTACATGATTCCAGCCATTGGGGCCCATAAAAAAGCGGGTGTTGACATCTATGGATCCTTCGACGTTTACGTAGCTAACGAACGATGTCTAGATTAGATCCTATGACTGGTGACAACGTGTCAGCCGCCAGGCTCACCGTGTTGGTTTCACTACTTCAAATACGCTCGACGACAGTTCAACCGCGGGTCGGTCCCACCCACCAGAAGCACTGGATGGAGGAGATGGCAATCCATTTAGATTGTTGGACCAGACGTTGGCAGCAGCCATTCTTTGCTTGACGGGATGATGATTTGCCTCTCGCAACGGATAGCCAAAGATCAAGGGCTTATGAGTCTAGTTTCCAACGAACAAGCCATTCGGCATTTTAAGGCACTGTCAACGCCTCGAATATGTCACTCAAAGTACAATGAACAGTGTGGGGAAAAAGCGGGTGTAAAAGGCATGACAATGTCACAAAGGGAAATGTACAAAAAATCTAACGTTCGCTCTATTTCCACAAAGGCAGCCAGTTACCAGACAATCGGGATCAATCCCGCCCCCAGCAACAAAGGCCTTCGACTTCCAGATTTGGATGAGCAGCCCTCAACAAGGCATAACCTAAATCCGGAACCACACATGAACTCTAGGGGGTGGCGAGTCGTCGGCTGGAGTGAGGCGGACTGAAAGCCAATTCTTGCATGTCTCTATCAGTGAGTTCAAAAACTGCAGTGAACCGTTAAGCAGCCAATATAACGAACAACGAAAATGAGGTACCTTCACATACACGCCACGAGAGAAAGTGGGGAATGTCATTTCTGGGTCGCATGCTAGTAATCCGTCCAATGCTGATATTGCATTCGCCCATGATTCTTCCTGGGCGGACAAAGACGTTCCGGTCTGGCGTCATGTGTCAAAACAAAAGAAAGGGATTCGGCATCAATAAGTGGCCTTGGGACTCACCTCCTGAATTTCCATTACTTCCACCATAAAGGCTTCTAAGTCAGGAGAGGGTGCGTCCAAATCGCCGTGTAACGGTTTTGGATCTCTTGGAGTGGACGACCACTCCAGTCTGCGATGTACGAGTTGCTGAAGGTTGGGGGAGATCTTCCCTCCACGCACCGTTTCGGCGCCGGCGAGTCGCTGTACGCCTCATATCCAGTCAGATTTCTAGGATAGGCAAGCCATGCATAAAGCCCACCATAAATGCCGCATGGCACATGCTCTGGAGCGCATCGCAATAGAGAGCCTGAGATTGGAGGTAATCTGATGCGGCATCTCCGCCTTTGTCATCAATCAGTAGGAATCCTGAAAAGGTAGACCAAATAAGAATCCCACCTGATTCCCTCATCCCTTTGAAGAGAGCCGAGAGAACCCCTCTTTGTCGTGAAAGGACCTTCTCGAGATACCAATAAATGAATGGAACTTCATCCGGCCGATATAGTTCAATTTCGAAGCCTGAGAAAAGAATTTCTATAATCTGCACGAGCTTCAAATGCAGGAAAACCAGGGCCATCCTTTCCAAGCTACCCTTTTGCTCCTGCAAGTATCAGCTGACGTCAGCCACCTGAGTATACGAGCAGCAGCCCGCGCACAGCTAATTGTTCAAAGGGCTCTGAGAGAGCAAGAGCCATATCATGGAGAGCATCCCACTTTCCTAGATTCTTCGAAAATTGTCGCCGTTGTCTCGGGCGATTATTTGAAAGATGCTTGAAGTAGAGATAGATAGACTCCAAGGATGTATCCTCGCCGTTAGTAATGCGGGTACCATGTATACATGCGCCCTCACCTCGACAGCCTTTGTTTCGAACTCGTACCAGGCTCTCAAGACCAGATGGTCACCGTGAACGTATAAAGTCTCGATAAAAGAAGGTGGAATACCAGCAATCTGGAAGAGAGAATCCGAAAGGAGCCAGTGCCCTTTATGCTTGTTAAGTATGAGGGTGTTACTACTGCCGAAGGTGGACTAGCGAATCACGTTAAGTCCGCGCTGGCCGACGGAGCAGCGGAGCGTACCGTGGTTCTTGAACGAACGTATGCACTTCGCCTAAATGAGGGGGAATAGGTAGACTTCACGCTCAAAATAGTCTGAGAAGGCACGGCCAGACATCCAGGGCTTAGGAATGGGTACATTTCTCCCATGAAGAAGAGCGTTTACCTTCCAAATGATCAATCATCGGACGTTTCCAGGGAACAAAGGTCTTCAAGTCCGAGAAGAGTATCGTTCAACGATTGCCATGTTATGTCCTGGTCAAAGAGACTTATCACAGGAAGCGGAATGTGATTTATCAGCTTCCGGCAAACTGCAGGATCATGGCTGCCCGTGCCATAGAAGACAGTTCCGGGAGTGGAGGGGGATCTTGTTCTCTGATCTTGGATAAAGTTTCCTTGCTGAGTGATATGAATTTTGCCCAAGTGGTAGTATCTGACAGTGGGCGTTGCGAAAATACAAGAACGAGATACTGAGAAATGCTGAGCAGTCTTACGAATCTTCAGTGTACTTGGGCATACCTTTCGTAATCGCACCCGGAGGGCAAGATTCGGGACCAGGGAGGTCTAAATGCTGTTGAGTTGAATGACAACATCGAACGATATGAACGCACTGGACTGGCGAAGAAGCCAATTTTCAGCAGATTCAAGAGACTCTACCACCCGGGCTGTTTGAGTTGACTCGCACAGTGAGACATCTGACTTCTCAGTCATCACGTCTTCGTTCTTCAATGACACCACACAGTCAAAGCTTAGAATTCGACTAGCATCCCAGGGAGACGTATCGGACCTCATAAACGTGTCTCTGGGAAAACTCCCTCCATACAAGATCACAGCACTTGAGGAGACCGAGGATGCACGAATTCAGAACTTGGACCATTAAGCTGCCTGGGTGGGCAGGGCTAGGAGGGACAGGCTGGTGACGATACCACCTGAGAGGCTCCAAATCTTGCAGGTAATGGACATATAGAATCGTATAAATTGTCTGAGAGAGCGCTCGACCTTGATGCCAAGTCATCTAAAACGCAGGGGAAGTTCACCACATGAGGGCGAATGCGTCGGACAGACCTCAGCAGCGAATGTCCTATCAATAAGCCAGCATAGTTCCTCCGAAGTAAGTGCAACGAAAGGGTCAAAAGGTGTAGGTGAGACTGCTTCTGGAGACTTCGCAAGGCCACTATCCAACCGGGAGTCCATGATCTGCAGAGGTCATCAAGGGACCGGAATAACAAAGAACAATCGGACAGTACTTCAATGGCACTCATCGCTTCCACCAGCGAGAACCCATCCATCTTCAACAGCTCGTCATGACTAAGCTCTATTTCAAGGTGGCACGGGGACCATCGTGTAAATCGTTGCTTGCCGCCGAGCACTCATACTCACGATCGACAGCAGACGTTACAAGAGACGTCACATCGGTGTAGTACGGCCCTCCAGGAATGCTCCATGACTCATCTTCGCCAGGCTGGAACCACATGGTGTCGAAAGAGCATTGAATGACACGGTGAGCTTTGAGCGCGAGCCAAATAAGCACAAACAAAAGCTGCTTGAATGCACAGAGTTTTCAGTCGTTCAAGACCAACCCCCTCATACAGGCGGTCTTCCTCTTTTCGTAGCCGGCAGAGAAAGGTAATATTTTCTGGGATCCAACCTACTGGAGTGCCCCATGTACGCGAAGCTGTCCTCTGCGTTAGTATTCACTCAGCGAGACAGTCTAGCTAGGGAACTATTTGGGAGCGTTGGTAAATTGGGTCCATCTCCAGAAAGCCTCTCAACCAGATGACCAGCTCATCTATTCCGTTGTGGGGCTGCACGCCATAACACTGCCTCAAGATCCTGCCCAATTAAGGCAGGAAAAAAGGGCGGCAATGGCCACATTGCTTGCGATTGGAATCGACCCCACACGTAGCATATTATTTCACCAAGATGAGGTGGGTGGATCGCCCAACTCTCACGAGACTTGCTTCTACATCCCATCCGGATTAGGTATCAGAGCATGCGGAGCTGGCATGGATCTTAGGGTGCCTAGCTCCGCTCGGACGCCTCAACCGCATGACCACGTATAAAGTGAGCCTCCAGCGGTGGATCGGCCACTGTTAATTGAGATCCAGTCCAGGCCAAAATCAGCACCGGTAAAACAGATGAGCGCTTGGGGCTTTTCTCATATCCTGTATTACAAGCAGCGGATATATTGCTCTACAAGTATGTTCCCCATGTTTCACCCACCCATCAGCATGCGCATGTTCATGCACACGTGCAAGGGCGACCCATGTGCCGGTAGGCGAGGATCAACGCCAACACCTCGAGCTCACTCGTGATCTGGCACAAGCCTTCAATCAACAATTTCGGGCAGAAACCTTCCATCTTCCTCAGGATATCATCAGTGCGCTGCTAGATTCACTGCCCCACGCCTGCCCCACGCACTGACCCTACTTACTACTGCACCAGCTCCCTCGAAACGAATTTTTTCCCTTCGTGACTCTTCGCAAAAAATGTCAAAATCTGCCGCCGACCCAAAGTCCCGTATTGGACTAACGGATACTGCCGACGAGATCGCCCTCAAAATCCGCAAGGCAATCACTGATTCCTCTCACGAGATCGTTTGGGACCCTAAGGACCGACCAGGGGTCAGCAACCTCCTCACCATCCTGCACGCGTGTACAACGGATCCCGCCCTGGATACGTCCGCTAGTGATTCGAATGATCCTCAGGGAAGTTATAATGCACGATTGGGCCGCTTAGCCGCGGAGTTCAGGAATACGAGCCTAGTCGACTTCAAGAGCAGAGTGGCCGAAGCAGTCGAAAGTCGAGTTGCACCTATCCGCTCCGAGTTTCATCGTCTGAATTCAGACGAGGGGTATATTCAATCAGTGTCACGCAATGGTGCAGAGCGAGCACGTTCAATTGCCTCGAGGACGTTACAGGAAGTGAAATCTAGAATTGGGTTAGAAGCTATTTAACAACATCGAGTATATACATTTGGCTTCGATGAAGACGCAAACATAGAAAGAAACACTATGCTACAATGAAAAACCGTGTGCGTGTGAGTTTTTTGTGTAAACTATGAAGTGAAAAATGCTGCCAGGAGAAACACAAGAGTATACAAGTATACAAACAAGTAGATACAGCCGGAAATCCATGAAAGAAAAACGCGTGTACAAACAGTTTAGTTGTCATCAATGTCAATAAGGGAAGGTTCGGCGTCAGCAGGTCCGAAGGCTGTTTGATCGCCTCTGAGGAATTCCTGGACGCGTTTGTAAATGTCGTCTTCGATGAAGGCATCACGTTCACCGGGGATGATCGTAGCCTTGTGGCAGAATGCAGCATGCTTCCACCTGAGAGTGAGTCTCGTAAGCACGTCAACATCTCGGCTTCCGACGATAGTGAGACGCACCAAGCAAGTTCTTTGACAATAACCTCGACATTTTTAACGCCCTGAAGAGGGATCCATTTTTCGCATTTATGGCACAATCCTTCAATGATTTCCTTTCGTTCCTTCGCACCTGAGCCAGGCCGAGGAGTTGTTCGGAAGTCGACGGGCGGCGAGAAAGGAGCGCCGGTTTTGGATGAAATACCTACAACGATTGCAGTCTTATGAGATCGGGTATTTGAGCGGTAAACCATCAATAAACGTACCGTGGTAATATTGGAGATGATAATCTGGGAGAGGAACACAATGAGCAGAGTTTTTGAAACATGATTGACTAGACTTACTGTATGCAGACACCTTGGTTTTTAGTATTACTTTTGTGCCCTCCCCACCACGGGAAACAGGCTCGACACAGACGGGGCAGAGTCCAACCTTCTCGCTGCCGGATCCTTTGACGAATCGGGGTGTATACAGGTCCATGGGACCGGCGGGCGGGTTGAACGTAAAGCGAGTGATACCGCTTGGACCATCTCCAGGACTAGTTAATGCAAGGCTTAGAACAACAACTGGGATGGAGCCAATACCCAACACTCACAATACAAACTTCCTCAAGCTGTCCGTAGGTGCGAAATATGAAGAGATAGGGAACTGACGATAAAAGAGAGGAAAGGCGGGATGAATGGATACGTAGGAGGGGAATGTTCGCTGTTTTTCTATAGTCAGCTGCGGGACTGATGTTCGGCGTGGCGCATGCGTCGTGGTTGGAATGTTGTCAGGAAAGAACGAAGTAGAGGACGTAGTCGCCACAGTCGGAGGCACCAACTTCCGGGAAGCGGGGCGTTGTTTCAGGCGAGGTTTCTTCTCGGGCGGAGGGGGCAAGCTATCCAATGAATTGAGTCGTTTACGTTTGATAGATACAGGCGAGGAAGGTGCCTCCGATGGGACGATAGTTGTCGAGGACCAGCTTCGTGATGGCCTGTGACGCGAGATTAGGGGGCGTTCAAAACTGGTCTCCGCAGGTGGGATCGTCCTTCCTGAATAAGCACTACGTTCAAGATTCTCTGGCAGCTTGTCCAAATAGTGGGAACTGGCATCGAGATGCTCATTGTAAAGTGACGGAGGGCGAGAATTGAGCCAAGTGCGTTGATAAGTAGCGTGTGGATTGTAGAGGTCGAGGTATGCAGAAGCAGGGGTGCTTGGAGTCTCAGAGACAGACGAATCGCTCAAGCCTCTTTCCGAACCAGTCAGAGAATCGTCATCAGAATTTGAATCGCAGGATGACTCCTGGTCTTCCCGCACAAGACGAAATCTTGGTGCACGGCACCCAGGCTCCCAGGCTCTGTCAGAAAAGATTACGCGAGGTGATGAATAGATAGAGGTGTGACCTCCCAGGGTATGACTTCCTGGAATGGAACATTCGGATGAAGAAGAAGTTAAAGAACCGAATGAAGACGCTCGCGATTTGGAGGTTGTTACCTCGCCAACGACGACGCTGACGGTCTCTGGGACCAGAGAGTGGGGATGTTCATTTTCTTGTTCGGATCCTTCTACCGTGCTACGTAGAGCAGAAACTCGGGGTTCCTGCCGAAAGTCAATGGACAGAGAAGATGTAACGGGAGAGTCCGGCCGTGTGATGGGTTCTGGGGTGAAGTCATGTCAATAATGATTCCAGGAAGGGTCAAAAGAGGGCACGCACGAGGACGGCAATGTGATCGTGATAAGGGGTCTATGAGCGGAACGAGATCCGATGTTGATCGACATGATTGGACGCGTGCGCATGAGGAGCCGGAGTTTACCGGGAATGGGATGTACCTCGCAGAGCGTGAGTGAACCTTGCAAGTCGGGGGCAAAAAAAGAAGAAAACCTCAGTCGATCGATTCCCGCGCTCTCTGGCTTCAAAATCATTGTGCATACCTCAGTAACAGTGCAACTGGTTGCCATTGATCGGCATCGATCCGTGGATGTATGCTTGGAATCCGGTGTCGCCGAACGAGAAACATGTTGGCGGGGAGGGTCGTTTCTGGAAGCTGGCTGCCTCCAAAAAGGAATATGGGGTATTGTGCATACTTTCGGGCCAGTGCTGCGAAGGTCACAGGGGAATGATTAGCCAGCATATATGGAAGCGGTGAATCGGACCAAGGACAGTTGAGCGGGCAGACATACAGAGGAGGGGACACCCGCGGCAGCGAGAGCACATAACGTCGAGGGTCACTAAAACCATCCAATCGTGTGTTGCCCATGTACGAAGGAAAGTTATAAAAAAAAACTGTTAGGCGTGGACCGATGTAAAGGCCGCCTCTAGGTGATGGACTAGGTGACGGGGAGAAATGTCCTTTTCCTTTCGTCAAGGCGTCAACCGCCCGCTCTTATGAAGAGTTTGGGAGGAAAGATAGGCAAGAGCATCCCTGGAACTTATAAGTTGTACTGTAATCGCTTGAAACGCGTCCCCAATGAGGATAGTCCAATTGAAGGATAAATTGAAAGACGATTTATTTGGAAATGATCATTCCTCGATGACCCTGACGCCTCACGTCCATCTTTCCAAAGATGCCTGAGACTCGTGCAGGCCACGATGCAAACATCACACTGCGCACAGCTACTCGTCATTCTCCGCGAAAGCGCACGGCCGCTGTTCTGGAATTAGACGACCCATCAGTCGCGGTTGTTGACTCAGTCGAGCATGCCCAGCTCCCCGCGGTCGAACCGGCAACATCTTTTTCTGCGCAATTGTCGTCTTTTGCATATAAATCATCGTCACGACCATCTAACAAAAAACGCTCTATTGCCACCCATCTGGCTTCTTCCGAGTCAGGAGAGATCGGGTCTAGTGTTGCTGCTGTTGTGGCTGATCACTCAGAAAATAATGGCCCAAACAAACGCTCAATCTCTGCTCAGAAAATGGCCGGCCCGCGAAAGAAAAAGACTATTCAGATGGCTTTGGAGACCCCCCACCCTGTGCCCAATAATTGGGAGGAAGTCTATGGTTTGATTAAAGAAATGCGTCAGTCTATGCAAGCACCTGTAGACGTAATGGGCTGCGACGCTTCCATGAAGGAAGTCGGAGATCCTCGGGTATGTCGCAAATACATTCAACCATGTATCTCATCATCGAAAGTTTGGTGCCTCGCACGCGAAGACGAAGCGCTTCAGTACGCTTATCAGCTTAATGCTTAGTTCCCAAACCAAGGATGAGGTCACACATGCAGCCGTCCGAAGCTTGTCAGAAGCTCTTGGAGGTCTGACCGTTGACAATATACTTTCAGCTACCAATGCGACGATCGAAGCGGCGATTTGCAAGGTGAGCAACACACATGATTGTCAACGGCTATGTATGTACGCGATCTTTACCAGCTGTTGAATTTTTCAGGTGGGCTTTTGGCGGCGAAAGACTCAGTGAGCAAACACACCTCTGTCTCGTGTCATCCATCCCATTTTCGGCCGTGCGCCATTCTAAAGATATGTCCGGCAAACTGCCCAGAAACTTAAAGATGAATTTGATTCAGACGTTCCGAAGACCGTGGATGAATTGTGTTGTACGTTCACGTTTTTTTTTTGGATAGTTTGTTCCATCCGCCCTCTCACTAGTACTTCTTAAGCATTACCTGGCGTTGGCCCTAAAATGGCCTTCCTCGCACTGCAAGTGAGCCGCATCTCTTATGAATCAATCACTCGGTCTAGATCACTTATGAAACAATATTATATCAGAGTGCCTGGAACCTCAATCATGGCATAGGTGTTGATGTGCATGTGCACAGAATCACCAACAGACTCGGATGGCACAAGCCCCCAACGACAAACCCTGAGCAAACAAGGTAAAGGTCCTTCTAGATTGTTTCGCTTCGACTCAATGCTTGCTCCACGCTCCCTGTATGCGTCTTGACACTAAAAATTAACCCAAACTCGTATTCGCCCGCGCAAGGCTTAACCTTCAATCCTGGCTGCCCTCCGAATTACATCGCGAGATTAATCCCTTACTTGTCGGGTTTGGACAAGTAAGTTCCGGATATCTTTCATATGATCCTGCCCCTATCAATGACCATACATTTCATATTGTATCATTGCGTTCAGGTCATTTGCCTCCCCGTGAACCCAAGATGCGAAGTTTGCAAGCTTAGCGACCGGCACTTGTGTCCGAGCGCCCGGGTAACAAGACGGAAAAATACCGTCGGAACGGCGAGTTCTTCCAAAGAGCGGGGCGTGTTGCTCTCGCCGGCGATAAGTGCCCAGGATAGAGGGGAATCGGAGTATGCCTTGGTACATGCAGATTACATGCCCAAGATCGAGATCGAGATCGAGCCATCAGGGGGCTTGGTCAAAATAGAAAAGTAAGAGGACAGGAATGGTACGATTTTTTTTCTGCGGATAAATTATTGCAAGGCAGATGGCTAGACGACAAAGTGTTTCCATATCAGGGACTTTCCACCAGCGCCCTGTTCAGTTGCTTGTAAATTCAATATTGGATTCCGCCCATCCATCATCCAGCGAGTCCTGGACCAGAAAGCGGTACCATAGGACGGCGATGGGAGCTGTGGCAAGGTGCCAGAGCGAATGTGCATCGATCACTCGTCGCCAAGGGGGAAAGTCGAATAATTCAAGGGACGTAGCGAGGGTCGTGAGAAGGGCAATGATCGCGGGTGTACCTCTCCATTTTCCACTTTTCTGTGTGCCGTAAAGTGAATGCGGATATGGCTTAAACCCGCGGGAATTTGGCCGTGATGGATATCGCTGGAAGGGAGTAAACGGGACACTGAAAAGGACCCAAAGGAAGTTGTGCACCATGCCAACAACGACATTTACGACAATGTTGTACCCATAATCGAAGCGAGGAGCAAGGGAAAGATACGATACATGGCAAATGTAAAGCACAGAGAAAATGATGGCAAGCCCACGATATGGCGGTGCCCTAGGGGGGAATCCATGTGCGTGCTTGCGAATAGGGGGCCTATACAGATGAAGTACTCGCACAAGAGCCACGAAGAGGGAAAATAGGATAGCTAGACCAGCCGAAAAGTAGTCAAGCTTCTCGCTGGTAGGTTTATCTGTGTTGAGAAGCCCATCAGAGATTCATACGTGCGCATGTAGGATTGCGTGCTCGCCTCGTATATGAAACACGCTCGACCAGATCCAAACATTGGCATTGATGCACGACCACCATAAGTAGAGCTTTCTCATAGGGTGCTTGCTGGGCATTTTATGACGTAGCAGGCGGTAGCCATTCACATGCGCCCAGAGATTCAGAAGCGAAAATATCACGGACGCCGGTTCCTGCATCCCAAGAAACCTCCAGAACGCCCACTTTCCATAGAACTGCTGAATTCTGGCAGCCGAACTACCATTGAGGCGTATTCGTTCTTCTGCCTCATCGGTAACAGCATGGGTGCATAGATACGCGCAGTTATCGGAACACGTCCATAAAGTGAGGCGCAGCGCGAGCGGAAACTCCCCAGGATGACACTCAGCAACGCGACACCCTGAGAGGCACCTTTGAAACTCAAGAGATCTATCGCCTGACGACGCGGTACATGAGACACAAAAAATTAGCAAACAGAAAAGCGTCCACATCCCTATTGCAATAGAGAGTTCAATATGGCTGGGACTTGGATAAGTCGACGGAAATGGATGGCTTACGGCGCAAAGTTATGGGACCCTGGCCACAGAGTGAATGCAGTGGCAGTGCCACCGCTTACTTCCGGCGGCCTCAGATTTCTGCTCCGTTTGGATGTGGTTGGTGGTGAAGCGAACGCCATGGGCTGCGCGTATCAGACATCTTAGCGCAACCTCAGCGGTTAATAGGAGTGCTAGAACGAGAACCGTGCCGTCAAAGCGTCTCGACAGTCTTAATGCCCCAAAGTTCCCCGAACGTCGAGCAGTGCCACTGAAGCCATGGCAGCTTCGCTGGAACGTCCTCAAGAAGGTTGATGCTTGGTGTGAATCTCCAGGAACGCTCGAGGCGCTCTCTGCCCTCGGCATCTCCCCCAGAGCTGCGTCCTGGTTACTCCCAACCTTCAAATCGACAGTGAAAGTTGAGTTGAAGACCCAAAAGGGACTCCCTACCTCATGGAACACCGCCCTATTCGATGCGATCATCCATAATGACATAGATACGGCAGCTCATTGTGTACTGTTGCAACAATTTATGGCTCATGTAGCCCGGGTTCAAAATCCCCACAGTGAAACAGCAGCTCGTCTTCTCGAGCTCACAAACATGCAACGCCCCGCGGAATGGTTTCCCCGAGCCCGCTCCCTTAAACGAACGATTCATCTTCATGTTGGGCCCACCAACAGTGGAAAGACATACAATGCACTTCGTGCCTTGGCTGGTGCTCTCACAGGTGTTTATGCCGGACCTTTACGTCTACTTGCACACGAGGTATGGGAGAGGCTGAACAATGGTTCGATTACTGCCCCCCCAAAAGACGCGGGTGTTGATGTACTTGACAATGCCCAGCCATCGGCCTCGGACATTCCCCTGCCACTCTCCAAAGGGCGCCCCTGCAACTTGCTCACGGGGGAGGAACACAGGATTGTTGACCCCGCGGCCAGGTTGCTTAGTTGCACCGTCGAAATGCTTCCCCGAAACGCTGCTTTTGACGTTGCGGTCATTGATGAAATTCAAATGATCGCTGACCCTTTTCGAGGCTCAGCATGGACATACGCCGTCCTGGGCGTTTGCGCAAAAGAGGTGCACCTTTGTGGGGAAGATACCGCCGTTGATCTTATCCAGAGACTGGCTGTCGATGCTGGGGATGATGTGGTTATCCATCGCTACCAAAGACTCACACCCCTTGTTGTCTCTCCGAGTCTTCATGGGGACTTTTCCAAAGTACAGAAAGGTGACTGCGTCGTGGCGTTTTCTCGAAACAAGATTTTTCAAACGAAAAGGAAAATCGAGAAGGAAACGGGATTGAAATGCGCAGTTGCCTACGGGCGATTACCACCAGAAGTACGAAGTGAGCAGGCGCAACATTTTAATCATCTCGAGTCCGTGTTAGATGTGATGGTTGCTAGTGATGCAATTGGGATGGGCCTCAATCTGTTTGTTTTTAACCACTCTACGCGGTGCATTGCTGATCCCATGCCACAGAAAAATCAGAAGGGTGATATTCGCCTCTCTCCAAAAATGGGATGGAAAGGACGTTACTTATTTGACCCTGAGCCAAACAAAACAGATAGCAGGTCGGGCAGGTCGTTTCGGTCTCCACACGGACGGCTCCATAGGTGAAGTGACTACGATGTGGAGCAGCGACCTAGCGAGACTTAAATTCGCAATGAAGTCCACAAATCCCTCCATCACGCAGGCTTACATCGAACTGCCAGAAGACAAGCTCGAGGCATTGTACAATGCTCTCCCTTCTGGAGGGGGCTTCAGAGGTATCAACGTAGCTCTAGAGCATTTAGCGTTACCCAGTCCCAATTACACCCCCTTACTTCGAGGGAGGGACGATCACGCTGCAGCATTTGTGGATAAAAAGATGGGCAATGGATTCTTTGCAGAATCCTGTACTTTTCTCAAAGCCCCAGTTCAATGGCGAGATCCCCAATCCCTGGAGAGTATGAACGATTACGTAGATGCATATAACGCCAATATCCAGGTAGACCTGGAGCCTATCCTGGACCGTCGTGGGTATCTTGCCGCCTTACGTACCGCTCAAGGCTTGAATGCAGAACCATTGAACAATACTTCACTTGAACCGCCGTGTAGTCCGGGAACACCTCCATATGATAATACTCAACTCTCCGATTCACCAGATCCTTCTGTGGGTCAATCAACTCGTAAACAGGAAAGTGACCAAGCCGAAGTGCTTCAAACCCTCGAGGTCATGCACAAGAGTCTCGTGCTCTATTTGTGGCTATCCCAGCGTCTGCCTCTAGCCTTTTCAAACCGAGACAAGGCTCAAAAGTTTAAGGATGATGTGGAGGGAGCTATTGATGGCTTGCTGAGTGGAACATTTGGTAGAAACTACATCAAAGAATCCCAGGATTCTTTGAAAGGTACCAAGCAGAGAGGCTTCTATTGGGAGTATGCGACGGCCACTCAGGGCAGCGGAATGATCGCTCCGAGAGAGGTGGGCGTTAGGTCACAGTCTTCCCCAACGGCTCGCTCATGAGTTAGTTGAAAAACTGCTGCGCACGGTAGGTCACCTCTATCAATACGCTCCATACTGTATATTTACAATAGCACGCAAATTACAATCCTGTACGTCTTTCAGAAACTGGTGTGAGATGCCCTACGGTCTGCTCTTCGGCATTCCGCTGAAGCGTTGCCAATAGCTCGAATCCAATCTTGACATTCTTTGATAGAAGTTGCTTTCAACTTGATAATGTCCCCTCCTCTCGGATATGCCACCGAAATTTGAAAGGCTGCTTCATCTGCAACCAATGTGGTCAGAACATGGTTTAAGGATAGTGAAGAGTTCTACCTCGGGTCCCTGAAGGCTCTGAGACTTGCATATCTGTCAACGGAATAGGCTGTCATCAAGGTGAGCCAACCCCGAACGAACTCGTGTTTCAGGAGGACTCGCCATTCTATAGATTGAATTCGCACTTTCATCCGTAAGAACGAGGACATCATTGCATAGAAATGCCCGGAGCCTGCGTCCACTCTTGGCTTTGATTAGTACACCCTCCTTTACGAGTGTCCGGCGTCCCATATACCGCGTTGCAGCAGTAAGATCAAGTCGTCTAGTTCCGGAGTCAGTATCGTGCCATTCCGATTAACCTCTCATAATTCACCCTTGACCGATCCAAAGATTCTTAGAGACACTAGCCAACCGTTCCTGACCTTCCCGTTCCCGGATTCGCTCATTTATGTTATCAAGAATGCGTTCTATTGTATGGATAGATGAATCGATTCTCTTCCTGTCTTCATCGCCCTGGGTATTTGCGCTTATCTGCAGAGACAATCATTATTATGAAGGAACAAGAGGGTTGCAATGCAAAAAACCTGTTTCAGCAACAGAGGGTATCGGGTAATTCGTTGCATTGGTATAAGCAAGTAGCTGGATAGGTCAAGATTTCGGGTTGCCGGATCATTCCTCGTTTCCTAGAAACATGTTGGAGGCCAAAATGTACCTGAGTAGAAATGTAGCCCACTTGTAAATATGCATCCAAATCCGGCTTGGTTTCCCTAAGAGTTTGAAGGAGTTTTATGGCTGGGCCTTGGCCAACACAGTAACCCTGCAAGAATGTTAGGTGAAAGAATGGCGAAAAGCAATACGAAATTACGGCATAGATATCAAATCCCGGAGCATGCTCTTCCAGAATGTCTGAAATGCTATCGATATAGAGTCGTGATTCCTTCTGCCGACCCTCGAGTGAACTCAAGAAGGCCTACGATAACACAAAACATGGGCTGAGGGCGACTACCTATCCGAACTTGCATACGTACTGTGTTGCACAGAAGCAGTTCTTCGATGTTCGCAAAAACTCCTACTGATTCCTTTTCAGTTAAGATCTTGAGAAGAGGTGCATAAAACGTCTACAGTCCGGATCATACTCGTGAACCAGGTGCCAGCGTAGTCATTTCCTCACCTCGATGATGAGCTGGAGATCATGCACGTATCCACTTTCAGTAGTTATCAGTTCGAACATGGCCTTTGGATGCACATAAGTATGCCACTGCCATTTAGGTAATGTGAGTCACCTCTTGGCGTCTTCTCTCCATGGATGGGATCCCTTCTAACGCTGACTCATCAACAAGGCTACTCCAGGACTGACCAAACATGCAAAAATCAGTAACTGTAACGAAAACAGAGACCCATACTCACACTCCCGAAGGCTGGGGTGTTTGATCGCTGAATGGAGGTCCCTGCGTCGGCCATCGGAGCGGATATGACCGGAGCTGATATTGTTAAAGTTGATTTCCTATCAGTACTGAGGGCTGTCGTTGCTCGTGAACCAGCTTTCTGAAGGAAGAGTAAAAAACTAGATCCGCCACTGCGGTGACTACTGTCATCTTTGGACTGAATAGATACGAAAGAATACGAAGCGCTGGCGGGAGAAGGCGGAACGTTGTCTATGGAAGTAACCGATGGGGGGCTCGACATTCCTTGAATAGAGGATTGCTGCTGACGGTACTGCTCATAGCGGTCGAAAGCGTCGTCATCATGCAACACGGAATTATTTATTTCAGAGGGGATCGGGGGTAATTCTTTGTACCGAGCAGAAGATGGCGATGGCTCCTTCTGAGGTGGAAGAGGAGGCGTTCTTCGGTTTTTCGCTGACCTTCTCCTCGTCGGGCGAGGTGGCGGTGGCTCCGTCTTATCCATCTTCAATATCAGACCCGCCGCTTCCAAGATGTGGGCCCGTTCAGCAGCCTTCAGTTGAAATTCAACTTCCGTATCTTCAGGTTTGACACTGCTGCTTTGCTGCTCATCGTCCGACTCTGAAAATGAGTGGTATTGCGAGTGCTCAGAATAATCATCGTTGTCACCGCGGCTCCTTCCAGGAGTCCTGATATTGTCCGACGCTTGTCGATTCAAAGTGGGAGACGTGGGAGTTGTTACTGACTCCGTGTTATCCACGAGAACCCCCAACGAAGGGGAGAGAACTGTGGGGTTAAATGATCCAATTTTGGTTTGACGTGACATACAAGCGAAACAAACGAAAAGGAAAAATTACTTCAGTCTGCCACGACGCCAAAATGAGGTGAACATGATACTCAATGTGGAAAGAGGAGCTCCGACTAACCATTCACCACCTCAAGATAAGCAGCGGGCACTAAGAAAACGCTTCCATCCTTTTGAGCCTTCCACCAGTCACCCTCAGACCTCTCTACGATGCTTAGGGTATCGTCCTCATTAAACGAAAGTTCTTCCGCGCTGGAACTGTGATATGTGAATAACGCCCTAGCATGCGTAACTAGTGACGTAGAGATGCTGAGTATTGAATAGAACGCATGGTGGGGCTCCATACCTTGTTCGATGACAACAACATAGCTCGCAGGGAAGAACCCACGTTTTCCATTACTCACGAGAGTGCCATGCCACCAGTCATCACCTGATTTAGATGGATGCGCTGAAATGACGACATTTTCGCTAAAGGCTAGTGAGCAAAATTAGAGAAACATTTAGGCTGCAACGGTGTTATAGTTGACTCACAGAGGTCTTCCGCTCGTTGTCCGTCATATGGATACAGCGACCGCACGCTCAACGCTGCGAGAGTTCAAAGAGTGAGATCAATTGTTTCGGACACTAGTTCGGCACGCACTGGTGTCAATCTCAATGTCAGCCATCAAATCGTCGGTTACTTTCCGGGACCAGTCTCAGCACTCTGATCGATGTCGAGATTAGAAACGGACGCCCTCATTTCCTCCTCATGCTCCTCATTGATTGGCTGCTCGGTCGTAGCTGAGGAAGAGCGTGTGTTATCAGCAGCCAAACCGGCATACCAATCGACACTCTGCCTACTTTCTGACTTTTTGTGTGTTAAAGTCTCAAACTCATTGTGCTCGCTGTCACCATGTACAATGGAGGGCACTTCAGAAGACGGCACACGTAGTGGATTGGTGATATGGGTCAGTGGGTTAGCATCACCTCCGATCACCGAACCTGCAATGGCAACGCCACTCCTATCGTTCGTGACCGTCTTGCGAAGCTTTGGGACGCCACTCGTGATTGCGTTCATGAGCACACCTCGATCAGCTGGTTCCTCCGACTTCTTGAAGGCTATATCAGGAACTTTCGGGGCCTGTGAAGATTGGGGAGGTGTGTCTGATGTCGCCGAACCAGCAGCAGCAGACTTAGGACGAACGATGCCACCAAAAATTGCATTGGCAATCTCAGCGCGATCTACACGTCCAAGAGTCTCCTCGTCGCTGCTATCTGAATCACTGTCGCCCCAATCATCAGCTGCAGAGGGCTTATAACTGTTCCCGACCGCTGGGTATGGGTTCTTTGACGCAGGCGGTAGAGTTCTCTCTTGGTGGGCAGGAGCAGGAGCCGCCGCCGCCGCCGGCGCCGCGGGGCGGGGCGGCGGGGCGGTGGGACAGCAACCTCGGCAGGAACCAGTGAACTCGCTGGCAGGGGGGGTGTGGGGGGCACTGGTGAAGGCACAATGGGAAGTCGGGTTTCGACCTCTGGAGTTGCCCAGGGGCTGCTTTGAGAGACGGTGCTCGAAGGTAAGCCGCCAGGGCCTTGCTGCGTCAGTCTGTGGAACGGGTTCGTTTTTTGTGTATTTGGGGAAGGCACAGAGGAAGGAACAGGCGGTGGTGGAGCAAGTGGGACAGCAACCGGTCGAGGCGGTGCCACGGGGACACTGGGGGTCCGCCCAGGTGTTGAAGCAGGCGAAGGAGATGACGAAGGTGTCATTCTCTCTCGTTGTGAGGCTTTGAGAGCCTCGATACGCTTCTGATGCTCCGCTTCCTCCCTACGCGCCTCCTCCTCCAATCTCTGCAACTCAGCCTGACGAGCCGCACGTCTCTTCGCAATCTCCTCTCGCCGACGTTTCTCCTCCTTTTCTTCCTCGTCTTCAACAGGCACAACAACTTTAGGGGCTCTAGGCACCGGTTGTGGCGCTGACGCAGGAGATGCAGGCTTGGGTATTGCAGATGGCGCCGCTTTTGGGCGAGGTGGGGGGATCGGCGGAGGGCGCTTCTGAACTGCAGGGACAGAAGGTGTCTTTTTCTCAGGTGGTGGGGGACGCAATGCATCCAAGCGCTCCTTTCTTGCACGCTCTCGCTCCTCTGCATCCCTCTCAGCTTGTAGTGCTTTCTCTTCTGCCTCTTTTCGCTCTCTTTCAAGTCGATCCTCGACCGAGGTATCTACAGGAGGGGAAGATGGGGGAGCGGGCCCACCAAGACCTAGTGCTTTCATCCGATCTTGAATACGCTGCCGCGCCTGTTGTCGATTGTACTCAGCGCGCTCTTCAGCAGTCATGTTCTTGGTTGGTGGCGCCGGAGACACAGTTGGAGCCGGAGCTGCAGCAGACTTTCGAACTTCATTAACGGTCGAAGACGTCGTTGGGGATGGAGACGCAGGAGAGTGGACTAGAGCAGGAGATGCACGTCGGTCATAGTCGCGATCCCGATCGTAACCTCGGCCCCAATCCCTCTCACGGGAACGATCTCGGCCGTCCCGTCGGTAGTCCTGGTCCCTGTCACGGTCGCGACTGCCATTCTGACGGTATGAACCATGGTAGTTGTCCTTTCTGTCATATATTCCACGCAGATATCCCTTGTCACCCTCATCGTCAGAACTAAAATCACTGCGTTCCCTCGAGCGTCGTCGAGAGGACGAATCATGTTCAGATCGATTACGGTCATTCCTTCGATCTCGGTCACGAACCCACTCCTCCTTCTCGCGCTGCTTACGACGATCCCTCTCCTCGATTTGCTTCTCCACTTCTGGCACCTTCTCGTGCATGAGGTACAAAAGCTCACGCTCCAGCTTTCGTCTTTCCTGATCCTTCGCAGCTGGCCTAGGCCCACGACTTACGTGATCGAGATCTTCCTGGACGCGGCGTACCCGATACTTGAGATCATCAAGCTCATTGTTCAAAGCCTCATCCTCTGCAGTTCGACTCTCCGCATCTGCGCGAATCTTGTCGAAACGCTTGTTAGTGTTTTGGAGCTGCTGTTTGATGTCAGAGAGATCATCAGAAGGTGTTGTCTCTCCGGATCGAATAGCGCTTCGGTCAACGCGTCGTGAACTAGAGGTGTAACCGCGCACGTTGGTATCGTCATGTTTGTATATGGTGCCATCTTTCCTAGGATTGGTTTTGGGAGTGGGGGAATCGCCAAAGGAATAAACCTTGCCTCTGCTCTCGATAGCTGTGGCTCGAACATTGGTGTCGTTCTTGAGAAGGTCCTTGAGAAAATCAACGGATTCACTGAGATGTTTAGACGAGACGGGCTCCATCTCTGGAGGAAGGACGAGAGGGATCTCATTGCCATTCAACCCTGTGTAAGTGTAATCCATGAGATGGGTGTTGAATATGATGGCAAAGTGCTTACGGCGATAAATTAGACCCATCGCAACGTGGAACTCCTGAATATTCAGCTTTCCTCGGTTCTCGGCATCAGCAAGAGCCCTTTCAGAGGGAATAAGGGGAATAAAATGTGCCAGGTGGTAATCAAACGCACCAGATTTGCGCGAGTTCGTTCCTGTCCAATCCGCTTTGGCTGAACACTTCAGTGGCAGTGTCCCCATCAATAAAGCCACTATTGGATAGATCCCAGGCGCGAAATATTTGGTCATAATTTTTGCGCTCCTCTTTCGACAAAACCCAAGGGACTTTAGGAGCAGTAGTGCCACGCTGGGCCTGATTGTGTTGTTGGAATGATTGCTGAAGAGATTGACTACTGGGTGGACCACCAGAAAATTGAGGAGCGCCCGAGGGCGCGTAAGGAGCCTGAATGTTGGCAGGCATGAATGTGCTCGACATCATTTGCATGCGAGGGTCACTGGATCCTGTTGGTTGTGAGATCAGAGGACGGATACCACCTATAACAGACCCGTTGAACGCGGTATGTTGGGCGGTAAGCTGTCCACCAAGACCAGGCGATGGACTCAAGAAACGCTGCTGTGCTGCGACTCCGGAAACGCTGCCATTCTGCCCAAATTGCTGCCCTGGCAGCTGAAGTTGGGGCTGCTGCTGCTGCTGGAATTGGGACTGGAAGTTCTGTGGGATTGGGGGCACAGGCGGTGCGCCCCCACTCTGTTGCTGCTGTTGATTGAAACCCACCTGCCCTGGGAAGCCGGTTCGCTGAGGTTGCAGAAATCCTGGGCCAGCACCAGGATATCCAGTAGGAATAGGCTGCTGGAAGCCTGTCTGCTGAGGATATTGAAACCCCGGCTGCTGTTGATTCGGGAACCAAGGCGGCGCACTCATCGTTCGAAAGCAATTGCTGCGATGGAGTGCTGCTTGGCCGATTACATAAGGTGCCGTGATTTGATGTCTCGTGATCGGGGGTTGTAAAGATTAATATTATTCCTACCCTTAATTGCAACAGAAGGGATATCGAGCCCTGTTCTTTACTCGCACCCAGGCTCCTCTGTTCGCCGCTAGCCCTCTCAGTGCATCTTGTCCATGTGTGTTACTGGCCATCCGATGGGGGCGGTCTCCTGCTCCGAGTTTGTGATTCAAAACCAAATTGTGCTTGCCCTCGGCCTAGAACAACCAAACTCCGAATGCGAATGTTTTTTCGAATGCGATGATGCTTCCAGCTGTAGCTCCGCTAACTCATGCGATTCCCATTCCAATATGACTGGCCGACCCGACAGCAACCTGTCTTTGGAGTCGGTACTCAACATATTGCTTACCACTTGCACACTCTTCGCTCAAGGTACCTAGTGAATGGTGCCCACCTGCGCAAAAGCTTGAAAACACTTGTACAGCATGTTGGACCTGCACCCAAGACAGCCAGAATCCTCATTAAGAGCGGCCAAGGCCCGCATAACACAAAGTCTTCGTCGTGAGATGTCTAAAAGGGAAAGGGATGCCATCGAAGCCAGCAGCGCTTCAGACCTTCAGCTCAGAACTATTCCAAATGAGGCTTTCTTCCGCAGCAGGGTGATATCTTGGCTACTCAAGGTATAAGGAAACCTTCGCGAGTCATTCGCTCTGCCCAACGTATCTTCAGGCAACTCCGCCAAAGGGTTTCTTTGGTGGATCGTCACCTCTAGGTGCTCACTTGAAATACGATATCGGGACTCGCTTGCTTGCCGTCCAACTTTTCACCAGGTGTCTGCTCAGGCAATCTGACGTCACTGTACAACCAGACGAGATTAGAGATTGGCATTGCGGACTATGGGATCTAGCGCTAGCCTGCTTTTCCATCGCTGTTAAGGTATGGATCATAATGCCACTGAGGCACAGACCCTATGTGCAATCAGCGTGACCTGCAGATGAATCATGACTTCACCGAGCCATTGTGTCCAATCATATCAGACTCATTTCTCGAATTGGCACGACGTCGGATTAGCTATAAGGAGTTCGAAGTGCGGCATTTTTTCGCTTTCTCGCACTTCACCTTGAAAACCTTTCATTTTAGTTTACTCAACGAATCGTCTTGAAAACCCTCGATTACATGACATACGACGTAACCCCTTTAGTAAGCAACCCGTTACAATACTAACGTTGTGCCCTATTACGTCCGTGACGACTTCAGACGTACCTTCCTGATCTACGCAGCGCTTTGCCTTCGCTCCAAGCTACGCTGCGGTACGGGGACTCGTGGTGCCGGACGGAGCAGCTTGCGTTGTCGATATACCAAGACGCGGTACTAGGTCCCGAAATCTGCGTGCCTTGCGGATGATAGTAGTCCTGAAGAATACTCTTTGGCAGACGTGTCATTCTCTAAATTTCCTGTTTCGGTTATCACAGCAACCATCATCGTAGATGCTCTCATTGAAATCGTCGCGGCGGAAGATCAAGTTGCGCCAAGAGCCATATGCGCTTATCTCTCGAATCCCGTATCGCTGAACCCCAGCTGGGATGCAATTCAGCTAGCTGCCGACGATATTTTCCGGATACTTGACGTTAAGGAAGTGAGTTGACGGCAAACTCTTTCACGGTATTCTATATTAACAATTTGTGAAGGAAGAATGGAATTTGTGCCGGGAATGGATCGAGAATGTTCGAATGTATTGAAACTATATCCTGTTTTCTCCTCGCTCTGGCCACATCCGGCTTACTGTGAACTGGGTCCATTATTGAAAGAAAGCCCAATTTTGCTCCTGTCGCACATACAATCTCTTCAATCGTGATACAGAAACCGAATCCCTAGGTGAATTAGTGAAGCCCTTCCCCTGGTACTCCACGAACTAAAACGCTCCGGATCTGGATGCCAATTACTCGGAAGGATCCGCCATTTCAACATCAGCATCCCGCGCAATTTCAGCAGTAGGAGTTTCAGCTGAGGGAGACATGGTCATCTCCGTTTCTGCTGAGTCTTTATCGTAGTCATCCACGGCTGCCTTTATCAGTGTGCCTCTTCCCCTCCCTCTCCCGCGTCCTCTTCCCCTGCCGCGACCCCTTTTAACAACAAGTGGACTCTCGTCCTCCGACTCTGTTTCCTCTGCGCCCTCTGCGTCCGGTTTTGGTGTTTGCGCGACCCTTCCTCTCCCACGACCGCGACCACCCCTTCCTCTCCCCCTTCCACGGGAAGCGGCGCTCTCTGAGGCAGGAGTGTCTGACATACTAGCCACCTGCATTAGCAATGACTTGTCACCATCTCTGTCAGCATCAAAATATTCATTTGGGGCTCGATGTTCGTCAAGTCTCGTTTCGCCCGCTTGACCGGTACCGGCATCATCCTCATCCATCTCTTCTTCGTTGCGGTCCTCCGAAGCAATCAATCCGGCCAGGTCCGGAGGTATCTCTTGCATCTGAACGCTTGGTGCTCCGTTCAAATACCGGAGCTTTTCTCGGATACTGATCCGGATGTGCTCTAAACTTGCTCGTGAATTCTGATTTGGCACCTTAGAGTCGAGTTTCGGGTGAAGCGTATAATCCGGACCGAAGAAGTGGTCAAATGGTGTTTGAGGAAGTTCATCTGGGAGTGTCATTCCAAGAAGAACCGCAGTTTCGTGGGCCCAACATCGTGAGACGTTGCGAATTGTGTAGCCGCCGCCGCCGAGAACAAGGAGTGGCAGCCCGAATGCTTTAATATAGCGAACGCACTCTCCATGAGCCCGAATTGAGAGATTAAAAGCACCCAAGCGGTCACAGCCAAGTGAATCCGCTCCACACTGCAGTACGACGGAAGTAGGGCGAAAGGATGTGATCGTAGGCTCCATCACAGATTTAAAGAGTGTTAGATAGGACTCATCATCGATACCGTCTTGTAGAGGTACGTTGAGACAGAAGTGCTTCCCTCTGCCACCACCGTTGTCATCCAATTTCCCAGTCCCTGGGAAAAAATCACCATTATATTTGTGGAAGGAGACGGTCATCACTCGGTCACTATTCCAGAAAGCCAATTCGACACCATCTCCGTGGTGAATGTCTATGTCAATGTACAATACCCGAGGGTGATACCTGGAAACCGGTGTCTCAGCCTAAACCAAGATGACTTTGTACTGCAGCTAACCTCAATAATTCCAGGAGTGCAATATTAATGTCGTTAACATAACAGAATCCGCTAGCCTCACCCCTTTTGGCATGATGCAAACCGCCAGACCAGTTGATTGCAATGTCTGTGCCATTTTGCGACAATCTGCGGGCGCCATGAAGAGAAGCTCCAGCATATTTGGTCACAAAATCGTATAAACCGTCAAAAACTGGGCAATCTTCTCCAAAGTTGTGAAGCTTTGGTCCATCTTCGGCGCCTGGGGGCTCTGGCTGAACTCTAGTAATTAAGAAATGCTAAAAAAATCAGTGTCAGCTCTCTCTGGAGGAAAGTGATAATTTGCCTTTTAAGAAACTCCACATAGTCATGATCGTGATACATCTCCAGCTCTTCCTGGGTAGCTGGGCGGGGGCTGAAGTAAAAGTCTAGATGTTTATGTAGTCCGTAGCCAGTTACAAGAGCATTTGTCAGTGTCAGCCGCGCAGGTTTCATTGGATGTCTTTCCTGTGTTGGATGTTAGAATTGAAATATTCTCAATATTTGCCACACAAACTCCATAGTGATAATTTCCGACACCCTCCGGATGATAGTATGTAACTACAGGACGTGAATGTGGCTGATGCGAGATGTGCATATAAGCTTCGGGACCGCTTTAATTGATGACTGCCTACCTGCACCCGATGGCCAGAATTTTGAGGAATGGCCTGGCTCTCCGCCGAGGGGAAATACGTCCGGGAGGAATACGTCGCCATAAAGCCCAATTTGGTGGCGGGTGAAAGATCGAGGAGAAAGGGTTGAATAACTTATTTAAATATTGGACTTCCTTGTTCCTTGTCACCGTCACACATCGTGACCTCGAGACTTTCGGATGTCGACCTCGTTTGTTGGCGATCGGCCTCCACACGTTCCACTTGGGCCGCGCTCTGGATCCACCACATCGAGTTCAAATCCCGCGTCGCCAACACCCCTTCCCCAACAATTCTATCCACCACTACCGCCGACCGCTTCTGTCCCACCTCTAATTTCCCTCGAGTTGCGAATTCGATGGCTTGAAGCATTGATATCTGGTCTAGATACTAGAAATAATCACCGAGGCCGCACACAAACGAAGGGGAAGGATATAAAAGGGCTTCTCCACATGACCCAAGATGTTCAAAGGGAGCTGGAGGAAATTCTTGAGGCGAATGATTCACTTCGACGGTTCATGAATACTTGTGTGTCGCGTTTGTTCCCATATACCCCGACCACCCAATGAATTCTCCGTCAGATGAAGAATACGAGCAGATCTTAGCCCCAATGTTCGCATCCTCTCCGCTGGGGCCAGCCAACGCACCTTCATTTGATGAATTATCACCGGTCGAATTCGAAGTCCTTCTCAAAGAGCTCGAGCCTGACATCCGTTCAGCGGATCAGGATCTACGGGAAATACAAGCACTTGATAAACGTGGCGTCGCTGGGACGGGAAAGCTCCTTGGTGATTAAAAGTCATCGTTTCACCGGGGGTCGAACTAAACATATCACTTCAATAGAACACGAAGAACTAAAGCCTCGACTGGCAGCTCTCATTAGGAACCAGGTAGAGATTGACGAGCGACGCAAAGTTCTCGACGCACGTCTCTCTAGCCTGATGCAGCGTTACACAACACATGTTTGCATGCCAATGTTTCACCTCTCCACTCATAACTCACCGAGACGTCGGTTACAGGTGAACGCACTATCTGAACTATTCGTAATTTGGAATGACTTGATTCGAGATGCTGAGGAACACAGTGTTTTTCTGCTGAAACGTCGCAGTGAAAAAGAAAAGCTTGGCTTCGTCTAGTGGCAGAACTCCAAACCCATCTGTCCAGTCAATCGATCAACAACCGTGTGTCATATCCAGGGGTTGGTCATCCTCAGTCCAATAGGCCGTTTGCGTGTTAACCAATTGCACCGACAGAGATATAAATATCATGTTGGTGGGATTGCACATCCTGATTCCTTATCTATGGTCCAGAGATGATTCCCATGCCAGTGGTCGATTATCCACCATTGTCTTGTTATAGTCACCGAATTCCCAAGAGTGGCATTCCTAGTACATAGCGGTGGGTATGCCAAACGTCAGTAAGGTGGAAGGTCATTGCGCACCACACAGTCATCTTCAGGGATAGCGTTTGGTACATCCCAAGGAAGGGTTAAGACATCATTAATGATCACAGACAATTGGTGGTTCTGGATGTTCACCGACCAACCCAGTTTGCCTACCGTGTCGTAGACGATGCTCCTCCCAAGATGACAATGTGTCTCGAGGGCAAATCCAGCAAGGTAACATGATGAAAGCGGGCCAGTACAGGCTCCCAGAGGAACTGGATCGGCGTTGTGATAAACGTGGGTGACATGGTGTGTTGATGGCTGCATGCAGATGAAGACAATGAGCATCATGCTTAACCCAAAGAGACGGGAAATGCTTGCCGGCATTGGTAGGTGGAGGTGCTCAGCTGCAGCTTTATCGCCTGGGGACTCAAAAGCTACAGCTGGAACGCCAAAAGTAATGCCCAATAAGGAAGCCAACCCGCCTCCGAGACTGTGCCCTAAACATCTACCCAATCAGTTCCTGAAGGTAGATGCTTGTGGTTCGCTGCACTCGCCCGTGATCCAAATATTCGAGTGTGGATACATGTATGTCAAGTTATTATAAAGATTCTAACATTTAGCTTGAGAATGGGAGACGTGGAGTAGATGCAAGGCCAATGAACCCTTACCGTTCCAACGGAATAAAACAACGAATCCTCCGCTAGAGCTTTTTCCAGGCAGCCAATATCGCATTTCCCGGTGGCAGCATAGCAGTTGCAGACGGCGTCCACGACCAATCGATCCTCGCGCAACAGCATGACCACAGGAGGTTATCGTTCAGCTTGTCCTTGCGCGCAGTCGGTCCACCACCTCCCATAAATCCAGCTGATGTGCCTTTAATGCCCAGTACTATCGTTGAGTTGTCGGGAGTAGCAAAGACATGGCCTCGGAAACCATCAGAGCCTGGTTCCCAGCCAACTGGATAGCTCTGGAAGCCGAATGGAGTCAGGAGGTAAGCATTGTCTGACAGAGGGCAAGACAATGTAGAACTCACGCACCACATTCCAACCATTGCCAAGATCGTACCAGGTAGTATCTTTAGGAGATAGATACGCATCCCAAGTCATTTTGCCAGCAAGGAAAGAGTTTCGTTGTTCGAAGTATCAGGTCCTGAAATCTCGTCTTCATCCCAATCTATCGGTAAGCTCACACGGACCGCAGACGTTTTCAGCGTCTCAGCAGGCCTATATTGTATCCTAGGGCGATATCTTCGGGTGGGTTTGGTCTTCAAAGACCATGATAACTTCGGCTGCAGTGAAGCGTTGGAAGGAACGTCTTGAAAGAGAATAGTCTTCCCGTCGGGAGCTAACGCATGAAAGTGTCTCAGTTCGAAATCGAGGGTATTTCGTGCAGTCGTATTTGATAAATGGATTGTCGTTGCGACGGTTAAGCCCAAAACGTGGCCCAGCCGCATCTTGGCACCGTGGGAAAGTGCAAGTGTTTCACGAGCTCCGCAACCCCTTGGCGCACAACGGTAGAGATGAAAAGTAAAAAATGCAATTAAACAACGACTTATAAGACATGTGGGTGTAGGTACACCAGCGTCCACGCTAGTGACATGCAAGTATTCTACGATGATTGGAAGCGATTATAAGGCAATAATTACCAGATTAGGCTAGGGTTTGGGATTGGTTTTGTTCAAGAAGTCGCCAAATTCCCAAGCAAAACAGTCCTGAAATGGTTCATGGGTGAGTATCATAGCCTTAACCACATTCTGAAGTATGCAGACCGCCACATACAATGCAATCATCCTCTGGAGCTGGCACCGGTACTTTCCAAGGTAGTGTCAGAACCTTTTCAATAATCACGAGAATTCCATGCGTCCTGATGTCGACAGACCACTCAAGCTGTCCAACTGTATCATACAAAACGGTCTTGCCAAGGTGGCAGCGACTTTCAAGTGCATAACCAGCAGCATAGCATGTAGATAATTTTCCCGTGCAGGCTCCCAGGGGTATAGGGTCCGCGTTATGATATACATGGGTGATATGGTGTGTCGAAGGCTGTAACAATGGATATCATGAGTGTCTATCGTATTCAGAGTGCGCTGCTGGTGTGCCTACAGGGGACGGAAGGTGGAGGCGTCTCGCTGCGAGTCGTTCTCCAGGAGACTCGAAGGCGACCACAGGTGTACCGAAGGTAACTCCGAGGAGGGATGCTAGTCCACCGCCAAGACTGTGTCCTGTGCATAGAGTAAACGTTTCGCAGCAGCCCGAGGTTCAAAGCGTAATCCTTACCAGTTACCCAAATATTAGCATCTGGGTACATGTACGTTAAGTTATTATACAAGTTCTTTGGTCAAAAAAGTCATTGCTTTTTCGAGCAAGGGGATAGGAGCAAATGAGCTCACAACGCCAATAGGATAAAACAATGTCTCCTCAGCCAACGATTCCTCAAGGCACCCTGTATCGCACTTGCCTGCCCCAGCATAGCAGCCACACACAGTACTCCAGCTCCAATCTACTCTTGCACAGCAGCAAGAATAGAGTAGATTGTCATTTAGCTTGTCTTTCCTCTGCGTTGGGCCCCCACCACCAAGGATGCTCGCTGATGTTCCTTTGATGGATAAGACGACCGTCAGATTATCGGGTGTAGAAAATACATGGCCTCGTAAACCATCTGAGTCGGATTCCCAACCGACAGGGTAGCTCTGCGTGAACAGCACAGTGGCGTTAGTAGCGCCTGAGTTAGGAGAAGGTGATAGCACTCACAATGTTCCACTGCCCTTCCAAGTCGTACCATCCGGAATCTCCAGGCTCATTATACGCATTGAATGACATCCTAGCCAACACACCTAAGGTCTCATTGCTGCTTATGTCAGGCCCGGGAATGGTATCTTCTTCCCAGTTCACTCGACTGCTCATACTCCGCTTGGACAACCGTCTAAATTCATGAAATGCGGCTTGTGATGAAGGCCTATGGCGTTTTGTCGGCTTGACGCGTATGGGATAGCGAGGCATTGCTTGTAAGGAAGCGTGTGCAACATCCTGAAACAGAACCGTCTTGCCGTCCGGCGCTAATGTATGAAAGTGCCGTAGCTGAAAGTTCAGTACCGGCACTCCGACTAGTCCAGATATGTGCTCCTGGATGCTTGCACCCTCGACAGAGCTTGCAACCAGTAAAATTGCAACGAGGATCGGTGTGAGCATGTCAACGCGTCGAGCTACATGCGGCAGTCCCCGATAAATCTTTCATGTGGCAATTGAAGTCTACTCACGATAACTCCCCTCTCGCACGGGCGTGGCCTTGGCAGGTCTTTACTGATTGGTATCCTTTGACGTGGCGTTAATGTTGCAAACACACAGCGGTACTCGTCGTTCCTAGAATGACCTCGCCTTAGCCCGGCCTTTCTGAGGGCTCTTGCTGACGCTGTTTCTATGCTTAACAGTGAACACACTAGCGATGCTAGTGCCTTACCGCATTCTGTCCCATGGGGATGATCTGGAGAAACTACATTTCGATATGCTCTCTGGTGCACCGTTTCTTGTGCACGGATGCACTCATGGAAAGAATGGGTATGGAGGGTCGTATGGTTATGGGCGCACATGGCCTATGCAAGACTAGGGCTCCGGGACTTGGCCCTGTCACACGCCCCAATTCATATCATGCTTCGTCATTGGCTGCTCTGACGTGGCAACAGTTTTCAGCGACCCAGGCATCGGTACCAAACATCATGTAGAGCGCGGGCTTCTCAAACCACAAGTCGTGAATGTCATACATTGTAATGATATTCGGAACTCAATGGAGGCACAAGATCAAATAAGACGACTTGTACCACGGAGCTCGTATGCGAACATTATTTTTCTTTTCACATGTTGCTTACACAGTACGCATTCTCCGCATCCTGAGTTTCCAGCGCTACGGTTTGCTCCAGACCTTTTCCTTCTATGAAATGGTTAATAAAAGATTTGGAAAAGGCATTGGACGGGGGATCGTGAGTCCCGAACCTAGGTAGCGCATTCATTGATGATTGCCTTGATACAAATGACCATCAACAGGGTCAGCAGGAATACATCATGAAACACCTTCTGTATTCTTGAAGTTGCAGTCAATAAGTAGGAAACGAATCCAGACAATCATTTATACGAGGGACAACATACTATGGCATTCTACAATTAAAATTAGGGGATGACGCGGACAAAGCAGCAGTTTTTTTTATTAGGCAGTCTCGAGAAGCAAATATAAGTCCTTGAGGGTGTTTTCCGCAGATGCGCGTGTAATGTATGCGCTCAGACGGACCCGAGCACATAAATAGGTTGAGAGCACAAGTATCTATCGCTCAGCCAAGATCACGACGAAAGTGGCACCAGTGACAGTACCAAGTTTGTCTTCGACGAACTTGTCATCGCGGACCATGCCCGCGAAGCGAGTTCGTTTTCCGAGAAAGTCAACCCTTACAATACCCTCCGACAAATAGGCGCCACCCGGCGCATTAACATCGGTGCTCCGATTCCACCGATAGGTGGCGACGATTTCGTGTTTCTCCTCGTCCGACAATTGGGCATATTCGGACTTGTCAATGCGTTGCATCATGAAGTTGTACAACTTCTGAGTAACATCGCCGCATGTGACGCCAGCTTCGTTCTTCACATCAATCATCCAAGGGAAGTGCGGCGAGATGAGGCGAATGTGTGAGAGACGGGGAAGGTAGCGGGATCGCTCCGACCATTCATCCAAGACCGAGACCGATGTTCGGTAGAAAGATGGATCCTGTTGGTGGGCCAAAGCAAATCAAAAACGAGAGTTGCATGCGTCGGAGTATCGGGTGTTGGTCCCAGCAAAGCATGAACCGCAACAGAAGGTTTCAGAATATTGAACTTGAGGCTGTCAAGCACAATACCATCTAGTATCGGAACAATGCGGTTCAGCGTTTCATGAGTAATCGATTGTATGCGCTGATGGTCGACCAGGAGACAGTGACTTACAATCGGGTCCAGGTTCCCATCTATCAATGGCGATGATTTCCTCTTCTTTCGGTCGCGCTAATTTGGCCACCTGGGGCTGCTGGTAAGGGACCATAGCTCCCGCTGGCACAAGAGCACCCGCCCAGCCCCCTCCAGCAGGGGGGATGGCCAAAGATTGCTGAGCATGACCGTGGTAAGGAGTTGCAGGGGGTCCCCCGGCACCGATATATGGGCTTTGAGGGTAGTTGAAACATACCCAGCCGGCATATATGGAGAACCTATAGGGGGATGCTGTGCAGGAGGCGAAACGGCACCCATCCAGGCCGCTCCAGGAGGAGCTTGGTGATAACCGTAGGGGTTATGTGCCCCGCCGGGATAGCCATGGGGAGCATTTGTCCCTGAAGAGCCGCCAGCTCTCTGCATCTGCGGGCGTGTCTCCTGGTGAGGCATCCTGGAGGGCTGATTCGCGTATTGATCGGAAAAGTTCGATGAGCTCTGGCGTGAAGGCCACGGCCCTAAGATCCACTCGTCGGAGTTCTGATCAGAGTGGTTAGAGTTTGTGTGGGCTGGGCTGCTTTGTACTAGTTCGGCACTTTGAGAGAGAGGAAGAGGGTCGGTGGCCAGAGATCAGGAATGACAGGGTTGCGGGGAGAAGGGTAAGGTGATGGAACAAGCATGGCAGGGATTACGGGTTATTCTTATACGGTCTCAAATATGCTGTGTGGGCCGTTAGGCGGAACCGACACTGGGAAACGAGAAATAATTCGGGGACTGAGTGAGTCGATGTATGACTGCGAAAGGTCGAGTCAAACACGTTACCGAACAATAGGGGTTACGGAGAAAGAGATTCTCTAGAATTATTTTATGAAAGAAAGCGGAATCAGCCTGGAATCACTTAGACCCAAGTCAGAGCTGCTGTTGGGGAACTGATTGAGCTGTGAAAAGCATCCACGAGGCAGAGGCATGCCTAATGTGGTTGCCGACTTGAATATTCAATTTGTTTTCGGTCTTTTCCGGGTCGAGTCAAGTCTCAATGAACTAAACGTATGACTCGCTCCCTTACCTTGCAGTAAAACAATAGCTTGTAGGATAGCTTCTTGTCACAATAGGCGCGATAATTGTCTACCTTCCCAAGTCCCCAACCAGTACTTGGGAACACTCTACTTGGTTAAGCGAATCGTACGAAAATGTCAATACTATGAAATAGTTGTGAATGTAAATTGGCAGCCAGATTACTAGTTTTTTCGTAAGCTGCGGTCTGGGTGCATGAATGCGTGATCCATAATAAAAATGAATGTCACTGTGTTACCATTGCCATCAAACATAATAAGGGATCAGCCACGGAGCTGGCATGTAAGGATCTATTCTTTAGGATGAAAGAGGTAGAGCAATCTATCCCTGCATCTCTATTATGTCTATCAAGATTTTTGGGATACGGGCATTCATACTAATGTGAAACAAAGCCGCTACACTTAGCAGAAAGTAGGGAGTAGCAAGTTAATCGAGTTAAGTACTGCCTATGGCTAGAGACAGAATGGACCAGACTTCCACGAGGTTGTCCAGGGGCCATCATACGGTATTTGCGCGAACAGCCCCCCATCACCCTCCAACACCTCACCCTTCGACTTGCGGCCAAAACCTCCCAAGACAAAGTACGACCTATTCGGGTAATGCTCAACAATCACATCCAAATTGAGATCGTAAGGCGGATGTGTGTATGGTCTGAATCTGGCCCTTTGAAACTTCGGCGCGCGATTTAGGAATTGACGAGTTTGTTCACCGATTAAAGACCGGACGGCATTCGCCCACTCATAGACCCGGGGTAATTGTACAGGTCGAGCACGGGAGGTGGAAGAGTCGATGCATATTCATCTCCATATCTCCAGCGAAGTAAATTGGAATCACCAGCCAGCTGCCCTGAAGGCTCCACAACTGGAGGTGGCGGAAGCGAAATAAAGCGAAAGGGGAATCCAACGACTTCTACAAACTTTAGCGACGGGAAACCGCATGAATATTCCTAACCATCGGAATGATGTTAGGTCAGCTATATCATAAGTAGGTAAGTCTCTGATTCTACCTCCGTCAACATCGTTGGGTTTCCGTCCGGATGTAGTGGGGCGTAGTGTTCTCCACTGTTGTCGCAATCATGGACGAAGAGCTGTCCGGAGCAAGAAAGGTATTCAAGCGACGACAATGAGCGCAGACACTCTGAAAAGCTGGCGTGCAGCACGGGACCGTCCGAGATGCGCAATTGGAGATGGCGAAGCTTATCAAGATTGGGAAGATTGCATAGGGTATCTATGCATTTCACTTCTCTTGTCTGGTCCATGAACACCACCGACTCCGCCGATGGGCAGGCCGACAAGGGTTCAGCAATATTTCCGCTGCAGGCAAATCGAGTGATTCCTGGATTATTTCTGAGAAAAGGTCGCATATCCAGCTTCTGGCGGGTACGAAACTCAAGCCTTTTCAATTTGGGACAATAAAGCTTGGAAAGGAAACCTTCACTCGGATAAGGAGAGATGGGGGAAAGCGGAAGTTTCAAGCCCTCGATCACTTCGCGCCCTCCGTCAATGAGCGCTTCCAAAAGCTGAGTAGAAGCGTGGGCATTGGCAACGTCAATTTCCCTCAACCCGTTAACCGCACCCCGCAGCGCAACGGAGGAACAGTCAAATATATATCCGTACACATCAGATACTAGATGTAAGCGACGGAGTGGATTGGCCCAATAGATTGAATGATTGGATCGAAGTTCACTGTTCTGAGAGCAAATCGTTCTTGTCGCCAATGGTGATAGAAAGTTTCGGAAGGATGGACAATAGACACCGTCAAGCTCTTGAGATTCGGCAGCTTATTCATCAACCCCGATGCAGGCACAAGAACTTGCGGTCTATACGGCTTCACCCTAAGTGTCAGCGCCCTGTGCTAGCTAAGTGATGAGTGTCAGGGCTTGTACAGAAAAGGACTCACCGGATGTGATGAGCCAGCGGCCATCCATGTTTCAGCGCGTCAAATTTCCCAGACTCTTCGCCCTCCGAGGCCTCAGGAATATCGACACTCAAAGATTTGAATATGTAGGGTTGGGTGAGCAGGGAGATGGGTCGAGAAACAAGACTGAGGGCGCATAGATCAGGGATACGGGTGATCCATGGGATGACCAGGTATAAGATGAGATATGTCTTCTGGTCTTCGTCCATGGTCTGCAACGATGAACCCCCCCTGATTGTGTTTCTATTCCCGTTAAAGAGAGGCTGATGCTCGGGAAATTGCTGACGCACGGCAGAAACGTGACTTTGCGACCCCACATTGCGTCAGGAACAAAATGAGCGAACACATCAAGATGCAAGAACTCACGACCAGCAGGGGCGAGGGCACTGTCCAGAGCGTTCCTACCCAAAATCAGACTACGGACGTTGAATCGTGGGCTTGGAGCGCTGCAATGCATGTTTATTTCCCGCATCCCTTGCATTTCTGTCTGACATTAATTCTGATCGTCTTCCGCGGATAGCCTAATGATAATATACTCCCTGCCTCTGCTTGTATCTGAAAGCTTGTTCTGTTCCTAGCAGGAGGCATTGAAGTGACAAAGACTGCTTTAAACCCCTTGGAGTCCTTCTTGTCCATCCAACTTGGTTGGGATTGATCTGCGGGGCCTTTGCTTTGATAACTGGCGTATGTATCCGCCACTATTACCCTTTCGCCGAGTTTTAGATGCGACAAATAGCGCATTTTATCTAGATTCCATCCCCACCTGTGATTCCGTCGGAATCACAGAGTCAGGGCATTTCCGATCACCCTCTCCTTGTTCCAGTAACGTTATGCATGCTCCTCTCGTGCCTCATATCCTATAATACCAAAACCATATCGACCCTTGGGACCATTACTTCAATTTTTAGTGGGTTCATCGGAATTTGGGGAGTCTACGTGGTGCGCCACTCCTTTTCTGTGGATCCATACCGCTGGAAGTCGTTAATGAAACACGCATACAGATTCTGTTCGGCAAGTCTTCCTCCACATCGAAGATAACAGGAGCAGACAAGAGGACATCGCGGTTTATATTTGGGAACAAGTCCGCAGCCAGTTCAATCAAGAGACAATGGAAGAAAGACCACATGTAAAGATAACCTCAAGCACTGTTTCTATTATGATGTACATTAAGGATACATACCATGTTCAAGTCCAGACCTGTAATACGCCTATCGCCTGCCACCCAAACCGCCCAGCCCACCCAGCCCACCAAAATTTTTCATAAGATCGCCCATATTCGGCATACCTCCCGCACCGAACCCAGGCAGGTTGTTCATCATTCCTGTTAAATTCTAGCAAGGAAATTGGAACAAGCTACCAAGATGGACTCACTCTGCATCTCAGCCATTTCTTCGTCGGAGACATTGCCACCCATCATGGCTTTCATCATTTCTTGCATCCCGGAGATCCCTCCGCCTTGACGAAGCTTTTGTATGAAGCCCGGAGGAGCCGCTCGCTAGATGGCGTGAGAAGGTTGCATCAAATGGCCGTTTCTGGAATGACGGACAAATTGTACAAACCTGCATGGCCGCCACTTGCTCCCTCGTTGGCATCCCACCAGGCCCCATCATAGGCCCAGCTGCTGAGGCCATTTTTTGGAAGTTACTCATCCTGTAATCACCGCGCTTAATAACATAGCCATGGAGGGCGAAGGGGAGTACCCACATGCCGTTCTTCCCACCCATCTGCTTCGCCATGCTCGACATCATACGGTATTGGCAAAGCATCTCCTCAACCTCGCGCACACTTGTACCGCTGCCTCGGGCGACACGAGCAACTCTCCAGTTTACTCCGGCGGGTACTTTGCCAGATTCGTCCATTGTCATAAAAATCATACCGTCCGAATCAAGTTCTTTGGCAGTCATACTGTCTGTGATGAAAATCATGCGCTTTAGACGCATGCTGCCCTCCTCGTCAGAATCATTGATCATCTCCTGTGGCATCCCAGGTATCATAGATGCGATTTTACTTATCGGCCCCCTGTAAATGATGAAACGATCAGAAGTGAACTACAGTGTGAGCCAAAAAAAAAAACCTCACATGCTCATTATAGTCGATATCTGCTCCCTCCACGCTCGAATGCTGAGTTTACCTTCCTCGATGCTCTTCGCAATATCTTTTTGCCGCTCCGGATCTTGCATAGCGATAGTTTGGAAGTGCTCCACCAAACCCTGCATGTCACCTAATCCCAGCAACTTCGATATGAAAGGTTGCGGCGAGAACTTTTCCAGGTCGGTCATGTGTTCACCTGTTCCGATGAAGATAATAGGCGTCGTTGTTGCCGCCACGCTGGTTCCAAAAGTGAGCAAATGGGATAACTAAATTCAAGCACGAACTTACGCCGAGATGGCTCCTCCCCCTTAGCATGGCCATCCATTTTTGTTACAATGATTGCACCAAAATCGGCGCTTTCCTTGAAGGCTCGACTTTGTGACTCTGCAGCCTGGCCTAGGGTAAGGAAGCATAAGATACGAGAGATGAGCACCCCAACTATAGTGCGCACCGATGCTGGCATCCATTACTAGAACTGTCATGTCAGGCTGGACAGCTTTTCCAATTTGAACCATTTCTTCGAACAACTCTGCTTCTTGTCGATGTCTTCCTGACGTGTCCACAATTATTACTTCAAACCGCTCCTTCTTAAACTTTGTGACGCCCTCTGCAGCAATAGCGACAGGATCTGTTTCCGTGTAAGATCCAAAGTACGCAACCCTCGCCTTAGTGGCGGATTGGCGAGTTTGGTCAAAAGCACCAGCTCGAAAGGTATCAGCGCAGACGATTGCCGACTTGAAGCCTCGTCGTTGGTAGTGAACGGCTAGCTACACATGGAAGAGGAGGCAACCTGGTGTCATGCAGAGGTCCCGTGGTAGATAGCATACATACTTTTGTGCAAGTGGTGGTTTTCCCGTTACCCTAGAACCATTTGGGGTGAGACTTCCACTAGAGCATAATAAAATAGATGAATCCTTGCCTGCAGGCCAACCGCCATGATGACGTTCGGTTTTCCTTTCTTGGGTTGATACGGTTGCACACCAGGGTCGACGAGGTTCACCAACTCATCAAAGATCGCCTATCCGAACCCAGGGTTAGTGTATCGTTACATGCAGTAGATTATGCTTGCTTTTTGAGCTATGGTCCTCCTATTGGAGTCCCGGCCACGGTCAGCACCTCCTTCTATTGCTTGTTTTACTTTCGCCTTCACCGCGTTCCGCAAATTTGCCACAAGCTTGACATTAACATCAGAGTCCAGAAGTGCTAGGCATATCTCCTTTAGAAGTGTATCTAAGACCTGATATGCAACCAGAGCTTGACATGAGCTCGTATGTCATGGAATCGGAGAACTCCCCATCACGCACTTGGTCATCAACGAGAGGAGCTTGGCCCAGCTGAGACAAAGCCGACTTAATACGGCTTCCCAGATCGGCAAGAACCTAAATGTATGTAGGTGAGATTACACCTCACCATGGCGTGGAGTCGCTCACCATCTTGACGATGCGTGTGACTGACCTTGGCGTGACGGGGTCACGGGAATGTAAGGCGCTTTTTGGGCACTGATAAACCTTTAACTTTAAGATTCGAGAACGGTTCGTTTCGGCCGCAAAGGATGTCTTCTCAACCTGATGGCCGCCCGGAAAAGCGACGAACGTTCCGATTTCCAGATATAAGCTACACCCAGGAAATCGAACAACCACAAACACCATCCTCATCCTCATCCTGTTATTCGTCCTATCAAGTCTCAAATCCTTCGACTCTTAAACGAATGAAATTATTGCAAAGCCAGTACATGCATTTTCATGTTGAGAATGATGAGTATGTTTGCGAGCCACCGCCATCTCCGGAGTCTTTGGCTCGGACCCAGACGATCATCGAACTTGTGGAAGATGCGGTGCAGACGTGCCCAGACCGAATTCATCAGTACCTGGCTTTGTCCTCCACGAAACTGCATTCGGTCTATCCCGGGAAGACAAACGATTGGGGTGTTATCGAAAGGCTTCCGCCTCAGAACGCCGACAACATCCTCCCATTAGCCGAGACAGAAGAGCAGTGGGATCGCTGGGTCCAAGGCATTGAAAAACCACCAGCAGTTCCGAAATGCCTTCCATTTCCAAGAAGGACGTGTACCACGTCAAACCCCCCTCGCCCAAAACGTGCGACGGAGGCACAACACGATTCGGAACGACCAGCGGGATGGAGCCAAACACAACCAGAAACACAAGACTTTGGGTCACTGGTAGGTCGGTACCGCCTTGTGTTAGCCCTGCGTTCTCACTTGCGACATGCCAGTCATTTGGGGAATCGTTCGTGCAAACTTCAACACCAAAGAGTCAACTACAGACTTTGACAAATGGCAAGATCACCCGCTCACCTACAATCCCAACCCTAGAGTTGCCGATACCCAGACTGAAGAACGAACACCAACATTAAAGCGACGTTCTTCTCCTTCGCAGACGCCGCTTGCGAAGCTACCCACATTGATGAGCTCATGGAAGCGTCGGCCAAGAAAAAGGCCAAGTGCGGGCCGAGAAGAAGCGACGCAGAGCACTCGCCCGGTCGTCTCAGCTCTCATTCGAGTATCCGACACAGTCCGATCAACTGCCAAAGACTCCAGATCCAGAATTCTGCCCGGCTTCTTCCCTGTCTACACCTCCACGGTCTCAATCTCCGTCCGGCTGCCACCAGACGATCCTAGACTATCTCCGGACCCCCCTCGGGCTGTACAAGATGGTGACAGACCTACTTCAACCAAAAAGAAGTTTAGCTCCTTTCAGCCCTCTCAGTATGAGCCCCAATTCGACATTGAGAACAACGTAGACGAAGTGTTGCAGTTTATAGACGATGATGTTAACCTCCGCTTGATTTCTTTAGCTGACACTGGTCGTGACGGGGAGCGTGAAGTACATTATTACGATATCATTATCTCACTTTTCATTGCTGGGTGATGGGTTTGCAGTGTACAATGGAAGCAGTGAATTCGTATTCGAACAAGGATCTCCAAAAACATTTATAGTACCTATTATTACTTCTTGACAACTACTGGCGGTTTGCAAGAATGCCACCCTGTGTGCGGTAAAGCCTCTTGCTCGGCTGTCCGGCCAGAATTAATTCCTGACCGGGAACTTTTGCTTCCCAATACAAACTCAAACACGGAGGTATCGCGAAAGCTACTAGGGTCCCACCAAAAAAAGAAAAGGATTAATTCCTGCGAGATGTTGAACTCGTTGCCTCACTGAACGGGTGGGGGAATCGAGGGAAAGATGACGGTTCGGGACGGACGTCGAAGTAGGGATAAAGATGTCCGCTGCAGGAACCCGCCAAAGATCGCCATTTCTCACTCGTCCGGGCCCCTGCACCAGGATGGGACTGCCCGTCTTTGCACATCGCTCAGCAATCTTTCCCTTTCCTGGCTGGTCGCACCGCATCTAGGAACATGTATATGGGCACCTGCTATATAATATTACGAAGTCTAGCTTAGAGGCTAGAATGGACGCATAGATCCGACGTACAATATTCCCAATTCCAAAAGCGGTAGGCTAGGCTTGCACATATGCGTGCCTTCCCAATCAGAGCGCCGACGGTTCGTTTCCCCCGACGATTCAAAGAGTCCACGTGTGTTCTTCGTTCCGGAGTTGTCCCAATTGTATTGCCTGTTTGATGCTCGTGTTCATTTTCCCACCTAGGTCCGCCGGTACTTGTAGGCAGTTATGTGTGTTAAGTATGCAAGACCGATAATGGCGCTGACTACTTCAGTTTCGGTCATGATGCGATGCGTCGAGTTGATCGGGGATGAAGCGCATCTACAAGCAGTAAGAATAGTGAGTTTAAGCTTGGACGATCCGGATGGCTGCCGTTTACCGTCACCACCGGTCGCGGTGTGCAACAAGTACTTATGGGCTGGGCCCTTGACACCATCCCAAGTCCATCCCATCTTCCATCTCGACAAGTTTCCCGTCCCGACATAGCGATTCTCCTGTGTGACTGGTGCTGATCAAGATGTTTTCTCTCCACCGCCGATCATTCTGTCGCATTTCTTCTCTCCCCAACGAATTGTTGCATGAGATAGCAACATACCTTGCAATTCGCAATGACGTGAAAGACTTCGTCAACGATAACCGGGACGTGGCGAGCTTTTCGATGGTGTCTCGCAGAATTCGAAGCATTGCTCTCCCACTGCTTTTTCACGAGATTGCCCTCACCTCCAAATCTCAACTTGAGGCTCTCTCACAGGTGCCAAAAGATCTATTAGCTGAAGTTCGGTGAGTTCCTTTCGTTTCCATGGTACATCCCAATCTGATCAGGGTACCCGTCTCAGAGTACTCAACATCTTCATGGACTCGGAGTTCATCGATGCCTGGAAATTACCCTCCTTATCATACGCCTTGATCCATATTCTATCCCAAACGCCCGCTCTTCATGCCCTTCGTGTTCTCGTGGCAGAACTGACTGGCCAGTCCTCCGCCTGGAGCCGCTTTTCTCTTGGTCGAACGAGAGGCCTTCCGATTGGTCATGCCATCCATCAGTCGGTTATGATGTTTCCACGGTTCAACCTTCCACACCTACGCATTCTTGAAGTTGACGCTCTAGACGATATTGAATCCCTCACCTTGCTCGCTCCAAACCTCGAGATCCTTCGCATGAACAAATCTTGTGGATACGAGGTTGACGCGAACACTCGTCTCGTCTCGACCTTAACCAATCTACCGAACATTCGTGAACTTGCATATTCGCCCGAATCCCTGAGGATAAGCGAGGCGACCAGTGTCCAAGAAGAGCTGGAGGTGGAGGATGCAGACGATAATACGAAGAAGGATGATGGGTGTGTTAGGCTCCTTCGTGCTATTGCCTTGGCCGCACCTTCCTTGGAAACGCTCAACTTGCAGACTCGCTGGTATGGGGAGGATATACGCTTTCTTGAATCCTCAGAGCCGATCTCCGCAGGTGCTTTGAAGGAAGCTCTTGCGGCTCTTACAAGACTCAAGAACGTTGCTCTTCCTTCCACTGTCTCGTCGGTCCAAGATCATAAGATTATCAATGCATCACCTTCTGATGGTGTCTCCCTCGCCGCTTCCCTCTCCAATATAACCACATCGGAACGTGCTATTGCTGCTGAACTTGGAAGTGCCAACCTCAATCTCAAATCAATCTCATTTATCAGACCTGTCTCATCTTCCAACTCTCCCTTCCCTCCCACTCAGTGCTCTGTCACCTACGACGTGTCTTCTACTCCCGAGCGCACTATCTTCATGGGTTACAATGCCACCCCCATCATTCGCCCCAGTGTAACTGAGGTGTACAGGGACGTCTCTGTTAAGTCAGCGGAGGATGATCAAGTCGATGCACGCACGAAAACAGTTAAGGGCGTTTCATTCGAGAGGGTGTGGCATCGGCTCATCGACGGGCGACGGGTTACAATGACTGTTATCATCGCTGGAGCTGGCGCAATTGTTGCATCCGAGGCAGGAAAACTCATTGCTTCCTGGTGAATAATGGGGGAGGATGTAGTGCTACATAACTTAATGATTAAATTATTTTTTGGAGGGTGTAGATGTGACACATGAATGAATCATTTGCCCAGAGTTTAGAGGAAGTACGGGGAGAGCTTAGATCAGAGAAGTTGCGGCAGCTTCATGGTCGATGCCAGAGCGTCGCATGGTTTGGAGATCCGCATTAATGTATATATCTAAAGGGCGGGACAGCATTAGCAATGAACCAAAAGACCCAAGACAGGGAAATGGATGGCAGGACGGAAGGATCAGCTGTAATTGCCAATAGTTTGTCGTCTTAGAAGACTCCGTACAGGTCTGTTTTATCATCATATTGCAAGAGATTGGGGGGAAGGAAATGCTGGGGCGGTTGGACGTACTTCGCCGATGCGCTAGGACCCAAAGGAGAAAAGACGAGGCCCTTCAGCACATCATAAGATGAGGAGAGCAAAAAAGAGAGAAGCTCTCAGCGTAGGTGTGAGCTAATATTTTCAGATGCTGACCGGAAAGAGTGAGGACGTCGGTTGTTGTGTGTTGTTTGTATCGACACAACAAATATCTTGTAAAGCTCAACACTCTCCACAGCGTTTGTCTCGCTGGGTGGATGGCTTCTCGCCGTGAATCTCGGGCGAACTCTACGAGTCTAAATACCCTTCAAGAATTCGAGAATTGTGTGTCTCATTTTCCAGAATCACCGGATGCATCTCCTGAACTTTCTCTCTCGCCCTCAAAGTGCGCAAGACATTCAAGGCATCGAATGATCGGTTAGCGAAGTGCGCAACTTATGGAAGTTACAGGGAATTTGTATAGGATTCTAACGCGTTTTTGCGTTTTCAGGAAGAATAACGAGCTGTTGGCACAGATAAGCCAACTCACGAAACAACTTCAGGAGAGTGCAGCAGAAAACTTCCAGTTGCGTGGCACGTTATCGGCTTTACAGCGCAAGCAGCTGGTAGATAATTCGAGGTCCCTCGCCTACCAGCGAGAGAGGCAAGCGATGTTAGATCTTGTCGACGAGACGACTCGTGCCGTACGTTTTCGACTTTGCTCTCATTCCCATAATTCCCTCCTGATCATGTACGTATACAGGCTGATTGGGCCAAGAAAAACTTGGCTTCCTTACGCCGTTCGTTTGATGCAATCGATTCAGCTGGTGCGGTCAGGCCTGTGCCGAACTATGACACAATCGGTCCTGACTTTTGCAATCTTAGAGCCTCCGGCGACCTCTCCGCCAGCATTTGTCCCTAAACCGAGGTCTTCGACCTCCAACGCCCTCAAGGTCTCAGCAGCACCAGACATGGAGCTTATCCACGAAGATTCAAAGGAGGATATGCACTCATCCCCTCGTGTCTCACGCCGGGTGGTGGCACAACCAGGGCCTAGCCGCTTATCATCACATATAATAGGGACTTTGCAGCTAACGGAAGCAGCTGTATCTACATTGAACGCCGAATCATCAATGAGTTCTCCTGCTGCATCTGGGAACGTGGCTAAGCGCAAAACACTGCGACGGCAGTCTGGCTTACTGGGACCTATCGAGCTGAATACGCAATCTTCATCTCCCTCGACGCCATCGCAAGCTGGACTCACTGAATCCCCCAACTTTCTTTCGCCGCCACTAGACCATGAAACTTCATCGCCATCACCGCAAGCCCATCTCACTCCACGGCGGGCAGGCAGAGGGAAAAGGAAACTCTCAGTGGACGAAATGGGCCGTGATGACTTGCCTGAGTATTCCGCTGCTATCTCCGGGCTACATGATGTCACCAACTCGCCACCGCCTCGGTTAGCAGAGGGCAAGCCGAAGAAAAGTACTTCACTCAAGAACAATGGAGCACAGGAGGATTTCGATTATGCGCTCACCCCGCCACTTTCTCGGGTTGAACGGCGGAGTAGAAAACTTGCACCCCGGAATACAGATCACGATGAAGAGGGTTAGTGATGGAGTTTGATTTCCGTGCTACGCCTATTTTATCACTATCACGTACCACAGGGAAACCTATCAGGCCCACATCACCCCACAATGACACACTCGAACCTGCATCCCTTGGCGCCCAAAGAAGTGCATCACCTACACCACGGAGTCGCTCGCCAATACCCCAACCCGTATTTGGTGCCGCTTTAATTGGATCACAACATGTAGAAACTAGTAGGGAACGACGAGTGCGGAAGAGTGTGAATTATGCGGAACCTAAACTCAATACGTGCGTCTTTCCCCAACGATTCGTCCCCAGTCTCACGTTTTGCTTTCGAAAGGAAAATGAGAAAACCTGATGGATTCGAGGCATCTTTCAAGAACCGTCCATCTACCACTGTCTCTGCTGCAAAGTGGCAGATGCCCTCATCATCAACACCTCCAGCGAATGATCCCACACGCGCGCCAGCTAAGCGACGAGAGACGAACGTTCCATCCGCCAGTCCTCGCCCACCGTCCCCGGTCACAGACGAAGAACCCATCCGGCCCTTGAACGGAACAAGGGAACGAGAGAAACCCCGATCACGGCGTCGACTGTCACAACCCAGCGAGGATCAAGATGACGAAGCAGACGAAGAACAGGACAGGAAAATCCCCATGTGGAAAGCTTATCCTCGTACACCTTCGACGACAGTCCCATCATCACCTCATGATGCCGCAGCAATTGTTAACTCGAATGTTAGGGGGCTAGCAGGGATGGCTCTGCCTGATGCAGACGAGCAACCGACAACGAAACGGAGACGGAGAGCGACATCCTATGCAGGTTTAGAACTATCAGATGAAGACGAGGATGACGATGAATACAGGGAAGACGGTGAGGATGACTTCGTGCTGCCGCGATCTGTGTCCAGGAGGAGGAAAAGTAACACCGCGGGCTTTTGGAGTGACAGTCGGACGCTGGTTGGAAGTTTGAAGGATAAGGATCGCAAATTATGAGGTTGGGGTTGTAGTTCCTATTTCTCTTCCTGTGATTACTGCTTATAGTACAGTTGATCATGACACCGACACGCTGTGAAAGGAGAGACCCATGAACAGCTATGCGCTGCGTGTCGGGGTCTCATTGAGAATTTCCAAGGCTTTGTACGGCCGCATGCTATGATCACAGAAGACGGAAGACAGACAAAACTCTTTAGACAGTTCAGAGTATAGTCCCAATACTGAATGAGTCGAAAACCACGCTTCGCGACAAGTTTCAGATCTGAGCATCATGACGCTCAAAGCCGCCCAAAGTGAGCACGCCTGGTAACAATTTGTTCCCAGGGTGGCACACCTCGATCGCCAGGTTGTTGCTCAATTTATGCCCAGAGGCTTTCCCTGCTGTGCAGTGGAGCTTTGCCTTTACTAGATGCATCGCACACTCTTTCTCTCGCGCAGAAGAGGACAAGGTGATCGCCTTAGATTGGAGCATGAACACTGTCTCCGTCGGTGGAGATGACGATGCGGGGTTCCTCGAATTTCCGATTGGACCAGTCCTCTTGGGGCTGGAAGAGGCGAGCGGAGGTACGCCCCAAAAAGTCGACGTCAGTCCGACCACCAATGACCCTACATCGCCCCAGGAAGTGCACCGAGTAACAGGAAGGCCGCTTGTTAAGGAATGCCCAAGTCACGCATACCAGGCAGTCGTGCGCCAGGTCATGGCAGCGCACCGAGGGTTTGCCATGATCTACTTGGACGACTGCATAGCAGACGGGCAGGATTGGGAGGATGTGTATAGGGAACATAGTACTTACGGACTGAATAATAATAACATACCCCTAATCGAGCCGTTTGTAATCATTGGATAAGTATAAATAATCTTAGAATAATTGCACAACAGCAGAAAGATCCCTCCCGCCGAACGAGTCTATCCTACAGCAATGGAGACTACTCTATCTATGGCTATCGTAATAATGTTGAGCCTGATCCTAGCTCTAGCAGGCTGGCGGTACGGATTTATGCCTAAAAAAGGTTACAGGAGAGCCCATTGACGTCCGACAAAGTGGAACCACTGAACCAAGAGAGGAACGGAGGTTCGAGAGAGAACAAGCTCTCAGGAATTGCTAGGGGACCGGTATTTAGCCACGGTCAAAAGTGCAAACCGACAGGCAGGGAATCCTACAAATCCCGCAACGTTTCTCACCCCTACTAACTCAACGGAAGGAGGAGTTACACCCCCGCTATTACCTTTCCAGGGGCAGGAAAAGCTGACCACACTATCCCAGCACAGATCTTTATGTAGTCTACCCGGATAGGCATGAACTAGACCAGAACCGAGGAAAAGGTAGAGACAAGTGTCTCATCAGCAAAAGAGAATTGAGTAAGAACTGAGTGGCTGATAGTGAAACAAAGGTAATCGATCACAGTGGGCGCCAGACGTCGAATAAGATCGAGGATGACTTGCAGTGTGACAAGCGAAGTAGTCAGCAGGGAGGAAATCTATAGGAAATTCGGAGAACCCCAGGAGTGGCGGCAATCAAAGATCGGCCTGCACAACCACACAGGAAGAAGCCGAGAGGAGACCGGCCGGGCGCTGTGAAATTGTGCCAAGAAACTGGAATGATGAGTAACGATATCAGGAGCGAAAAATAATCTAAAAACCAAATGTGTCTAGAACGGAGAAGTGGTATGGAGAAAGACTGCGGCAGAGATGCAGCACGGGCATCAGGGAGATCTGGGGATGAGACACGGTTCCGAAGGGAAAGGTCAGAACCCTAGTACGATAGAGGGCAGATCATAGAAAAGAGAAAGATATAAAAATCGGAGGGAAGGGGAAGGCAACTTAGCATCGTTCCCCGCCCCCGCCCTCGCAGAGTAACCTCAAGAACTAGCTTGAATCTTAGAATGTCTATCACTCCTCAGATCGCTAAATCGTCAGTAAACCTAGTCAAGCGCGGACAGATGGAAGGTTGGGTGCCGACGGAAGTCGTAGCAGAGGCGCTCATGAGCTTGGGAAAGGTGGAGATTCCTGAGACAGACGAGATGGCGATGAGCTCTGACGGATTCGAATCTGACTCTGAGCTGCAACATCTGTTGGATAGGCTTACGAGCAACCGCCAGACAGCGGATCAAGGACTCTTGGAAGCAGCGGGAAGGATTCTTGACAACATACACCAAAGTTCTGACAGTAAGCACGTGGAAGAAGCAGCAGAAGGAACTAAGTTAACTCAGGAAGCCTCTATAGATACGGACTCGGATGACCCGGAGGACGCCTCACTCAAGTACCCAGAAAGTAGCTTGGCGGAGTATGCATACAATTGGAAACATCCACCCACCAGCGGAGTGGCGACGGTTCCCCGTAATACGCCAGAGCCCACTTTCGGTCCAGTCAGGTCCTCTTACGAGCCCCGAGTTAGTGTCACAGCTTCCCCTGCCTTCACCAAACTGCTCAAAGAAAAGATGCGCAGCGTGTTGCTGAACCAACATTTGGCCCAGCTGGAGGGAGATCTCGACAAGGCGCGGAGAACTACGCAGGAATGCTCTGCGCTGATCCAGGACGAGACTGAACTTCGCGCTAACCCTCGAAGGATGGGGCAGCTTTTTAAACTTCACGACACGAGGCCAGTGGTAAGAGATTCAGAGGAAGTGGTGGAACTAGTCATAGGAAGGATTACTTTGGAAGCCACGATCTGCAACGATCACGGTACGGTGGATGGGATCGACAATGATTTGCGTCGCGCCTGGGATCACTTCCACAATCCTCTCTCGAATATCGCGAAAGGACCGACCACTCGAGTTCTACCATGTATTCCAGACCTTCGTGTACAACAGGTTACAATAATTCAACCCAGAAACATTGGAAGAACTACAGGTGGCGATCGTGCCGATCAAGATATACTTTTTGCGGATGAGAAATGGCCAGTGGAACGCTGGACGTACCGGGTAAGCAGGTGATTCATTACGTAATCTGGATCCAGTGCTTCCCCTGCAAGTTCTGAAGCTATGTTATTACGAGACCCGCCTCATCACAAGGTATGTATTTTACCACTCCAGTTGGCCCCGGGTGAAACAGAAACACATTGCGCATAGGTATTTTTTAACGACGCGGGAACTAAGCCCTTGTCGATCTATGTCCACCCCAGCGTTAGTGGCGACGAGCGGATTGCCCTCAGCAGATGTCTGAAGGTTGTTTAGCCTCCCTTAGAATTATATTCTTTCTTATGCCAGTTTAGAGTGGCGGGGCCCAACGGGTGTTTGGCCTGAAGGATGCTAGTAAAGTGGACTGTCTTATCGTCCACACCGATATAGACAGGGCGAAGCTTCTGGAACAGTATTCCGGTTTGGAAGACCATCTGATAATCACATGTGATGAGATAGAGAGCGAATTTTATGATCGTCCGATTAGAGTACAAATAAGGTAAGTAACAGAACACAGTCTTCTCTCTGGCCATGCACGCACGACATTGAACCACACCAGACCGTTCACTGCTGACGATGATAGAAATCTCGCCGATTATATTGCCCGACGTTGTCCAGACCCAGACACTGGGGCAGAAGTGGCAACGTCATATACCGTGACTTAGTCAACAACGTAAGCGTTAAATGACAAAATCCTCATTATCTCGCTGAAATATTCTGTTATAAGCCTCACCTCTGGCCTTGGGGCCAACGGGCGACTTTTTCGCAATGGAAACACAGATATAAAAACCAAAAGTCATCCTTTGACTATTGGATAGCCATGATTGTGAAGCGCCACCCGGAGTATATGTCATCAAGACAACGGTATCACAAATCGCATCGGCATGAAGATATCAAAAGAGGTTTTAGGAAAGGAGTCACCGTGCATGGGCATCAGCGGGCATCACAGACGAGAGAAGTCGGTTCCCAAGGCTCCAATGATGCACCCGGCTCCCCTGTGAACGCTGACCCAAAGGAACTGTGAGTGCAGGCTTCTCACATGACGGACGCTGCCTCACCTCCTGCACTCCGGAACAGGAAAGGTCCAGAAAATCATCCAGAGTCAGGGAAACAGGAGAGGTAAGAGCCTAGGCGATTCTGCTGGCGCGCATTTAAGAGCCGCACGATTATGAATTAGGGTCAAAACTGGTGGCACGAGTGAAGAAAGTGGGCCCCACGCTCACCAATCCGACATATCCACCGGCGACTTCGCTACTCAACGAACGTTGGTGAATACGCCACACTCACAACGTAGGCGATCTCGCCCGACCCATAAGTTCCCAGACGATCGGAAGCCCTCTCAGCTTGCTCGGGTGCCAAGAAAAAGTTCGCAGTTACAGCAGTCACAAGATTCTGGAAAATAGTGCGTGTCAGTCTGAAATTTATCATACATGTCTGACATAGCATTATTGTAGCGCTACCCCTAGGCTCTACTCCAGGGACGATGGCCGCCGAATCTCATCTGCTGTTTCGTTGCAACCCCAACGAGTACCGTTGCCTTCTGGATCTCGCAATTTATCACCGTCAGATGAAGCCGACCCGTTGGCTGATCTTGAGAATATGCCCGCAATCGGTAGTGAGGATGTGGACATGGATACGGGAGTCGACCCATCCCCCGACGTGAACACAAATATTGAACATCGAGCACCAACTGAGGAGATGGAGTTTGATTCCCCTAGATCGAATCGACGTGCCGGCCAGTGGCGACACCGAATTGCTGCTGTTATTACGTCTCAACCTCAGCACATCACTCGAGCAATGTCGAAAGCCCTGCGTGCTGCACCTCCAGAATACGAATTCACGAAGCAACCAGTTCACTCCGAGGAGCCGATTTCTCAAGTCCCAGACACTGGGGTGATCCATCCCATTCACACAAGTCCGTCTCGCCCTTATCCTGATGCTCGTCCGCCGATTGTGGAGAAGAGATCCTCTCATTCTTGGCGAGCTACTGACATTGTATTGCGTGGTCAAGCAGCGCCCCTGGAAGCAATATCTGTTACACCTTCGGGCGTCTCAGATATTCCCAACCACGGGGCCCCATCATTAATTGGCGGCATAACTACCGCGAGGTTATCTAAGCGCAGCCTGAGTTCGATCCCATTTAGTGCGCGTTTCCCAGCCCGTGTGAGCGATCGGTTCGGCGGCGATGGCGATGACGTTTATCCACGAAGTCTCGATCCTCAAATCGTATCAAGGTTGTTCCAGATGCAGGTTCAATTCGGATTCGACTCACATGATGTGTATGATGTGTTTCTGAAGCAGAACCGAGACTTGAAGGCCACCATGGACGTGTTAGAGACCAACCGGGAGTTTCTTGATGCCGACTCCTCACTGGATGGTGATTCAGAGTACCGACTTTTTGGCGGAGGCTCCGTCATGTCCCGAGGGACCCAAAATTCATCTGACTAGGTTCCACCTCAACTACAGGGGTTCCCGCTTCCCATGCAACCAAGCGACTCTTAAATATCATTATTTATCTACTATTTCTTAGTCCTACCTACCACCCAGCTCAAAATAATCGTCTTTTTTGAACACAAAAGACTCTGTTTAGGGGAATCACCAAAACCACGGACAACAGGCTGGGTGCGAGTTCAGATATCTGTGGTGTGCCCTTATTTCACTGCTTTTGCTGTCTAGCTTATGGAATTTGAGTCCACAAAATCGACGAATTGAATGATCACAGACGCTCTCGATGATGACTCGAATGACTTGGGATGCCGAAGAGTGATAATAAGTGCTATCGAGTTTTCGGCCATCCAGGTGGGATTGGATGTCGTCACTCCGCGAATTACTGCAGATACCATGATGAGATGCATGTGCGGCTAACCCGTCGCGGCGGCACTTCCATCTTATGGTCGATCTTTTGATCGGTGGGGAATGTTGTTCCGACCCTTAAATAAGTTTCTTTGCCGTCTCAATGAGTTCTTTTCTGCTGTCATAAAGGCATCACGCTTCCACTTTCCCATACCGTATGCTCCTTGGCTGTTACCTAGCGTTCGACTTGATAGGTCGATGGCTCAAATGAGCGATATTTTAGCCTCGAGATGCAGGAAAGGTGAAGGAGAAAGGAAAAGGATTGAAATACAAAAGAGGATTTTCTGACTCCCAAAAGAAATGGGGAAACAGATGGGGTTGGAGTTGGGGAAGATGGTAGGGCAATGATGCGTGAGATATAGATTGATCCGTTGGAGCTGGTTGACTGGCGTTCGCTTTAAGGTCATTGTGACCTGCCTATGGTTTCTTGAACGGCATTCTTCCTGAGGATTGGCTGGATTCAGCCAGTCACCTTCCTTCATATATAAGGGATATGACGCAGAGGAGGTCTGCTCTCACCCGATTGAGCCCTCAGGATGCTTTCCTATGCCTCACCCGTTCCGTTGGTACTCTTCTTGAACTTATTGTCCTTGTCAAAAGCTGCTGCATACGATGAGGTCCGTCTAACTCGCACTTCTTCATCCTGGTTGTTCACATCTTAACCATTAAGCAATGCAACTCCAACTTGGTTACCTATTGGGGTCAAAATAGTGGGCTATTAACCTGTAGTGCATATTATTCATCATTTGAGAATGTGCATCAGGTTACGGAGCCGCGAATAGCGTGGACAATGCGAACTGGCAGAAAAGATTGTCTCATTGTTCGCGCCCGTACGATAATACTTCGTCAATACTGAGGAGTTTCTCTAGATTGTCAAGATGACACTATCAATGCCATCCCAATCGCCTTCTTAAATGTTTTCTCCGACGGCACTGGCAACCCCCAGATCAACCTTGCGAATACCTGCAACGATCGTAAGTGAGGATGGCATGTGCCATTCCTCTGGTTTTGGATCATATAGCTGATTGCTCAGAACACTCAGTTTGTTTTTCTGGCACTCAACTTCTCAACTGCTCGTTTCTCTCTGCTGACATCACAACGTGGGGGATTGCGCCGTCTCAGCCTTTGAAAACTCAATATGATCTTATTTATGCAGATGCCAAAGCAAGGGTAAGCTTGTGACACTGAGCTTAGGTGGCGCTACTGGTGGAGGACCTGCAGATGGTAATCTCCCAACGCCTGTTGGAGCAAGATACGAGCGAAAAGGCCTGATCAATGTTCTACAAATTAGCTGCATTCGCTGATAAGATCTGGAACATGTTCCTGGGAGGCTCAAGCTCCACCCGTCCATTCGGCCCGGCTGTTCTCGATGGGGTTGATCTTGATATTGAAGGAGGATTGAATTCGTACGATGCGTTCGTGAACCAATTGAGAGAGTGAGCACACCATCATATCACCCTCCGAAGGCTGCTTGGCATGGGACGTTGTTTTATAGACACTTTTCCCGCGCAAGGAAGAAATACTATATGTGGGTGCGACGGCCACCAAGAGCATTCAGTTTATTTTTGATGCTCTTCCCCAGCACTGCTGCCCCACAATGTCCTTACCCTGATTCCTACGTTGGATCTTCCATCAACGGGGCCAAATTCGACGCCCTTTATGTCCAGTTCTGTAAGTCGATTTCTCACATTTCCACGCACATGTGAGAATTACTTAGGTGTTCGTGCTGTGACCAGACAACAATCCATGCAGTGTCTGCCATTATGGAGAATCGGCCTGGAACTTTGGGGTGAGTTCCCTCTTGTCGCGTTGCCGCGTCGATTAGGCTAATTCTTTTCTTGTGCCACCCCAGACCTGGGACTGGTGGGCCAAAAATGTCTCGCCTAATCCTGACATAAAAATCTTTCTGGGCGTTCCGGCTTCAGCTACTGCTGCAAGCAGCGGCTACGTCAGTTCTTCACAGTTGACGAGCATTATTCGGGCTCTTCGCTCCTCCTTCCCTTCCTTTGGGGGCGTGATGATGTGGGACGCCTCACAAGCTCACGCTAATGGTCGTTATGACCAGTCTGTGAAAGGTGCATTGTCAAACGGCGGATCATGCGGTGGCTTTGTCTACCCAGCTTGCGACGCTCCTCAATGGTCTTCCACCGGTTCTTATCCCCCGGGATCGAGGATTACGTATCAAGGATATGTGTGGACCGTCAGTGTCGGATCCAATATATAGATTCGCAGTTTCACTTATTTTCCAAACCTGTAGGCTCGCTATTACGGCTCCGGGGCGCCCTCCGGAAGTGACATTGGGAGTTGGGTTCCTGGTACGCAGCCTCGTGAATACATGGTTAGTCTCCCACCTTACCCATTACTTTGTAAAGCCTATGCTTGCCGGGAATCGAGTGCGACCCTAGCGTCAAGTAACTTCTCTTCCCCGAAAACTATCACTATCGGCACTAGAACATCCTCAAGCGATGGCATATGCTCATTGCGTCTCTGCACCGGAAGCAGGTGTCCGCAATGCCATTGACACGTCAGTCACATACAGCAGAGACCTTTTGGGGGGTCTATGGTGGTCATTGGATGATTTTCATTACTGAGTCTGTGCGGACCCTTTGTACGTGATGTGTGCGGGCTCTTCTGGCGTTTGGGTGTCTCAAGGTTACTGTATAGCTCACATAATGTTTTCAAACGTCCATCCCGCGAGCCAAGCTCTGTGATATGAATCATAATGTAATGGTTATCCCAGCAGGACCTGCTCTGTGATGCGCAGCGACACAATTATAAGCAGGAGCGTTGCCCAACTGAATTATGCATTGTGGGCGCTTGGATTGCACTGCCTCATGCGGAGATTTCCACACCCCCAGATTCAAGATTCAACACGTCTCAACACGCCTCAACACTGCGCCTCAAACCCTGTCCGCATTCCTCCAAAACTTTCTCTTCCTAATATCTTCACGCGTCTGTCAGCGCTTACTCTCCTTTGAAATCTTAAGGTTGGTATTTCTTCTCCAGAAACATTGCCGTCGACGGTGATACTCATGAACCCATCGAACAGGATTCTTGGAATCATGAGTAATGTATGTTTCACTTTGTAGTGCAGTGCGCTTGCATGATTGGACTCCTTTCACGAGCGATATTTCTACTTAGAAATATGGTGCAGGAGGCTCTCAAACATCTTTCCGATCTTCCATACATGGTGGTCTTCCTCGACACTCGACCTCTACTAGACCGCCAATGAAGAAGCCTGATTTGAAAAGAAAGTTAGTAGTGGTTGGAGATGGAGGGTGCGGGAAGGTGAGCCATGCGTGGTGGATTTCCTGTTCAGAGTGTTCAACGTTCGTTCCTAGACATGTTTATTGATTGTCTATGCCGAGAATCGGTTCCCTGAGGTGCGTTGGCTTCAGTGGAAGAATAATTACTGTAATTCAATAGCGGTCCCCACTCTCAGGCGTATATCCCGACGGTTTTTGAGAACTACGTAACTCAAGTGAACTTCGAAGGGAAGGAAATTGAACTTGCGCTCTGGGACACGGCCGGACAGGAAGAATATGACCGATTACGGCCACTCAGCTACCCTGAAAGCGATGTTATCTTGATAGTGTTCTCCATAGATTTTCCCGTCAGCTTGGCTAACGTACAGGATAAGGTATGCACACCGCTTGCGATCAACTCAAGTGTGGGCTCAGGCATCTTTCAGTGGTATCCTGAAGTAGCCCACTTCTGCGAGGGCGCACCCCTCATCCTCATTGGCACAAAGATCGACCTCCGCAAAGATGAAACGACTCGTCGAATGCTGGGTGCCCAGGGTCAAACGACAGTTACCCCAGAACAAGGCCAAGCAGTTGCTAAGGAAATTGGCGCGAAGTACATGGAGTGCAGTGCCAAAACCGGGCAGGGTGTCAGGGATGTATTTAATGCAGCTCTGAAAGAAAGCGTAAAAGGCCGGTGGAGGATTAAATCAGGCCCAAAGTACACGAGATGTGTCATTCTTTAATCGAAGCGGAATGTGTTTTCGATTCTGCTGATGTCATTTTGTTGATATCTACTGTTGTAATATAATGTTAACACTCTGTTTATCTGAGACACTATATGTTCTTTTTGAGGTGAAAAATAGATCTTGTAGTACAAATTCAATCTGAGCACAGCGGTTCTGCGTTTCCGCTGCAGGGGATGTCACGAAGCGCTCTTTGACTCGGCACCTAGGTCGTAATACTGTCGAGCGCTTGATTGGATCTTTGGCTCTCCTGGATTAGTAGTGGCAGACTTTGGTTTGGGTCGGTGAGTATCCACCGCTTCAATGGGTACAGTATAACGCTCTTCATCGCAACCGTATGCTTTCGGCGTGAGCTTGATTACCGTATGCAAAGGAATCTTAATGTACGGGAGATCTTCTTGTGGAAGGTTGTGGAAGTATGCATATCTGGAAGCATAAGGCTTGAGCTTAGAATCGGAAAGACTGAACCAAGATATCTCACAGGCATCTCAGCACAGCCTTGGTAAGGAAGGCAAGGACGGGATGAGTTCATAGAGTCACAGTAGGCTGAACAGGAATGACACACTTGATGACTGATGATCAGTATATTATCCTGTCGCTCTAGTTCCATTATCACAGGTTCAAGGCGAACAACGATATCACGATAAGATTCTCCCCCCGATATCTGTAGTTGAATTTGTCTTCGTCTCTGGCATCAAAATCTTCAGGATATGCCTCCTTTGGAACGCAAGAGGTCACGGAGTGAGAGACTGCCGCCCAAGTTTCTTCCAGTTCAAACGTACTGCTATTTCCTCGTACGTCATGCCATCGCACACCCCGGCATCTAGTTCGTCGAGGGACTTCCAGGCAAGCTTGGGGTAATTTAGGTTTCCCGCAGTTTCAATGGTGCGTTGAAGCGTTGAGGTCCAAACCTAGGCGGAGGTACAATTGGCGCTGCTTCAATCCTGGCAGTTGGCTTACCGTCAGTGGTGCGTCGCCGACGTTCGTCTTGATCAAGCCCGGAAGGGCATCAGCATAAGCTTTCCCTCTTGGAGAAAGCGTCGAGTCCCCTCCAATCTTCCCTTCAACGTTGAACTGGCTCTCGCCGTGCTGCAATTGGGAACATGAGAGATGAAGCGGGTCCACCAAGTGCCAGGGTTCACAATCTTACTCGCGAGAAGAAGATGCTCCGTGGTTTCAAATGCAAGTTCATCAAGTAATAGACTATCCGGCTCTGCAAGTAGCCATTGATGTGGTTCATATCTATCTGAGCTCCGACATTGATGATTTTCATGTAACTCAGGTACTTTTCGGTAATTGGTTCGTATGTGCGTTCGTACTGTTGTATTCTTCTCCGGAAGTCCGCTTCGGCATCCTTGCGGGACATGTGGGCATAGTCAGGATCGCCTGAGGACACTTTAAGGGCCACATTTGCGGCAATAACCTCGGGATCGTCGCAGAAAGATTCTAGGAACAGAAGCCGTAGCCCTGGTTCTTTCGCCACTCGGGCCTCAATAAAAGCTCTTTAAGGGGGACGGTGAGAATAGAGGTATACAAGGAGGCGATAGACGGACCTCCTTTCTCTCGTGCTATTTGTAGCGTCTACATCACGCATCAATTAGCCAGTGAGCCAAGGCCGGGGCAGGGTGTGCTTACCATGAATGCCAACATTTCCCCCTTCTTTCAGCCATTTAATCAGCGTATTCAAGCTCTCTTCCGCAAGCTGATGCCTCAGTTCACGAGCCGACTTGTTTTCGTTACTGAAATATGAGGCAGAGTGGTCCTCCTTCACCCCTTCCCTTTAAAGAGGCAACAGGGGTTAAATAGTGTGCGAAGACAGTAATATGGGGGCCCACTTCTTTTGGCGCTCCTTTGCTTTCGATCTTCTTAACTGTCCAACGTTGAAAACCTGGTAATTAGGGTGTCATAGGCGACCGCCAAAAGGCAGGACAAATAATATCTCACATACCTTCACATCGTATTCAAGCCACTAATGGAATATCGATGAAAATAGAGTGTTCCCATCATGGTGAAAGGAAGTTATTACCTTTAGATACCGGGTGAGCTTGTTGCTCAAATATGACTTGCCTCTAGCTGGGAGTCCGACCTAACGAGTGCCTCAGTCCCATCGTCCCATGTGGCCTCTCAGTGTCCATACCATAGCTACGACTATCTTCGCTTCGGAATAATCTGGCTTAGAAACTAAATGAAGGTAGAATTTAAGTTGCGCTTTGACTGCAATTGGTAGGGTGGCATCACCTCTTCCTCCAATTCCAGACACACGAGGCGGAGACGGAGCTGATGAGCCTCCACTAGTCCCAACATTCGAAGCGTCAAAGTTTCTCAAACTGATTTAGTTGAAAATGAACGGTGTCAGACTTGTTGAACCGGCATCCAAACGTGATCACCCACACTAGCGATTTCGCTCCGAAAAATGTAGGCGGTGGCTGCAAAGACGCCCTGGGATGGTTTTCCGGTACTACATCTTTAGAAGTGACTTGGCTGGGTTTCCGAATGGCATTTGGTACGCCGCGATCATCAGCAACTTTCTTCGCAAGCGCTGCATTAACCCTCTGCAAGTCGGCGGTGGAAGGTGCAGGATCGTGGTATGCAGCTTCGAAAACGCGTTTTGGGGGAGGCGCCGTCACATCTTCTTGCCCTTCGGACATGCCGTGACTTGCGCCGGGAGAGAGGTAGCGAGCGATCGAGACCTGGGGTCAAACCTCGATGGACTGTCTCACGGCTGTGGCGATGAGGGAGAATCACGATGGACACCGCGCGTCAACTTTCCACTCTCGCCAATGATGCGCTCGCCTCAGCACCTCACTCGTTTTTCTCCACGTCGATATCACCGACATCTGGGTTCCATACGGAAAGCACAGTATTTATTCAACACGCGCCATCAGCCATTCCAACGAACCATTGCTTGTTCATTTTGTATATTCTCCCCTCCGCTTTCTTCTTCGATCCCTATGAGCTAGAGCAGCGACGGCAAGATGGAGATCTGCCCCCGTTCAAAGTCTGGGGTGAGACAAATCTTGAATTGCCTCTTGAAGCCGTGGACCAGGAAGGCTCAGCGCTGTTACTTTCTCTTTCGCCGGACGTCCCTTCCCTCGCCTCTGTGAAAGTGCCTCTCCATGTGAGATACATGCCGTCTGTGGGAAGCAACGATGCATCAATGCTTGCTTTGCGCGTTCCGTGGCCAAGTGTCTTCTGGGTCCCATATAAAAGTGAGCGTGCACGTTGCCGTTAATGCCAGCTTCTCAACGAACCCGTTTGTGCTTGCACAGATAACTGCGATGTATCGGATAATATCAATTCCCTGAATTTACGCAACGAAACACCAGTCATTGCTGTCCGGCCGAGCAACAATGAAGGAGACCTATTCCACACTACAACAGTCCCCACAGCGAACTCTTCCTACCTTCCTATCGTCGAGTATGGGACGTTTTTCGGTGTGCTCTTGGCATTCATCTATGTTTACATTAGTTTGCGAGCTATCTCACGTCGCGTTAATGGCACAGCACGTGCGAGGAAGAGGAAAGCAGCCTGAGGCCGGGATCTGACATGCGGATGGCAGGTGTAGTCTGAACCTCAACGCCATATATGGGTGCAGTGGTTCCCCCTTGGCGTGCGTGGTGCAAGGATCTGCCGAGTAGGATGTCCCCAAGGACGCACACATTCAATGCTTCACGCAGTGGCTGTTGCCCCGGTCGTGTACCACCTAACTTGTTGCTCATGAGTAGTGATACAATGAGATCATGCAACGAAATTGGTATCCAATGAAATAATTAAGGATATGTGGTTCATTGAAGCCTCTGTAGAAAAATGCCCCACACAACGTCTGGTGCTGACCCAATATGTCAGATATTAGTGATGCTAGGCGTTGAGTGTGCGGGCCAGGCCTGACTGAGCCATGGGATAGTCTGGGCGGGGTGCGACCCTTGAAAGAGCCTGAGTCTGGTCTAGAAGGATGCTGGGCCAAACGAACATGTAGATGCCAATGGCTAGGATGAGCGGTACAGCGTCCAATGTAAGGAAAAAAACTAAATTTGCGAGGATTTTTAAGTCTCAAACAACTACATCTGGGAGCTTGCAAGTATCTTACCTTCGTTCTTCCAGAGAACGCCGTTCCATCCAAGAGCCAACTCTACCATACGATAGGCGTTACGAACCTATATCGCAGAAGAATTTTTAGCGTTCTATCACGGGGTGGGGCGCTGAAATACGCACACAGATCAAGACACTGGAGTAGTAGAGGGTATAGAAGAGACGCTTCGTTGGGTGACTCCATCCACCATCAGGGAACGTCGCATCCACAGGCTTCTCGAGTAACTTCCGGTGCGCGAGGGTGACCATGGAGAGGAAAAACAAGTAAGATAGGAATTGGAGGATGATACCAATTAAGAAGATTTTGGAACCAAGGTTATAAGTTGTGTGTGACGCCTCCATCGAGCCACCGACTGTGTATCACTAGCAGATCAGACACCACCACGGGGAACGAGAAAGTGGAAGGAAGCTGCTGACATGATTGTATCAAGAAAGTGGTGACATCGCTCCAGACGAACACATGCTTGACGAGACGAGGAGGAATATAGGAGTAATCTGATTTTGCCTTCCGTCCTCGTTTTCCAGCGAGCAATCCATCGACCGCAACGATGAGATGGCCGTAAACAATGTAATTAAACGCGAGAAAAGCGCAAGGACTAAGAACAATTGAAAGGTTCCTAGAATGATAGAGGGGGTGGTCAGAAATCGTCTCCTTGATGTTTGCGGTGGCCGAGGGTACATGCATTGGGATGAACAGCCCGAGTGAGTGCTGGTTTTGATCTTGGCGGACGACGATGCGCAAGAAGTATCCCGCTGAAGAAATGATGGCGCCGATAGGCAAACACAACGACCACCAAGACTTTGTGCGAAAAATGTGGAAAAGGAATGTGCAACCGAATATAACGTATACGGTGCCAAAGATGACTGCTGCCACAGCACTAGGTACATAGGCTGCATCATGGTGGGCGCAGAAGCATTCCGTCAATGTTGAACTGATGAGGCACGATAATTGAAACTCACGAAGGATAGAATTATCTTGTAGCGTGGGGTGCGCGTTCGCCGAGCTAAGAACTGACAGGACGACAAGCACAAATGATAAGCCCATGTTGTGATAGAAGTGAAGGTGGGTGGGATGTTGGTTAGAGGAGGACGAGATATCACAAAGAACTCCGCTAGGCGGTCATTATATTTGCTGCAGACTGCATTCACTTTGAGAGACGGGGCCCGAAAGGGACTCGGATGTGGTTCTACACGAAATCTGGTGTCAATGATTTAGCGTGTGGCTGTGAAACTGTATATGTAATAATCGGGCCCCGATATACATAATGATGAGCAGCGACTGTGGTTGAATCTACGAGGTCCCTTTGCGGACACACGTTGACAGTGAGATTTCCTTGTGAGATGCAATGGTTCACGAGCGAGCGTGCTGCGCGCTGATGGAATGGGCTGTTGTGCAGCGCCCCCGAACTAGAATGACTCTTGGGGGGAACTGCGCCGAAGCTCGGGAGCGGACGGAGCCAAGATGTAGGGTAACCGACTGCGAAATGCAGTGTAGTGGCACACGGACTTTTGTCGCCAAGCATCCATTCAGCAATCCCAGGGACATATTGAAGTCTTTTTTCGACCTTCCTTAACCGTTGAATGTCGCGATTGCATGCAAAGTTAATAACCACAGGTGCAGATTCAGTTTACACGTGGATGCCAAAGTTCATCATGTATATTGCTGCGGTGTATGGTTGAATTTGTTGAGGATGCGCATTCCTGAGCTGAGCGTGGCTGCGAGCACTCCCACGGTAGAATATCATCTGCGGTTGCCGAGCAGGGCTAGTTCGAAGGTCCCGAGTCACGTGACTTAGACTCGCGTCTTTACATGGCGAGCAGGGTGAGGTCGGGCCTCGACGATGGATGTCAGTCGAGGGGGAGTTCTGCTACCACAGCGAACACCCGGCACGGGCCTAAACTTTCACGCGGTGCCCCTGTTTAAAACTAATTAGGCCTCTAACATCTGAAGGGAGGATGACGTGGCCACCGTGGTAATGCCAATCAACCGCAACCCCGTAAGCCCAGAGCCGCACTGGCTGGAGAGATGCAAGAGTGCGGGTGCATGTCCTGCCGTCAAGCCAACCCTTCCTTTTTCTTCTCACCACTACCTTTTTGGGATGACGAGCGCGATAGTGGCAACGCCAATGGTGACCTCCGTAAGCCCAGACGGGACTGGCCAGAGGACTGTGGGTTCAAGTCCCACCGTCACCCCAACCCTTCCTTCTTTTTCTCTTCTCCACTACCTTTTGGGATGGTGAGGTGCAATAGTGGTAGCGCCAATGGTAGCCTCCATAAGTCCATGGGCAGGCTGGAGGAGTGCAGGTTCAAGTCCTGCCATCACCCCAACACCCTTCCAATTCATCTTTCTCTCCACTACCTCTTAGTGATGAGGCGCGATAGTGGTAGCGCCAACGATAGCCCCATATGCCGACAAAAAGTTGACTGCAAGGAATGCAGGTTCAAGTCCTGCCGTCACCCCAACACTTTCATTTCTCTCCACCACCCCTTCTACCAAAGGCCTATCTGCCACATGCCTTTATTCAACAAGCATGAGCAAGATGCCACCAACACCCATCGCCTTCTGCTGCCACTGGAACATTCACCAGCCTGCCGTGACATAAACCCGTGAAAGCACCCTCCAACTCACCCACCTGCAAGAACCGCGCACTCAAACATTGACTTAACCATAGGCACACAGCAGCAAAACATGCGACCCCAACACTGGGGGTCGCGTGTCCTTTTCTCTATCCAACCTCTTTCCACCTCCATTCTCCCTCACCCGTTGTTCAATCTCAGTGTAGGGGTCGCATGCCCCTTTATGCGTTATTGCTTCATCTCACTTTATTCTCCTTCACACCATTGATTACTCGATGTCTCATACTTCCTAGGTCAAACAAATTCCTTTCTTCACATCCTTATGTTCTCCAAACTTTTTTCACCCGAGTCACTATAGTACGGCATATGCCGATAGGCACGGTTATGTTGTAGGAGAAATAACGGCCACACTATGGAAACCCATTATGGAAATATGCCAGATAAATCACAAAACCTCATACGACAAGTAGATATGAGAACATAGAAGGACCTGAATTTTAACGAATTTTACGAATTTTTACGAATTATTATGACTATACATGATAAATCGAAAGAAAGAAAAATAACAAAAATACTTCAAGCTTACCATCAACGAGACGGAATTCTCGGGGGAATTTATAGCAAATATTAAACCAAGAATTAGGACAATCGACCAAGATTTGACTATAAAAATAATCAGAGAACCTCCACGGAAACTACTTTCCCACGTCCGCACACGTAGCAAGGATGGAAGTACCACGGAACAAAGATTCCTCAGGAACTAATGCAAAAGTCAAAGTCGTGTTTATAATAGGAAATGTAGATGTCACCCAAACGGAACCAATGAGAGTAATTACAGGGGAAACTACCCATAAACGACGGAGATATGACTAAAACTCCTGCAAAACGAGGACAATGTCTAAAAAGCAAGCGCGAAGATTAACTAGTAACGACCGAGACAAGCTTGATAGCCCATTAGAAAGGAAAGGATCTACTCTTAATCCTCCCAAATTTTCATAATAAAAGGATCATGCGTTAATGAGAAATCCAATAATGGGAATAGCGACATCAAAAGTCCGAGCTCAGGGACAAGATGATGATTGCGTAGGATCCATAATTAAAACATACAACGAAATTTACACGGAAATTATGAAAAATAGGAAACTATAGTTATGCAAATTCTCAGCCCAAACGGTCCAGCCGTTGTGAAGTTATACCCATGATGGGAATATAGGAATCCGCATCATGTGTAATGACACGTGAGGGTGGCGATGCGCAGGGAACCGGCCGTCGGAACCGAGATCCGCACTTCAGCAGATCGCGAAGACCAATTTCCGTCCAAATAAGGAAGAGCCCGGTCAAAACAAAGCACGGAAAGTGCAAAACAACCTTAGATCATGAGGGAAAAATCTGAAATAAATCACAGAAGCCCATATGAAAGAAATAAACACCCGCGCATATCATAAATCCCGAACAAATAAACGAAAACGGCTCCCGCATACGAACGATGCACGTGATTACCAAATGTGCGCGCGAATCTTTGCTAACTCAACGAATACCAGGAAATAGGACACAATATTAGTACCATTGGAAAGGTGGGAATAAATGAAAATTTATGATACTAAGAACGTGAGAAAACATCCAGAAATGAATGAGATACAAGGACATGAAGTTAGAAACCTGAAAATGCGCAGGAAAACAGCTTCAAGAGGTCCAGAGTCCTAAATAAAATAGATAAAAATATGATATCTTCAAGGACAACCTACTATAACAACCAACGATACATATGGAGGATTAGGATGTGATAATACAAAAGGAAATCAGAGAATATGAACAAAATTCACGAAAACCACTAAACTATGACGGACCATGGCGGGAATTTTAGGGAACGATATTCTAATGAGGTGGAGAGCTATAACACATTCGTTTGAGTAATTCTTGACTACTAGCAACTTTTTCTTTCAGTTTCAAACCTGAATAATTCACTCATTTACCATTTCAGTCTCATTTTAACTAAATGTCACTAAATGGAAATGGAATAAATCAGCTGAAGGTCTCAGCACAGCCGTACGCATAGTAATGCGAAGTTTGAATTCAGAGTCATCGAGTCATAGCAAATTTAATGGTATATATATAGAATTTGAAATAGGTAACTGCGGCAAATGCAGTGCAGCCAAGTTCTAATTAACCATTAAAATAGCTTAGGCGAGGGAGGACAATAAGAATTCTAGGCGCAGTCTGACCGCAGTAGAACCGCAGTTCAGCGCAGCAAAAGCACAGTAGAACTATAGCATGAAAATTTCATTTTTATTCAGTTTGAGAAAAATACACTGTAAATAAATCCTGTAAATAGAAGGTAGAGCGTGAAAAAGGAAGGCGACCCAAGGAGTATAAAAGGGAGACCCTTTCTGCGACTTTTCGCCCCCCTCAGAGAAGTAAGAAAATAGAGTATTATTTTTCTCAAGCATTTCTGGTTGTCACTCCAGTGCGAAAAAGTGATATACAGTTAAGATTGCCACTGTAGTAAAAGGCAGCAATTAAGGAGAGAAATATTAAGTAGATATTTCAACAGGAGAGCTGGTTAACACTCCAGATTTCAAAGTGTAAACACAAAACAGTTATTTTGCTACTGTTAAAACAAGCAATAAAATAAAGACAAAAATAAAACGAACTCAAGGGACACTCCAGACACCATCCAAATTCATTAACTGAATAGAATCTTTGAAACTTCACCAAGTAGAAGATTAAATTCAAGTTTAAATCCAAATTAAACAACACTACACAGAATTACACCTAGACAAATTAATAAATTTCAATAAAGAAACAGCTCCGCAGGGCTCGGTTTATCTGTAAGTCAATTCCCAGGAACTTTAAAACTAACCCATAAAAATAGAATTAGCCAAAACACTCGGATTGGTACTTTATTTACAATAAATAACACTAGTACACTTCCCCATCCTAACTAAAGAACCAGGGAACAGCTTGGTGGTGGTCTCGTTTGAACCTCCCAACTGACCTTCCTTCGTTCTCTCCTTCAACGTACTCTAAAATGAATCCATCCATCCATCCATCCATCAGGGTGAGGTCAAAATTTTCGCGACTCAAGCGTGTGCCACTCATACATATGCTAGTCATGCTATCAGTGGCCCTATCACTGTCCTGAAGTGGGCACCATTTTGTTATCCTCATCGCCTCAAATGCTGCCACCACACAAGTGTGCATCACTCATTCTATGCATCGATTACGTGTGTTAATCATGTCATCAGTGACCCAAACACTGTCCTGGAGGTACTGGGTGCCTATATCCATACCTAGTCAGCAGAGCTCGTGGATGCGTGCAGCAACATGCAATTTACTTTTGTGCACTATACGTAATCACGCTGATGTAGATCTCGCTCCGAAAAATGTAGGCGGTGACTGCAAAGACGCCCTGGGGTGGTTTTCTGATGCTACATCCTGAGAAGTGACTTGGGTTTCCGAATGGCTTTTGTTATGCTGCGATCATCAGCAACTTTCTTCGATTAACCCTCTGCAAGTTGGCAGTGGAAGGTGCAGGATCATGGTATGCAGCTTCGAAAATGCGTTTTGAGGGCGCTGTCACATATTCTTGCCTTTGGGACATACCGTGACTTGCACCGGAAGAGAGGTAGTGATTTGGTAGCGATCGAGACCTGGGGCCAACCTCGATGGATTGTCTCACGGCTGTGGCGATGAGGGAGAATCACGAGGGACAACCACGCACCTCATTCGTTTTTCTTCACGTTGATATCACCAGCATCTGGGTTTGTTGGAAATCATTGTGGTTAACGACGATCTATTTACCTTATTAGTTTGTCTGATGCGGTGTTGATGGGATCACCGCTGATACCCTTTTCCGCCTACTCTTTCTGTTCTATGCATTAACCCTTGCCGACGACCATGTGTCGCGATTGCAAGCGATATTAGTACTCGTTGTATAAATGGCACAGGGCGCTAGGTTTTTTCCCTTTCCCTCAGTTCTCAAGTTAGAGACTGAGGTGATATCCCTTTTGTTGTTTTTAACTTTCGTATAACTGACTGTACTCTCCGTGTTATAGTCCGTGTGTACAGGTAAAGAGTTACAATGTTATTAGTTCTCAAGTTAGAGACTGAGTCCGTGCATACAGCTCTATTAATCATTTCAGGGTTCCATACGGAAAACACAGTGTTTATTCAACACGCACCATCAGCCATACCAACAAACCATTGCTTGTCCATTTGTATACTGTACTAGCACAACCAACAACCGGTCACGCGTCACACGAAGGTCTTGGATTGAATTAAAAATCAAATTGATTGGGTGCCTCCAGCAATTGCCGGAGGCCGTGGGAACTGGTTGTTGGTCGTGTGAGTACAGTATTCTCCCCTCTGCCCAGACTCGTACCCAGCCGTCGTCGCTCTGTGGACGCACACTGTGCACACGCAATTTTAAGTTGGGTTTATATTAAAAGTCACAGTCACCTTTACATGATGCATGAGTAGTCATCTTTTGTATTGAATACTTAAAGTCACATGTGCCGGAAATAGAGTTAAACCCGATCACCTACTCTGAAAACCAGCGCGCGACACTTCGCTCCAACGACTGGCACAAAAGTTGGGTGGCAGTGTTTTTCGGCAGCATCCGGGACTGAATTGTTGAGTCCACACAACTTGTGCGCAACAGATTAGGTTGTAGTCCGGTGCATTTTTAGTGTCAACTCACATAAGATTTGTACCCAACCCACCCCAAAGGGTATGAAGGGCTGTGGAGTCAATAACCTGAGCATGCAGAGAATCTAAGTCTTATATATTACTTTGAGAGCATTACTGTGTTGATGCGAGTTAGTGCAGATGGTATAGCGTTCGCTGAGGCTATGCACTTTTTTTGCTTGCTCGGGTTCAACTCCCACTTGGTAACTTCCTTTTTTTCATGCATCACCCCTTTCATACATGCGACAAATTTCCGTATACATCACCAAGAAGTGAGGAATGAATGAAAAAAGGAAGTTACCAAGTGGGAGTCGAACCCAAGCAAGCAAAAAAAGTGCATAGCCTCAGCGAACGCTATACCATCTGCACTAACTCGCACCAACACAGTAATGCTCTCAAAGTAATATATAAGGCTTAGATTCTCTGCATGCTCAGGTTATTGACTCCGCAGCCCTTCATACCCTTTGGGGTAGGTCAGGTACAAATCTTATGTGAGTTGACACTAAAAATGCACCGGACTACAACCTAATCTGTTGCGCACA